GTGCACCCCATGGTTTTGGCTGTCCAGTGAAACAGCCTGCGTGGCTTGATCTGTGACACTCTACAGAACTATCCCGAACGCAAAAGAATATCCCTTCATCTCGGTGAAGCAGGGAAACGCGGTGTTTGGTCGGCGGCGGGGGGAGTGGGAGTTTTAGGGGGTTCGTCGTCCATACCCATTTGGCCCGGCGTTCGGTCGGCCATCCACGGTTCTTTTCTTGACCTTGTCAGCCCCTTGGTTCAACTGGACGGCGCTAACCAAGGAGAATTCAACAGACGGTGATCCTCATCATCGACTGCTAAGTTTCTACAAACGATGATCATGACGAACAAACCATGGGGAGTCATCATCACCACCACCACTGCTGACGCTTTCCGTCTTGAATTGCCACTGCCTGCTGCCTGCGCCTTGCCTTCCGAGACCTGTGAGTCTCCAGTCTCACTACTCATCGCCTCAAGGGGCCGCTGCCACCGAAAGAGCAAATGAAATCCCCTAGCTGGTGGCAGATGCAAAATGCGATTGCCGATGGATCGTTGGAATATGGGGTCGGCTCCGTCTCGGTTACGGGTGGCTGAAATAAAGGTCTCATGCTCGCAGCCCAGGGAATTATGAGGTCACGCAATGTCGATCAAGTGAGAGAGTATTGATTCTCCAGGAATCATCTCATCTCAAGAGGCTCAGTGCCGACGTCCAGTGCGAATGCGATAAGTATGATTCGACATTCGCAAAGCTGGCCTTCTCCAGTCGTTGGTTGAATACATTACACGGCAGATGAGGTAGTTCAGGGCGCTTCCTGAACTGTCGTAGGCAATCTCTCCCCCAGTCGTATCTCATTCCGTACGGATCACGGCCCAGCGTACAGGTATGAGCGGCTTTATGTTGGGACTGGAGTCAGCCCAGGCATTATTTCCCCATATCGGCGACGCTGATCTATGGGCCCTCACTTGTATATAAAATCTGGCAGATTGACGGTATGCATGAATGCTTTATTCTGCTTGGCTGTCTCCAGGTCGCCAGTTCCTACGGGGTAGTGCAGGAGGCGTCTGCCAGCGCCGCCCAGTGGCTATCAATATGCTCGATCCAAAGTAGCGGGTACAAAGATTGATAGCAAGGGGCTTGGAAAGAAAACGGATTTCGAGTTTCCCGCTTGCTATGCGTGCAGCGTGTCCCTTGCGCTTCAACCATTGGACCAATCCGTTTTCAGCCGTTCAGACGTTGATACTTGACCTCTCGTCGGCGTCTCGGATAAAGGATTGGCAGTTGGCGCTGGCAGTTTGGCACCACAACGGCAGAGCACATCATGCCGCAGGCTTCTTATTGGCTTTTCTCGACAGTGATGCCTCCTCATAGGCTCATAGGCTCATACGGATGAACTTCACATTCTATACCGCCGTAGTTCTGTCTCTAGATACACTACCGATACAGTGTCCAGTGGCGGTGGGCCATCCACGCTGTCAAGTCTCAAATGCACCGCCATCTGCTCAGCCTGACTCGTCGGCATCGGCAAAGAGAAACAAAAACTGGTTCAAAAAATCTATCCGCTTAATGTCTGGGGCAAAAGAAATGTACGTCATCGGCAGGACCCCTTGGTCGTATGCTGGGTCAACAAAGAAAGCAGCTGATCGCGACTCCACCGCTCAGGACCAGGAATCGTGGGTATTTACTATTCTGCAGTAGTCAACGTACATCAGCCCCGTCAGGTCACAGGTGAAGGCTGCCGGAAAGTTCCCCGGTTGTTCCTCGCGCTCGACTACTGCTACGGACAGTCGACGTCTCAGGATCTCCCAAGTCACGTTCGTGTATTGCTGGCATGTCTTGACAACGCATCTTCCAGCCGACAAGTTTGGTCGCTCCATGAATACGATAACTAGTAACATCAGCCTCCCGGCTTGGAGACGAGCTGACACTGCAGCCGCAGCGAAGACATCAAACAGCGGCAAAGGCTAAGGACTCTTAGATCCAGTTGACGCTGTTCTTGTCGCCCCGCATTAATATAGCTTGTGACACGATGAGGAATTGATGATAACCAGTTCGCCTCACGCTGTTGAAGCAACCTCACGATCAGCTGCCTCGCCATGAGCATGCTTGAGTTGTCATTGCTGGATACTCCATACGGAGTACATTGTGGTAGACTATAGATGCTGACTGCGGGATCTGGAAATTCTGTCCTCATCGGCATCACTGGCGGAGATAGACACAGACACTAACAGATGGCAGTTTACAGTACAGTACGGTAAGAACCTCATGAGCATTATTTGGTGCCGGGTACAGGGCCACAACGCCGCCGCGTGACTCGGAACTACTGCCCCACCGGCCATTCCTCATTTCCAGCAATCCCTGGTTCGGCTCTCTTCCACTATACTTGGTGAACCCGTTCTTCGGAGACATGTTTCGCTGATATTTGTTTATCAAGATCCCCGTGTGTTCACCGATCGGCTCCCATCCATGAAAACTAACATGTGCGAGCCGTTAATGATGATGTCGACATCAGGATTGCAGCCATCAGATCCCTGTTCGGCCGATAAAGAACGGCGCTGATCTGCAACCGGCCATTGGCTGCGTCCACTCACCTTCTTCGAGTCCGTCCCCGGCTTTGTTTTCGTCGAGGTGCTGGCCAACAAAGTGCTATAGGAGTTACTTGGTGGATGAATCTGTACATGCTACGGGGTACTAACAATGGCTGCTTGGTGGCCGAAGCGAAGAGCTTGCAAAGAGAGGGTTGTTGAGGCCAGTCGTGAATATTCACGACGATGACCGGCATGCACATGCAGTAGTGCTCATAAGGCTGACGGTCCAATTAGTCTTCGGCGGAGCTCTCCGACTCCGGCGGCAGCAATGCGCTTTACCAATAGTCATCAATATCGCGCAAAACGCCCCAGTTTCAATGCCCCTTAATCATCCTTAACTCAACCCTACGGATTAAGCATACCTACAGTACGGGGTGCGTTGAAAGGTTATACTCACCACAGCTCGCGAGAGACCGACTTCATTAATATCACTGATATCCCCGAGGTCGCAGACGCAAAGGACCCTGCCTTGAAAACATTCAACGGCGGCTTGCAACCCCACTCGTGCTGCATGTGGCTTTACTCTAGCCTAAGAGCTTTGAACGCCCAACATGTCGGTCCTTATCTCGATCAAATAATTCAATTATCTAGATATAGCATGACGAAGATGTAACCTGGATTACCAAGTAGGCAGGTGCCTACGAGACCAAACCGCGTCCTCAAGCAACGACATGCTTACCAGACATCTCCAACTCAGTCCTTTTCCAAAACGAGATAATATAGCCCAACAACCCCGTCCCAATTATCGGAGAGAAGGACCGGGCAAGCAAAAAGCAAACAACACCTATATGATGATCAGATAGGATCACCAGCGCACTGGCCTGACAGGCTGACAGCGTCGCAGCGAAACGAAAAGGTAAAAAACAAAGACGCGCGAAGCGCTACCTTCGCCTCGAAGCTTATAGGCCCATCCAACCCTAATTCCGGCCAGCCATGGAAATTCGATGGTTCTAGCGTGGGATTCCTCTCTCTCCCGTCTTCTAGCTCATCCTTTACTGCAATGGCATGCTCCGTCCTGGCCCTTGACGAGCGGCGAGTAGACACTCCGTAGATCTCGAGATATGGATGGCAGACCTGGCATATTGACCAAGTGTCAGAAGCAGCCCACTTTGAAACCGCCCGGCTAGGTACCTCCCGGAACCCCTAGCCGGATCCGATGGATGCAGCCACCCTTCCCCTAGTTCATGATGCTCATCTGCTCACCAACGGGCTGACTCGACGAATCTCATCTCGGTAACAGCCGGTGTTTGATTGCCTAATTTGCTGTGCTAACTATGGACTACGTCTACGGCTGCGTTCTGTGTAGGACAAGATGCTGTCGCTGATGTCAGTTGGCGAGTGTCAGTTGGCGCCGAAGCGCCCAGTATCAAACATGACCGGGATGCGGGATCGGGGCTAGCCTGCGCTCTGATTCGGGCACATACTCGAGTCCGTGGAGGTGACAACTAAGCGTTTCGATATCAGTGCGGTATCTAGATGCTGGAAAGATGTGATCTCACATACCCCGTAGATTCCCTGCTCATTATTGATGCCAGGATGTGTGCTGCATTCCCGGACCAGACTCGATCTGTGTTCCCTCGGGTAGTTTCTTATCCTGTCCTCTTATTCTGTCCTATCCCACCCGACCAATCGCTCCCTGCTGTATACGGAGTATCGATGTATGCCTGCCCTGCTGATGCCACAAACTCTCCAGCGGCTAGCACTACAGTATCGGTACTTGCGAATGTACAACTTGTTATGCGCATCTTCGTTCCGCAGCCTTCGATTGGATTCCTCAGAGCAACGGAGCTTTAATCGCTCTACTCAGACATGTCTTCGAGGTGCCCAGCCGACTCGGTATACACCCTCCTCCGCAAGCTCAACTGTCAGTCCAATTTCAATCCCGCCCTCACCTGTAACTACGAGTTCCTTGATCCAGGCTAGTCTATCGACAAGGATCCCGTCCCCCTCCATACCTAACCCAGTGCGTCTAGCTTACGCCTCTAGGTCACGGCCGAAGGATCGCCCGAACAAAGCCGACCACTTGGGCGGATTCCTTGGGTGAGTTCTCCAGACCAACGAGAGGATGTAGTTCATGGAGTTCGATGAGGGTTCAATATAGAACCCTAGCAATAATAACCAAGATTAGAGTGCGGTTCCAAGTTAGCTCGTCAACGTGGTCCGATGGGTTGGTAATGGCGTCCAGTAGGCAATCCACCTCGGCGGCCGACCAGTTCTTAAGGAATGGATCCCCGCACCCGTTATGTATGTGCTTTGAGAGAGTGTATTTGTATTGCACTAGTCGCCAAATACCGCTGTGATGGACATAAAGGGTAAGAATGGATGTCTTTGGGTATGTAAGTAATAGTAATAATGATGATAATCCTCCGTACATACAAGTGTAGGCTGCCAAAGTACCATGCAGGTGCTAAGAATGCAGGGCACAGTCATACATCACCCCAGAGACTCCGCCGTTTTCCACTGGTATAAAGCCCTGAGAACCGCTACACCCCCAGACTGCGTTTCCACAGTGCGTCCTCTGCCGCGATCATTATAATCCGGCACTTTGGCTTCAACTTCCTCCGCCTCCTTTGTTAGCTCCCGGCCTGTTGTATTCGCAGACCAGAACGTGTCTGGGTGGTTGCGGTAATCCACTGCGCCATCCGGCAAGAATGTATCGCTGGTAGAGGCAGACTCGTCGATCTCGCGGTATCGTCTTCCCCACCACATGCCGAACTTGCCCTCTTCGTTTCTTGTGACGAGTGCCGCCTCGGCATTGTGCTCGATCCAGGGGCGGTAGGTGCTGCAGAGCTTTTGATGCCAGTCGTAGGTCTGCCTGAAGCTCGAGTCATGATAGGATTGGGTGCGGAGGAAACGCTCTTCCTGTGGGCGGAAGGGTCGGCAGAACTCGGCGAAGTGGTGCCAGAAGATGCCTTTGAAGGTTTGGCCGTCTTGGGAGCAGTCGCCGTTGGAGTCACATGTGTCTTCCATGATCCCTGCACGGCCTAGGCCTTTCCATTGCTGGTCGTAAACGTTCGGCCACCCAGTTGCCCGTTGGACGTTTTGGATGAGTTCGTGTCCGTCAGCTAAGTACTCTTCAGATCCGGTGGCTAACCAAAGGCCGCGGAGTCCGCTCAGAATCACGCCCTGGTTGTATGTGTACACCATTGTGTTGAGCACGTCGCACCTGCCGGTTCCTGGATGTTGAGGGCCTTGATAGCCGCGGACGTGGAACCCATCGGCATACAAGTTGTAGATCCCAGTCATGTTGGAGTGCTTGAGCCAACTATAGGCTACTTGCGCCATCTCAAGATAGGAGGGATCATGCGGCAGACCATCCTCCGACTGTTCGGCAGCAACAAAGGGTGCATCAATCGGGTCGCCAGGAAAGTAGAGATACATCCCAATGCTCGACGATATGTACAGTTCATTCGTGATGGCATTTTTATACGCGCCCAAATGCGGGTTCCAGATCATTCCACCTCCACACACCGTCGTGTCCCACCCGTTCGACGCAAGCTCGTAGAATATACGTGCCCGATGCGCAGCGGGTGTCTGGAACTGTGTCCCATGCCACGGCCGTCCACTGGACTTGGACGAGCCCTGTCCCTCAAAATGCAAATCAGAATGCAGCCTCTGGAACTTGATATTCTCCAACCATCCCAACACAACCCACAGCATATCATCGTAAGCCTGATCTCTAAGCCCCAATGCATTTTCTCCAAAGTAGTATGTCGTGACCTGCGCAAAGAAGTGGCTGACAAGGTTCTCGAGAGCTAGGAAGTTCTCGGTGATGGAGTCATTGGCATTCTCTTTTTCGTTCCCATCCTTATCCTTGTCACCATCCGTCGACGAATTCCCCAGGAGTTCATCGTTCGCAGATGCAGTCAATGCGGCCAGAGTGGCTGACACATGCGTCCCGTGGACAGCCCTAGTCCAATCATTGCCGGTCGGCCATGTGCCTTCGTATAGGACGAAGTATTCGTCCTGCATTACATCGAGGCCGTCTATAAGATCGCGTAGGATCTGCCTGTACTCGGTCGAGGCAAGCGGCTGTTGCTGTGAGTCCTTGTCTTGGAAGTAGTAGAGCTGGGGTTGTGGCCGAGCGTCTTGTACGAGCACTCGCGCGTGCGTCTCCAGTAGACAACTTAGCGATAGAACGCTCCATAGCGCTCTGCATAGTGATGCCATTGTAGATAAGATTATCTTTGCTTCCCCAATTCAACAGATAATCGGGGAAGAAGACCGATGGCGTCAGCGAGGATAAGAGAGCCTTAGGATCGATAAGAAACGGACGTCGGACACTCCGCATAAGATATGGTAGGAATCGGGAAGGAAAAGCAACCCAATCAGTGATGAGATCAGGGGAATCTCACATAGTTTGATGCATTCCCCTGGACATCGTGCATAGAAGAGTGGGAGGAGCGGGCAGGATTGAAATGCAAGAAGCGGGGAGACTTCCAAGGAAGGTTGGAGTGGCCCGGCCGTCCGAGAATGCTCCGCCTGATGCGACGCACGGTGGAGTGCTAGTAGTGGCCTTCGAGTATAATTTACTCTGATACAGATCCAATCCCACTTGTTGAGGCTGTTCAGTCCATTTTTCTACATTTACACCCACACTTGACGTTCTTGGCATACGGCGATAGCATCACGCGGGAGCTGCCCCAGTCCCCACGTGGACCAGAAAAATATGGGGTAATCCAGTACGGCGCCTCATTCGCCCAAAGCCCCGGAAGTGCACGATGTTATGCCTCGAGCAGGAGAAAATGGCCAGTTACACTGAGCTTGCTACAGAGTTCTCTCGTAAAGAGCGGGTGCGGGGTGCGGGGTTCAAGGAATGAGCCATAATCCGAGTCACACGACACATTGTATTGTCAGGAATATCACGCGGAGATTCCCGAGTTTGGCAGAAGTAGTTTGTAGACAATTTGATATCTGGTAAAGTGGAACTGTTGGGGTCTATGTTACCTGTCAGCGAGAGCAAGGGAAGGATTCAGTCGGGTTGTCCATACCTAACCCACCATTCTGCATGACGCCGGCAGTTATCCCGAGCACCGTTTGGACTTGAACTTTGATGGTGTCCTAGGGAAGTCAAGGAATGCTGCCGGCCACGCCCGCTTGCTCTCGGCAGAGCCTTGATCTCGAAACGAAAGCCGTACAATCATTTCGTGCCCTAACTGATTGTAACCATGCGAAAAGAATAGAGCGCGGCGGGTTCATTCCAAAACATCAATGATTGTTCATATATGGTATCTTAATCTCTCTCATTCTCAGCCCCGGGGCTGCGGCTTCGGTCACGGCTCCTGCTGCGGTTTCTCCCGCCACGGCCGCCTCTTCCTCCGGACTTCCCCTTGTTAGATGGCGGTGGTCGGACAAATGCGTAGTCGACTTCAATCGTCTGGTCCAGCAGCTTTGAGCCGTTCAACTCTTTGATGGCTTCAGCGGCTTCCGGTAGCGTCGAGTATTCAATCAATGCGTATCCCTAGGCAAGAAAAAGCCGTCAACACCTTTCTCACTCTAAAGGACAGTTGCTCCAAAGGCCGAAAAGATGAATTATAAACCTACCTTCACGTAACCTGTGCGGCGGTCAAGGTTCAGACTGAAGTTCTTGATCTCGCCATATTCTGCGAAAAGATCGGTCACATCTTCTTCGGACGCTTCCTCGTGGATGTTTGTCACGATCACAATCCATCCTTCGATACTGCGCACAGCAACAGCCCCAGTTTGTGTTCGTGCATCGGTGCCACCGTTGCTGGTCTGCGGCTCGGTCTGCTCTTGCGAGACGGGAGGGTCGACTTCCATTTCTCCGGACATTATAGCGGAATCAAATAGCTGCTTCTCTTTTGGTTGGAAAAGCGCGGGGTAGAAACGAGGTGATTGAGTCCGGACTCTTGGACGTTGGGTCGCGACGGATCTGATCGACCTGCCGAAGCTGATTATGTAATCGGCTAGGAGATTGCAGAACAATAATGTGTTCGAGACATAACATCTATTTTGAATTTGAAAGTAAGAGTTAAGAGCTAAGTAGCATAATTATAGCCTAGGGGACACTTTTATGATGTTATCATGCTAGTCTTGTGGCTAGAAACTGGAGTATAAAGAGGGCTCGGTGGACCAAGTCTACGTAAATATATAGTTCAGGACCTATACCCAGTAGATACAGCCCACTTACATTCACAACGAAAACATGTGTCCAAAATGGCTGTGAAATAGATTTTAACTCCATCAACTAAGACAGAACACCGAATTGGAGTGTGAGACTAGTAGAGTAATAACAGGGTTGTTCCTTGATATTCTTTCTAGTTGAGGTCCATGCTACTTTATACAAATCCGCACTAACATTCTGCATTTCCATTGAAAAGATAAGAAACAATTCAACTAGAGCATGTATAGGAACCAGGATATATGGAAGTATATATGGGATCCTAGGCATGAGTTATAGTCCTTACCTGCAAGAACCTTGAGGCAGCCCTGAGCAATACATTGTCTTCCGTTTATGGGCTAGGGTGAAGTGACATACTGGGAACTAAATATATTGTAAAAAATATTCTGTTAAAGTTAGGTAGCCTGCAAACAATTCTTTTGCTCAAGAAGGCTCTTATTAGTAGGTTGACCACATTCATCCTTGGGGAACTGGCAGACCTCAGGAACTCAAGCTTTCAGTACTCAAGCCTTCAATGGCCTGGTGGTCAACACACCAGGTATTATCCATAGAAAATGAAGATGGTTTGGCTCCACGGCAATTCACTGAAGTATCTTTTTATAGCACAATAGTGAATGTTGTGCTGAAGAAATCTGCTCAAGTGAATATGTAAAGGTTAGCTACCCACCACAGCAGCATAAGAAACACTTCAACTTCCGCTTCTTCTCAACACATCTCTCCAGAAAAAACACAGTGGTTACCTCCATAAAGCGGATTCTTGAGGTATTCGTAATCAAAGCTTGCGATATGTTGTGGTGAGTTCTCAATTTCGAAGAAATACGATTCCAATACTGACATGGACGCTGCAACACAGCGACGACCCGAAATGCCTCTGCCACCCTCGCCCCAAGAAACCCTTCCAAAAGCTTGAGCTCGTCATACGCGGTTCTCAGTCCAACGAAGTCTGTCGACTTCATCAAGCGGGTGCGCAATTAGATGTCGTGTTTGACCTAATAGGGAACGACATGACGCTGCGAGAAACAATCGGAGACCCAACCATGGCCAAAGCCTCCTACTCAATTGCCCTCCTCCTCAAATCGAAGATGATGGATTTTGTGAACTTGAAAGGCCTTGCCGACAACTCACTCCTTCTATCGTTCCGAATGCAGAGCTCGTTCTGCGCCGCGACGGGCAAAGACAGGATGATGTTCAAGGAGAAATACCAAGGCTTCTCATCCAATCGACTTGAGAGCAGACTGTACAACGACTTCTATTCTTGCAAATGGTCCGAGCAGCATCTGGAGCTACTTCTGCCGGCGGAACGTATCATGGGCTGGAAAACGGTCGCCCTCATCTTGAAGACGTTCAAGCGCATCACCCCGGAGAATTGGTGCCACATGGTCAAGCTGAGGAACAGGCCGAGCGTTGCGGGTCTGGACTGGATGGCCATCGAAGATAAGGTGATGCCTGCGAAAATCGAGAAGCCCATTACCCTGGCGCCTTCCAGTGAAGGAAAGAAGTTGCACTACCTTATCGAGAAGAAGAAAGCAGCAGCAAAGAGAGCCATGCAAAAGCAAGGACTACTTTGCCACTAGACAGCGGCCTGTGTGTTTATTGTATGAGCAACAGTTGGTTCAGGGTGGTTCAAATTGGTTGAAATTTCACTTCAGGCGATGTTTTGAGATACCCAGCATGTGAAGGCGTTCTGACTATTGGAAGAACAACTTAGGTTTAATGTTGATTAATCTGGAAGACACATAGCGTAATGGACTCGAGTCTTGTTATCCAGAAGTCTGGAATGAAAAGAACCGTCGGAAGCTGCCCGTATTGTTCTATCTCTATTGATGATAAGTGCATTGTCCGATATCAGGGAAAGGTCCCCTTGCATGCGGTTTAAATTACATCCAAGAGCCACTTCCTAGAGAGTACGTACACGAACAACCAGCCTACTCAAATCATATGTCCCGAGGCCTACCTTATCACCAGCCATTCTGTATGGTCTTCACTGCTCACCTTGCATACTAGCGATGCCGACCAGTTACTCTTCCCATTCCTTCCGCTGGAAGCAGAGCATGACGAGCAATTCGGGAAATTTTATTCTAAACCAATATTCTGAATCTACCCAGAGACACCACTACATAATGCAGGCACATGGTGAAGATACCATGTCTACTTCAAGCAAGCGCACCCCGCCGCCGATCCGAACTAGAAGCCAACCCGTGGACCAGGCTTTAACCTTCCCAACATCTCAGCTCCTGGGAAGAAAAAGGGTGTTCTATTCCTATGAAGGCAGCACGCCTGTGAGCTCGGCTTTCTGTGAGGGGCACCTTTATTGTCACTCCCGCCTGCTGGTTGTTCTCTTTCTCTCTTGAACACTGAGATAGCTTGAAGGATGATCCACTTCGCTTGCTCTTGAACTCTCTTGCCGCTGATGATTGTCTGGACTTTAGCCGTGTTCGGGTTGTAGGTTGTCACTCATTCTGACACTTGCTCAATACTCTCTCTTCTCCGTTCGCTTTACTCTATCAGTCTATATGCACCGCGTCATTCGTTCTTCTCCGCTGTCATCCATTGGTTTGAGCTACTACAAAGTGATATCAGGGGCTAAAGTTACAGCATCTGTTCGTCTCTCAAAGTCAAAGCCATGTTGCCCTCTACCAAAATGCTGCCATGGCTTTACGCTGCCACATTCGTGGCACTGCCTACCTCAGTGCTCACCGCAAATACCGATGTCTGGAAGACGAGATCGGTGTACCAAACCATGACTGACCGGTTTGCCCGCACGGATGGATCGAATACTCATGCCTGCAACCTCACAGACGCCCTCTACTGCGGTGGAACATGGAGAGGGACAATAAACCACCTTGACTACATCCAGGGTATGGGATTCGACGCTGTTATGATCTCCCCGATCGTAAAGAACGTTGATAAGCAAGCCAAGTACGGTGAGGCATATCACGGGTACTGGGCACAGGACATGTACTCTTTGAACCCACATTTTGGGACACATGAGGATCTGCTGGACTTGAGCCAAGCGCTTCACAACAGGGGCATGCTCCTTATGGTAGATACGGTCATAAACAACATGGCTTATACTTTAAATGGTGGCGACCCAGCATCGGACGTCAACTATACCTCTCTCAATCCTTTCAATGATAAGAGCTTCTACCATCCTTATTGCAGGATTGACGATTGGAACGACTACCCCCAGTCGCAATACTGCTGGACAGGAGACAATGTCGTTGCGCTCCCCGATTTGAACACAGAGGACGAGCGAGTCCAAACCATACTTGAGATGTGGATTCAAGAGATGATAACAACCTACTCCATCGACGGGCTTCGTATAGATGCAGCAAAGCACGTCACACCAGACTTCCTGGGAGAGTTTGAGAAAGCGGCCGATATCTTTATGTTCGGAGAGGTATACGAGCGATCAGTTGAGATTATTTGCGGCTATCAGGACAATATAATGTCTAGTATCACCAATTACCCCATTTACTTCGCGCTCCTTGACGCCTTCACCCTCGGCGATACAGAATCCCTCCCCAACCAAGTCGAAACCATGAAAAACAGATGTCCCAGCGTCACAGGCCTAACGGTATTCTCTGAGAACCACGATCTACCTCGGTTTGCAAGTCTAAAAGATGACATCAACGTAAGCCATACCTCTGCTCCTCTAGCAGAACCCTAACTAACCGAACCTAGCTTGCCAGGAACATTCTAACCTTCACTCTCCTCTTCGACGGCCTCCCCATAGTCTATCAAGGCCAAGAGCAGCACTTCTCCGGTTCAACAGATCCCCACAACCGCGAACCCCTCTGGCCCTCCGCCTACAATACATCCTCCCCTCTCTACAGCTCTATTCACACTCTCAACGCGATCCGCAAACACGCCATTCAAATTGATCCAGACTACTACATCAGCTACAATACTTATCCAGTCTACCGCGGTCCCTCGGAAATGGCCTTCCGGAAGGGCCGCGAGGGCAGACAAATTATTATGGTCCTCTCAACTCAGGGGAGTAATAGCGGGGCGTATACGATCCGTATGATGAATGGCTTTCAGCCGTCTGTCGTCGTGAGAGATGTGCTTAGTTGTAAGACCTGGACCGTGAATGATATGGGGGAGTTAAGGCTTGACATGGATAAGGGCGAGCCGAGGGTGCTTTTCCCGGACTCTTTGATGAGGGGCAGTGGACTATGTGGGTATGCCGGGGAGAAGGTCGGTTACTTGGACTTTGTGAATAAGACTTATTCGCCTGGATCGCCTGGATCGCCTGGATCCGAGGAGGACAAGGAATCCAGAGGTGTGGTTGCTAGTAGTGTTTGCGTTAGTGGTGGGCTCGGCGTACTGTTGGGTTGGGGGTTGTTAGGGCTTGTTTCCTTAGCGATTTCTAATTTGCTATGATTGACAACAATCTGTTTTCTTTATCCGAAGGTTTACAGTGATAGACGACCGCAAGGAGGTCAAATATATAACATGATACTTTCTCAGTTTATTATTATTTTTTCTGTTAAGTGAGTGGAGATTTTGTTCGGTACCTCCCCAGACAGCAAGCCCGATAGCAGTTTTTATTTAAAGAAACGTGACCCTCCACAAAGATGATACGCCATGAATAACAGTTCCCAAGTAAATGATCAATACAGGTATATGCCCCGAAGAGAGTCTTGATAAGGGCTCTAAGAAATGCTAGTAGATCCCAAATGGCCTCTACCTCCGGTTGTTGTTTCGCAGGGCCAGAATCTGAACCATGCGGATGAAGATATTGATGAAGTCCAGTTCGAGGCTAATAGACTCGTTGACAACATCCTTTTGGAGAAGGCCCCGCTCAGACATGCGGGCGTGGTGCAGGACCTTCTGGACATCGTAAAGAGTGAAACCTCCGAAGACAGCAAGACCACCGTACAGCCAAATGTTCTCAGACCACATCAGGGCACGGGTAGCGGTGGCGGGGAGGACAAGGGGCGCAAATCCGGAGAGGGCGACAATAGTCACACCGGCAAGAAGAGGAGCACCCAGGTACAGGTACTTCTCCTGTTTAGCGGTCGCGCCGACGAAGGCAATGGAGCCCATCATTCCCACGGTGTAGAGGCCAGCACGAGCGAGTATAGCCGGGTTCATGAACATCAGGGGCGCGAGAAGAGCAGCCTGGGTGATGTTGAAACCAGTCCAAAGAGCGTACTTCTGAACGTAGCTATAAAATAGTCAGACGATGAATCAACAGCGGGCAAAGGAGACATATGGCTTACTTGTTAGGCGAGGTGTAGTAAGTTCCGAACATAGTTCCCATGCTGGCAACAAGTCCAACACCAGCAACAAGCCAAGGGTTCGTAGCCATGAGACGATAAGTCCACCCGCTGGAGTGCAGAGCCCGAGCAGCAATACCAATGATTCCGATACCAAGTCCAGTGTGCATGAAGGTTTCGTTCAGGTAAGCCCGTTCAAAGGCGGGCATTCCACCGTCTTCCCGAGTCTCGCGGTTGAAGACGAAGTTCGTCGCCAAGATAGTTCCACCAACGATAGCTGCGCCATAGATCAGCTTCGAGGTCAAGTCGCCCTGAGAAGCATTGGCGGTCTGCTGCATGTAGCTGCGACGGAAGGCATTCTGGAAGGTCTGCCTTGACTTGGCGAATATGGAAGAAGAGGCGGGACTGAGAGGCTTGGGTTGAGCGGGCTTAAACGGAGAGCTGTGGATGAAGCGAGCGGTATTCGCGGATTTCGGCACCTGTCGGAGGGCCGTTGGTACGGCGAAGGGCCGGCGCAAGAAGAACGCCATGTTCGTGATGGCGATGCGATGCTGATGCAAGATCTGGGGATGAAACAGAGTCTCTCTGCTGGGAGTCTCGGAGTATTTGAAGGCTACGGCCAGTGATATCACTTTGCTTACTACGGTGACCCGAACGTTCGAGAAGTGTAGTCATCAGTCACATGATCGAGTGACTTAAGTCTCGGGCATAGCTGTTAACTCCGGCAGTCAATCGTGGGGTTGATTTGATGCTTCATGTCGAAAAGTCCGTCGGTGACAGCGGGCGTGCTCTATTCTCGATTTTTCGGCCTCGCCTTTCTTTCATTGCCAATATATATTTCAAATCATTCGCTGTCCTGAATTGAGTCCCTCGATATGTCAGCGTCTCTGGAAACAATTCATCTACCCCACCTCCCCTCGTCGCTAGAGGTCCATGCTGCGCTCTACAAAGATGTACAGAATGCTGCTTCTCTGAGGCAGCAGCTTCTGTCAGCCAATTCAAATTTCGAATATGCATTTATTGACGCAAGTATGGTATGTTCAATTGCCCCGGCGACTATTTTGTCATTGAACATTCGCTTACCTTGAACATCAGGTTATCTCTCGAGCACATGCTCTCTCAGCTGTCTTTCGTGCCGTCAATGACTACCTCAATGAGCGCCTGAAGTCTCGCAATATCCACTCGGAAATTGTCTTTTCGTTCAGCCCAACGAATAACGTACGCTGAATCGCAACGTGTCACTTTTCTCTGGACTGACGACGTTAGATCGCCGACTCTTTTAGAAAGTTCGGTATAAGCGACACCACCTGCAACCTACTGGTGGTCAAAGTTTCTGTGACTCCGGATATTACCCATGACTCTGTCGCCGCACACCTAGCACAGAACGTCCAGGGCACGCTTTTACCATTCGATGACGAAGCACTCGCAGGGATCTCCGACGTAGCGAAGATCAAGAGGGCATATAAACTGGGCTCTTTGCCGTCCGCTTGTTCAAAGCAAGCGAATGGTGCACCTGATGAGGGGAAGAGGCAGCTCGAGCTATCTGTATTGGGAGCGATTGCATTGCGGGGAGCGACCTGAGGGCATACTTGATTTTTGAGACCTGTCTCACTCACTCAACTTGCTACACCCTGAGCCAAAAACGGACCGAGGAAATCGGTTGGCGTGCTCCCAAGTACAGCCTCGAAATCACTTCCAGAAGCCCCGCGCGGCCTTGCGATGACCGAAGGTGTCGTCCAGGCTCTCCCTTCGCCATCACCTGGCTCAGACGCAAAATACCGCCGAACCCGGGTTTCATACCGACAGTGTCTCCCGGGAGCTCACCGTTTGAACATACAATATAACTTGACATCGCTCGACAACAACTAGAGACATGACCAGGCCACCCCAGACCCCTGTAGAAAGCTCTCGTACATAGTTGTAGACTACTATGTATGCTATGTGCGGAGCATTGCTCAATTCCATTGGTTGCCCGGTCTACAGGCATCTTCCCAAAGCGGTAGCTAGTCGGTGCCAAGGCTGTTGACCCCACCCTTATCGATTGCCACACTGCAGCCACTCCGATCTCTACTAGAATCCTGTGGACTTCCGCGGCATTGCAAGCATACAGCATGGCGCCTTGTAGCTTTTCTCTTCACTGACCATATAGGCGCTGCTAACAATATACCTCCCGTTCGCCTCAACAATGCGTACCGCAACGGATTTAATTGTGCTCTCTTCGTCCCCAGAAAGCAGTGCAATTTGTATTCCGCCGCTGTCGCTAGCAGATGCGAAGACAACATCGCTGCGTGACCCGTCTATATCTCCGTCACCTTCGCTGTCTAAATCCTCTCGGCCTCCGACGCGCTCGAGATTCTTTTCCACACCTCCATACAGTCAAACCAAGACAGCAGACCGAATAACTCAGGGACCGCTAAAAAAGAAGGAAACAGCGGCAGATGCGAATCCAATTACTTTGGAGGATAAACCGAAGTCCAGAGGACGAAAGCCTAAATTTGCGCCGCAAACGGAAGTGCAGGGCCTAATTCATGGTGATGCGGAAAATAAGGAAAATGCGCCAACGAAGCCCAAAAGGACCAGGAAGAAAAAGGAAGAAAGTAGAGCTGGAGGCGATAAATTGAAGAATAAAACGATAACTGGGAAGGTCACCAAGTCTGGGCGCTTGAAGACAAAGACATCTGGCGCGAAGCCGGTTGATGGTGAAAAGACTACGCGAGAACGAAGTGCTGGAAAGGAAGACACGCACAGCAGCTGTGAGAAGGATGAGGGACATGACTTACAACTAGAGATCGCTATGAAGAGAAGGATGGATTGGACTCCGACGAAGAAACCAGCTAATTCACCTATTGATTTGGGGGGTCAGGATGACACTGCAAATGGACCAAAGGGCCTCGGTATATTGCTTTCCGAGTATGAATTTAGTGGTACGGGTACAACAATGGTCAGAGATCAGGCATTTGGAGATAGTGAACCGACGAAGCGTCGTCAAATAGAGGTATCATGCTACTCACTTTCCGATAGCAAGTGCTTCAGCTAACATCAACTGCTACGAACAGCTTGTGGATCACAGGGTACTACCAGTAAAGCCGAAGCCCTTACACGAAGACAACGTTGCTCATGATAGTGAGATGGACGCCTCACTATCTGCAGTTTCCAAGCCCAGCAAAAAGCCAAAGCCGAAGACAAAACGGTTGACAACTTTGACTGCTCGTGTGACAGCCTCCTACTCCGAGATATCTAGGAGTCGCTCAGATCCAAACGATCAAGCGGTTTTGATCACTGCGGAAAACACAACAGGAGCGAAATCGAAAAGCCGCAAAAAAAAGACGGCGGACGAAAATCCGGCGTTCAATATACCCAGAACAGTATGCCCCCCGGAGGAGGCGTCTAAGTCGTTAGACCAGCAGGTCCTGGTCTTTGGAACATGCAGCCAGCTCGAGCGAGAAGATTCTCCCACTTTGCTTAAAGACACACAGGTCGCACTCCAGGAGTCAGAGAAGGAGTCAGCAAGGCACCCGTGCCTATCTTCAGGGATTGCGCGCCAATCCTCTGCTGTACTGCGGTTTGCAACGCGAAGGAACCTGTGGTCGGTTGCGGCGAGGGATGCAGAAGGACAGGTAGCTGATGTTGAAGTTGTAAACCTTGTGGACTCACCCGAAACAACTAAATCCATTACCTTGCCCCTCGACGGTGACAAGGAAAAATATAAGGCACTGAGCTCACCTGATGCATCTATACAAATCGCCTCGTCTTTGGACGATGAGGAAAGGAATGATGGGAATGGGAGCGCAGCTACTGGAACGAGCAGTTTATCAGACATGCTAGCGGCAAAGTGCTCGACATCGATCGATGGCACCCTGAACTACGAGTTAGCCGCGACGAAAAGCTATACTGTTGAACAACCGGCTTGTAAGAAGCCAAAAGCTACACATCAGCAATCAATGCCTTCCTATCAGGGGAAAACGGACCTTCAATTGGCGTCCGAGGTCCAGAGCTACGGATTTAAGCCGCTCAAAAATCGCCAGAAAAACATCGAACTCCTTGAGAAGTGCTGGCTAGCTAAACAGGGACCAGCCACCCATGTCGCTAGCGAAGAGACAGCGACAAATCCTTCTGCATCTGAAGCGAACATGACCGAGGAAGAGGCAAAGCAATCCGAATCAGCAACCCAAAAAAGAACAACGAAAGCACGGCCTCAACCACAATCAACAAAGGACAACTGTGATACGACCACAAATGCTGCAGCAATGGACGAGAACAAACAACCTAGCCTAAGCCCTAGACCGAAATCGAGGCCGCAACATCAACCTCCTCTCAAACGCTCCTATATGGAGGTCGAAGAAATCGAAGACTCAGAAGACGAATCTCTCCCCTCCCCAACTGCGCTCCTGAGCCAGTTCATACGCAGTCCGCCTCAAAAAGAAGAAAAGGCCAACAAGAACAAGAAGCAGAAACAGAAACACCAGGAACTACACACCTCTACCATACCGTCGAGTCTGAGCCCATCAGCATCTGCTCCTCTATCGTCTCGACTACAGTCGCGGCAATTCAAGGCCGCACAAACCAAAGCAGCTCTACCTGCAAATAGCGTTCTCCCCGACTTAGGCGAACAGATCACGAAGGCCGTGCGTGCCCAGCCACGACAAAGTCTAAGCCAAAGTCCCGACGGTAGGAAACGGTTTAGCTGGCATGAGAAAATCCTCATGTATGATCCTATCTGCCTTGAAGACTTCACTGCCTGGTTGAATACCGAGGGACTTGCTCTTGTCAATGAGGATAGGGAAGTTACCCCTGGGTTCGTTCGTCAGTGGTGTGAGTCTAAGGGTATTTGCTGCTGTTTTAGGGTTAGGAAGACGGCTGGGCATTTTTAGCTCCATTTGTGGCTTTGCTTTCTTTTTCTTGCTTTTCTATCTTGGTTCAAACCTGAGCATCCTAGGCGTCGCTTTTCTTTGCTTTGTTCTCTTTTTTTCTGGAACTTTTGCATATACGGAGTTGTCCAATACCTGGAATACCCTTATTTACAATATGAGTTGTATAAGTATTTTACCACATTCCTGTATGGAAATGATCAATATTTTTATAAAAAATTTAAATAAGTAAATTTATCGGACTAAAGCAGTGTACATTATAAACAAAACAAAATCATAAACTTGCGAAACTACTGTTAAAAAGGGTACATTTACAGACGCTGGAGCAGAGATCAAACACACCTAGCAGGAGAACAAGCTAGGGAAAGGGGCCTGGAGAAGAGAGAAAGAACTCACTAATCCCGCATTTCCTCATCAAAGTTCTCATCGTCATTGCCTGGCTGAGCAGCGGCATTGTCCCCGTCCACAGACCAATCCATATCTTCTGGCTGCTCAGAAGCTTGCTGAGCTGAAGCCGTCTCAGGCTCGGCCGATTCCGCTCTCTGAGGCGCCACTGGAGATTGAGTGTTGGGCGGCTGCGCGAATGCTGGGAGAGTTGCTGGGTTAGCAGCAGGAGCATTTTCCCTACCGTTGTTGGGACGTGCAGGTGAAACCCACTCGGGCACAGGAAGCCCGATCTTCGTCAAAAGATTATTCGCAAATTCCTCAACAGTCTTGGCTTTACCGATGTTCATTTTCTTCCATTTGAGACCAGCATGACTGATATCGATAATGGTGTCCTGACGAGGAGGCGTTTCTGTGGAAGAGGCTTGTTTAGTAGGAGTACGGGGTTCGCGACGGGTAGACTTTGGCAACGGCGGGTCACCTCGAGAAACCGCCCAGTCACTTAGTCTGGCAGCTTTGGGTGCCCTATCAAAGCGACTAGGAGGAAGTTGTGCTGGAGGACGATAGCCGGGCATCGCTGTCAACAACCTCTCAGGGGGGATCTCGCTACCATAATTGAGACTAGGGTTGTTGGCAGGAGTAGCAGGTGAGGAGTTGTTATTGTTGGTAGGACTAGCAGGTGAGGAGTTGTCATTGTTGGCAGGACTAGCAGGTAAAGGGTTGCTATTGTTGGCAGGGCGAGCACGTGGGGGGTTGTCAGTGCTCACAGGATTCCCGGTAAAGGCAGATAGGGACCTTTGCATGCGTTCGTTTTCTCTTTGGAGTCGCTGGTTTTCCAGCAGCACTCGGCTGAGTTCTCGGGCATTGGGGTCTCGGCGCACTTGTTCGCGCAGCAAGTCGCGTTCCTCCACCGCTGCTGTAAGCTTTGCCAGTAGTTGGGCGTCTGCGGCTGCGATGTTCATGGGAATATCGTTTCCACGTTCCCAAGTAACATGGGAAACTTTGTCTGTGACGGTGCAACGGATGTTGGCCTTGACACAGGCGCTGCAGCCATTGGGATCTTGGTTGCACCAACGGTTCTTGACCTAAAAAGATAGAGAGATGTAGTTAGCATCGTCACCACTAGCTCTAATTCGCGGACAAAGCAAAGAAAAGAGTTTGCCGCTCTGGTTGGACGTACCCTGCACCGATCGCAAGTTGGAACTTGTTTCTGATGTTTGTACCTGTCGATCAGCAATTCAGGCCAATTTAAACTCTGCTCACCACCGGCCGTCTCGGTGAGGCGTTCTAGCTCCTCCTGTTCCTCTAGCTTTCGGGTGTGAGCGTTCTCCTGAGCACGTCTATAGGACTCCGCTGCTTGTGTGCGTGGTTTGCGGGGTTTGAGTAGTTTCTTCGCAGTCTTCGCCCGGGGCCGGGAGACCTCGGTCTCTTCAGGAGCTTCAGTCGTAGCTTGGGTCGGAGTATCGGTAGTGGCTTCCGTAGGGGAAGCGGTAGGAGGCTCAGAAGTGGTGTCCGAACTGGCATCTGACTCCTCGTGAGAGCGCTTTCTTCGGGGTGTCATGCTGAAGAACGTGTTGCGTATTCCAGGTGACCGGGTCTGCTCAAGTGTGAGCCAACGAAGTGTACGGATTTGTTGCTGAAGATAGAGAGTGATTGTGTTGAATATTCTGGTGAAAAGCTTCATTCCATAGGAAAACAGTGACCATTAAATAGACAACCTCCTCGAACCGAGGCTACCGAGTCTTCATTGTCCAGAGCGTTTCGAGCATGGACGAGAGAGCCGTTTGAGGCCCACAGCGTCTTAACAATCACCTAAAACGAACGTCAAAGAGGAGTTTGAGTATGTATGGAAGGGATGACACATAGTGGGTTTTGCCAACAATGCCTAGGCCTCGATCATACTTGAGGGTGGTCATGATCAGAATCATATCTTGTAACACAAGATGGCGGGAGTTTATGGCAAGGAACAATGGCCTTGCGCAAAGAATCAGGGGTCAGGCCTGGGTTTCCTGTTTCCTGGAAGAAGGAGCGACGAACATGTTCTTTGTCGACACATCTGGGCATAAACAAGAAAGGAGCTGCGACGAAAACCACACACTAGGCGCGACACCAGCTGCTGCAAGCACCAATGAGAACAAAACAACCAAAACACGAGGTAAACAAAAAGAAGATGGCTTTCTAGACGCTTTGAGCTTCATTGGATCTAGAATAGGGTGTGGACAAACGAGGGCTGTTTCCCCCTCTCAGATGGCGGCTAATGGAATCAAAAAAGAAATCTAAGGTACATGTAAAACTTCCAAAAATATAGTTAGTCCCAACATGCAATATGAATAAGAGGTCAACCGATATATGCTGGTATATCTGCGTCAGAGCCAAACTCCTCCCATGCCTGTGCACCTGGACGGAAGTTGTAGAACAAAAAATAGTACCCACCGAACAAAGATTGTATATGGCCGTGACGCGAACCTTGAAACACCTATGGCCAACGCGCTTTGGGATTAGAGGCAATGCAGAACGTGACAGCCATCAACCAAAACTACAGGGGACCCACGAAGACAAGTACCATAACTCCGGTGCAGAACCAGCAGGGGTACACAAACGAATGTATCGAAGCAAAAAAATCGTAAATAAGTCGACATCGGACGGGCATGAGGATATCGTGATAGAGGACAGTATTGAGCAATAAATGGCCTCAAAATGGAGGGATATGGACGAGCCAGGGGAAGCGGTCTCCCATGCATGGCGGCCGATGGTAGTGGTAGTAGAAAAAACGTGTGCTATCGGTAAAGCCTTCCGTTCACGGCAACGGTGTCGAAAAATATTTTATCCTTGTACTTCTGGATTCCGCCTCCTTCAAGCCAGGGAGATAGGTTTTTACACTGGCTGACATCGAAAGCTTTCAACTGCGTACAGCCATCCGCTACCGATTCCACTCCAGCCCCAGTCACGCGAACGCAACCGCGCACTGAGAGCCGGTTCAGGTGCAGAAGATGTAGTCCAATGCTACGTAGTGACGGATCAGATATGGCGGAGCCACAGAATGACATGTTGAGATATCTCAATTGAGAACATTGCAGGGCAAGGACCTCCGTTGCCGTGTCTGACAAAGCGCAGCAGAATGACTGTAAGGACGAGAGTCAGCGAGCATCTTGAAGCAAAGGAAAGGAGATTCACATACCAGGTCCAACTCCTGCAATTGCTTTGCAGCATTGGTAAGATATACAATTGCATTATCAGTCAAGTATGTGCAATCCGCCAGACAGAGCTTGCGAAGATTAGTAAATTGAGCGTTTCCCCAGAATTGGAACCCGTGGTCAGTGATTGTTGTGCACCGTGTCAGATCCATTTCTTCAATCCTCGGAGCAGCATGAGATGCAATGTGATGCATAGACCTGTCAGTTACATGCTTGCAGTAAGACAGAGTCAACTTCTTTAGTTCTGGGCACCCAAAGACCGCCGCCCCCGTGGATGTCAGAAATGTGGGTTTGAGAACAGGCTTGCCGGACTTCGCCGGCTCTTCTGGGGGTTTGTACGGGCCTGGAGTGGCCCATCCGAGGATTCGAGCCAAAAGCGTGTCGCTGACTTTTCGGCAATTACTTAGATCCACCTCTTGCAGGCCGTTCGCTCGGAGAGCCATCTCCAGGATAGCGGACGCAGTCACGTCCCAAACACTCTTCATCTTCCAAGCCACGACGTTAGATCCACAGGCATTCACCAGATTATTGAAGCCTTCGTCTGTAATGTGAAAGCAGTTGCTGATATCAACGTAGCGTGGTCTATTGCCGATGAAAGGGCACACGACTTTTGCCAATACGTCGTCGGTGAGGCAGCGATTATAGACGCTCAAATCCAAGTAGTGAAGCAAGAGTGGAGATGAGTTAAGTATCTCAGACCAGTAAAGAGACACTACTCGTAGACGAAGAAGATCATGCAGTTCAAGATACTGGAAGATCCGCACGAGTACACTGTCCGGAAAGATCCCGCGGTTGTCATTGCTGGGTTCGCGTCGTGTCTTTTGCACTGGTGTGGTTGGAGTCCCTGGGAGGGTACGAAACGATGAACTGCTTGACAATGGTTCGGTAGGGGATGGACGTTGTTGATCTCGAGTGACCTCTTCCGGGGTCAACGGAGCGACAGAACCCCGTCGACTACGAAGCCGAACATTATCTAAGCCCACGTTGAGAAAAGGGTCTGGATCTGATGGTCGTAATACGGTGTGATCATCTATGCCGTTTAATGTCCTCTGAGTACTGTCCAGCTCGGTCTCTGTGAGTGTTAGGAGCGGCATAGATTGCCTACGAGCAGACCTGATCTTGAAGCTCTCATCAGCAGGATTGGATCCATCAGTCTCTCCTGCCTCGGCCATGACAACATCGCCATCTGATGCAGACTTGAGTCTGTCTTTCGCGGTCCGTTCAACCTGTTCGCGGACATCTTGCGGGCATTTATCCCACAGTTCAGCTAAAACCTCACCGCTTATCATGAGACATTCGACGGCATTGATTGAGCGCACAGTGGCAGTCCGCCGAGGTGCTAGAGAGAGGCTCACCACCTCCCCGAAATACTGGCCCTGTTTCAAGCGGGCCTTCACTTCGAAGCCAGGATATTCAATGGTACTGGGTAGGGGTCGCCCCCCGTTCCGGGAGTCCTTCTTCTCACTCAGGACTTCCACATCGCCACGAACGATGAAATAAACTTCGCGTCCCTGCGAATCCTGTTTGATGATATCGGTGAAGGGTGGAAATGATCGAGGTTGCGCATTGAGACCCAAAAAGTGGAGGATATCCGGCGGAAGACTCGCAAAGAGCGGCAGCTCCTTGAGCAAAAGACGTACATTCACGAGCCCATTTGCCAGAGCACTTGAGGTTCCATCAGCTAGTCCCGGGCTTGGGGATTTGCGTTTCTTATTGACGAACTTTAGGCTTGCACCGTTCTGTTCACTGAGCGAGAGATCACGGGAAAAAGTCTCTCGTAATCTTTTGGACCCTCTCCGACCTGCATCTATGAGGTCGGCAGAAGGTACCGAAGTCTCCTTCTTCTTCTTCTCGAGTATCATTAACCGCTCCTGGGCCTCGTCCCTGATGGCCCGCTCTACTTCCTGAAAACGAGGGAGGATTCTCCGGAAGTCCTCCTTGGTCAAAACGACCAACAAGCATCTCGAACGGGCGATAATGGTAGCGGTACGTGGCCGATCCATCAATACACCTATTTCACCAAAAAAGGCGCCCGGCTCAAGCTCCGCATATATACTCTCCCCATCTCTAGAAGTAACTGACACCGCGCCTCGTACCAGCCAGTATATCGCCTTTGCCTCATCGCCTTCTGTCAGAATATAGTCATTCGGAGCGCACAGCTGCGGGCGCAAGTGTTGTCCGACCTCGACGAGAAACGATTCAGGCGTTGATTGAAAGAGAGGAAACGAGCGCAGTCGGTCGACGAGGTCCAAAGGCAGAGCTTGAATATTAGACGAAGCCAATGGAGATGGGCGCACCGGGCGATTGGGGTTCGTAATTGAATCGAATGAATGGATTAACGATACAGTGTCGGAGACGGGTGTCACAGCTTTGGTTGAACCTCCGCCGGTCCTGCCATGTCGCCTCATGATGAACGATCGGGACGCTTTCTGGGGGAGGTATAGAGCACAAGACACGAAAACTCAGTTGTATGATTCAAGCAGTGGTAGCATAGATTCGTTGGACCCAGAGAAGAGTTGATGACGTATTGGAATGACGGGAGCTTCAGAGCATCCCCAGTTCCACGGCGCGGGGAGGGTCAGTAGCGAGCAAACATTTGAGCAGCCGACCGGTACCGCTGTTCGCCAGGAGCGAAATAAAACCTATCGAAGGGCTAGAAGTCGAAGATCGGAAGTAGGCAGGATACTGATAGCGAGCATACTGTGTTAGTAAGAGAGCTTGGGCAGGTATAATAATTCATTAGCTTGGAGCTGGGCTAGACTGAGAATACCTCTGGAGGCGGGGATCTCCCACGTCAAACGGCAATAATAATCAATTTAGCTCCACCAACAACTCTGCGCACTAGAAATCCGCAGTGATCCGTGCGAGAGCGAGGTGAATTGCCGATGCCGAAGCAGAGAATGTGTCGCTTTCGATTTGAGCGATTCTATCGCGCCCGAAGTCGAACTGACAGAAGCAACGATGATCGTGGGGGGAAGTGGATGTGGTTCGAAAGCTCAGCACAAGATGACCCTTTCCAAAAAAAAAGTAAAACCTGATGCTGGATAAAGATTCAATTCAGTGTAAGAAAATAATGAAGGAGGGGAGCTGGTGCCGGATTTGTTTGCAGATAACAGTGTAGTAGTGGTTGGTATCAAGAACAATCATAGGGCAATGAGGAGGGGTTCGGCAGGGAAGGAAGATAGATCGTTCTGGAGAGCTTCTAGAAGGTTTCCTAGGTGCTTCTCAATTGCAGGTCTGAGGCGTTGAGTCAGTCATCCCCTGACTCTCTTTGCTTTTTCTTGCGTTTGTCGTTATCAAGTACGGCCGGGCCCAAGCCTGAGAGAAGCTGCCCATGATCATGGCGGCTGTGGTCGAAGAAGCATACTGAGAAAGATTTTAAATGGATTTCTTGTACCTGAGGGAGCGAGCTTTGCATCCTTTCCTGCATGAGATTATTTTGGATGCTTCCGAACACATTAGAATTGCTTCAGGATGATCTAATCTACCAGGTTACAGCACCTGCTATTTCCAGAGCACTGGCGTCTGTACCTCTCTGGCTATGCGCTTTACTGTATACACAGCATGAAACACGAAAGGTCTTGTAAAGACACCCCCATCCGTGTTGTGGCAGTCGCGGGGTGTAGTCACCTGACGTTGGATAGGGGGACTCTGAGGATAAAGAAAGTGACCAGGGCCGCCACGCCCCGGTTTTTGTGTGCGTATGGTGATTGTCTTCAGTTGTGTATAAGAGTCGCCAACGCATTCCCGATAGCGACCATTCTTGACGTCAAATCCCGGCACGAAGATAAAAAATGTGCCTTGGACAACCGGCTCTGGCTGGCTGTCTGTGTAGAGCAGCCCGGAAGTGTAGATCAGACTAGGTAATCGACACGGCTCAATCTCAATCAAGTCCAAGTCGACTGGCCTTCTCGCCCCAAGTACGATGTCCCTACCTCAATGCCCAGTTTTAGCTTTCTGTCAGGTATCAAATCAAGAGGGTTGGCGACATGATGGCGGAATTTGCTTGGCGAGCATTTGGCTTATTGTTAACTCTTCAAGCTTCTCAAGCTTCTTGTTCAATTTTAGAGCGTTGACCGATGATAAAATCAACATATGCAGGTCTATTGCCCTTCAAGCTTTCGAGCCCGTCCTGCAGCAGTCCATAAACCAGGCTCAGCTTCAAGCCCAGTTTTGTTGTTCGCGCTGCGGTGTAAACATCGTGCCGAGCTAAAGTATAGGCATCAGCTTGTTTTCTTTTAGTGCCTCCGGTGAAACAAACCTATCAGACTGTAGATTCCAGAGAATGACAGTCCAGCCGTGACTGTGGATATGAAATCTCTCTGGTCGTGACGAGCGTAGTCCACAGTCTCCTCAAAAAGACAGAACGCCAATGCCCCAGCGCCGAGCTTGAAGCCCATTTTCACGCCCTCTTTAACGCCTCCAACGATAGATATGTAGTTTTTGGTTTTGTGGTATTGGAACCATCCGGTCGGCGTCGTGGGGAAACGATGAGCATTTTCAGCGCGGAAGCGATACGCGGCCTTTTTGCTTCCATTAATTGAACCAATGGCCAGGCCGGCTGAGAAGGCAGACATGGTGGTTAATGGTAGTCTTTGACCAACCTCCATCCCCAATCTAGGCGGCGCTTCCGACTCGAAGAACTTGTCCCAGTGCAATACCTTGTACAGAGTTGTTGACTCCGCGCTGCGAGTCGCGGAGGGTTGTTCAGCGTCCATTATAGAAAACGGGTTTCAATCGTGTCTTTCCAGCTAGTCGATTGATAGCGGAGGCCGTATATCAAGGAAAGAGTCGTTGTCGTTGGTTGACTTGGGGAATTCAAAATTATTGGAGCTTCTGGGTTTCGGGCGAGATCTTTGGTTGAGGTGTCTTTGCGGGAACTTTTGACGTTCTCCGGCTCCAACCTCTCCAAAGCAATAGTGCCGCGGCCCCGCCAGAGCTTTCTAACTAAATCATCCTACTAACTACGAAGAGACCTTGACATCATGGTAAGTCAAGCTCCTCACTGTTCGAAAGCGGATGCATTCTCAGACAAACGAACTACGCTGACTCAGTTGACACAAAGTCGCAACCAGATCCTCTAAGCTGGACCCTACTGTTCAAGAAGCACAGAACGACCGTGCTTTTGCTGCTTCCGCCTTCTCAGACCATCGAGGCCACCAAAACAAAGCTTGTCGAAGCTCTTCGAGCGCGCGGCCTGAAAGATATCAACGGCGACCCGATTCCTGAAGACCCTGCAGAGATTGAGTTTGGTGTTGCAGTGGATAAGAATGACCTGGAGAAAGGCTGGACAAGCCTGGAGGCATCGGACACTGAAGATGATGCTCCCAAGCGAGGGGCTGGGAAGAAGGCTGCAGCCCTCACTTTGAAAGTAGCCGAATTCAACAGCGGACAGTCTATCGCGTTTCGATTTCGAAGGAAAAGCGATATTGGTTCAAATAATCCCAGCGATCTCGAGTTAGGGGACCCTGGCTGGGATGTTGTTCTCCCTACCTTTGAGGATGAGGACGAGGGTCCATAGTGTGCTATTTGTTCCTGCGTTTAGATTCGTTTCGTTATTTTTCTTTGGCGCAAGAGTCGATATAGACTCAACCGGCGTTTATGATATTTTATCGAAAGTAAGTCCTCTACAATGGGGCTTGTTCTGCTGGAGGACGATCGTATCTGGGATGATTGAATCCTTATGAAATTCGCGAGGATACCTTCATTACGGGTATCCTTCATTACTATCGTGTCTGCATAGCTAGGACACCTGACTACTCCGTGAGGTACTCATACAAGATTGAATTGGGCTTCGTAATGAGTCGTAGAGACATCACAAGCTGACCCGCAGGGGTCGGTTAGGCGCTGACGTGGACTAGATTTGGGAATTATAGTCATTACCAATTTCGAACTCGACATGCTACTAGCATTCTCCGACTATTAATGTTTGGTTGGTAAGGCGCTCTCAGATTGTGTGCGTGTCGATAGAATCTGGCATCCTCCCGAGATTATTGACACGGCCCGTCCACGTCTGGGGTTGCTCGAGCAACAGGACATCGCCAACTGTCAACAAATCAAATGGCTTGAAGCCTTCACCGTGTTTCAGTGTAGCTCAGCACGGGTGAGTTCTGGGGAAAAGGCCCACTCTTGTCAACATTCTTCATCGGAGGACTCTCTCTTATCTCTTTTGTTTGCTCATTGCTACCTCGCGCTCTCCAGCTGTCACGCCAAACGGACGGGGCGGACGGCCCTCAATTTCACGACACTGCCACCGACTTACGAGCTACCAACCGACAACATGGCTGCCTCGAGCGACTCTTCGTCTATCAGCGTCACTGTCAGAGTCAGGCCATTCACGATTCGGGAGGCAGCTCAGCTCACCAAATGTGAAGATGGCCCACTGTTTCTCGGTGACGGTTCTCTGGCCGGGGCGCCAGCCCCAAAGCTGAACCAGAAGGGCCTCCGTTCTATTATCAAAGTCATTGACGACAGGTGCCTGTGAGTACATATTCTGATATGCCTGTCTAGCTGCATGCTGACTACTATTTAAAAGAGTATTCGATCCCCCCGAAGACAATCCCGTACAGAAATTCTCGAGAAGTGTTGTTCCCAACGGGAAACGTGTAAAAGACCAGACCTTCGCGTTCGACAAGATCTTCGATCAAAATGCCAGCCAGGGTGAAGTCTATGAATCAACGACAAGAAGCCTTCTCGATAGCGTCCTTGATGGATACAATGCCACCGTGTTTGCTTATGGTGCGACCGGGTGTGGAAAGACACATACAATCACTGGTACCCCCCAGCAGCCAGGTATAATCTTCCTCACAATGCAGGAGCTTTTCGAGCGCATTGAGGAGAGATCAAGTGAGAAACAGACGGAGCTGTCTCTTTCGTTCTTGGAAATCTACAACGAAACAATTCGCGATCTTCTTGTTCCCGGCGGCGCAAAGGGCGGCCTCTCCCTTCGAGAAGACTCAAACAAGGCGGTATCGGTATCCGGATTGTCAAGCCACAGCCCGAAGTCCGTGCAGGAAGTTATGGACATGATCATGAAGGGTAATGCGTGCCGGACAATGTCTCCAACCGAGGCGAACGCAACTTCTTCTCGGTCTCATGCGGTTCTTCAAATCAACATAGCACAAAAAGACAGAAACGCCGACATCCACGAGCCACACACTATGGCAACCTTCAGCATTATCGATCTGGCAGGAAGCGAGCGTGCGAGCGCAACGAAAAACAGGGGAGAAAGACTATTTGAAGGTGCTAACATCAACAAGTCTCTCCTCGCGCTAGGTAGCTGCATAAATGCACTCTGCGATCCACGCAAACGAAACCACGTCCCTTACCGGAATTCGAAACTGACACGACTCCTTAAGTTCTCGCTGGGCGGCAACTGTAAGACAGTCATGATTGTCTGTGTCAGCCCATCTAGTCAGCATTTCGACGAAACCCAAAACACCCTGCGCTATGCCAACCGGGCAAAGAACATCCAAACCAAGGTTACGCGAAATGTTTTCAACGTGAACCGCCACGTCAAGGACTTCCTGGTCAAAATTGATGAGCAGATGGCTTTGATTAACGAACTCAAAGCGCAGCAGAGGGAATCAGAGAAAGTTGCCTTTGCCAAATTCAAGAAGCAATCCGAAAAGAAGGATACTGCTGTACGGGAAGGCCTCGCTCGCATTCGAAACGCCTATGACCATTCGTTACCGGAGAGACAGGAGAGAACCAACAACATGATAAAATTGAAACAGGTTAGCCGCAGGATCGGCCTACTGTCTTCTTGGATTGCAGCTTTCGACAATGTTTGCGCGAACTCTGAAAACGAACTGCCACTGTCAAATCTGCAAGCTGTCCGGAAAGCAGCTCAAGGAATCTTGCTGGAGCTGGAAGGAAGTAGGCAGCATTACCATCAGCGTCTGGCAAAGAGTACATGGGAACGCAGTATGGCATCGGCCGTAGAAAACGCTGTCCAGCAACTTCAAGAATTCAACACTAGCGACAAAAGTGACTTTACTAACCTTCGCCGCGAGGCGGAGCTGCTAAGGGCAAATACTGAGCGAGAAGCTCTTTCGGCGGTTGCAGAACACGACAAGGCAGGAGAAGCCACGACGGTGCAGCTATTACTTCAGGCACACTTTGAGATAGCTGCGGCAATCGAGAATATCATGCACCTGAGCGAGGAAGAGGCCGTGGAAATGGGTAGGCGAAGTCTAACCAAAATGCTTGACTCGTGTTGCACCGCGACTTCAAATGTTGTGAAACCGGACGGCAATGTGCCGCTTATGCCGCCCTTTAGCCCTACCAAGGCTAGCCCTTCAAAGCCGAAGAAGAGGTTGAGTCTAGCCATTGTTCCTCCTTCAAAGAGCTTGAACGCCACGGTTGCATTACACCCTACAGCTCCAGTCTCGCCAACGAGGGGCTCCCCTCGTCGTCGTAAGATGGGCACCGGGAGGAAGAGCGTCAGTTTCTCGCCCAAGAAGGCACCAGCAAAGCCGCCAAAGAGGAGCGTCCGATGGAAAGATGACGAGGGGGACGGTACCCTAACTGAGATTCAGAAAACACCACAGAAACGTGAGGCTATCCCGGCCCCTCGAAATGCTAGTCCTTACGAGCCCGCGCTCCCAAGGGCGTCTCCGATTCCGCGTGGCATACCAGTGCCAACCCGAAACTTCAGCCCTTCAGGCGGTTCATCACCCATTCCAACACCCTCCGACCAACCATTAAGCATTCCGAAGAATAACAGATTCAAGACCGGTTTTTTATCAAAAAAGGCCGGTAGCTCCCCAATTGCTGCCCCTCCTACAGCACCCCTTGCCCTATCCGACCGGAATTCACCCTTGCGTGATATAGAGGGCAGCAGCTTTCTAAACCGTGCATCTGCGGAACGCCCATCTAGAATCGCGGTCAGAACTCCAAGCGGCAACTACTCACCCACGCCTGCGCAGCCTGACACAAAGAACGAATGGAAGGCTAGCAAAGACGACGTGAGAAGGATTAGCACTGCGATGCGACGCATCTCGATCGGATCTTTCGGCCCCGGCGCATCTGCGACTGCGCTTCGTGCTCATCGCCGGCGAAGCCCGACATCAGCAACTTATGGTAGCTCGCCACCAGAGAACACAATGTTCACCGCGCAGGCAAGGCGAATAGCCAAGGGCGACAAGGAAATTGAAAACAAACCAGCGGTCCTAGGGCCCCGAAGCCTTCCCATCAAGAAGAACACCAGCCAGCGGCGCACAACGTTTGGAGGGGACATCCGTCCTAGGGACTTTAGTTTCACAGGCCGAAATGTCCGGTTGAGTGCTATCGGCGGGCTGTGATGAAACTGCCTCAGTGTTGGAAGGTGGCCAGTTCGTGATTGATTATGTTTTTTTTTGTTTGAGTTATTTGGCGATACGGTCAATTGGGGCGGCGTTGCTCAGTTTTATTTTTCTCCATGGGACATACTATTCTCGAAATGTGTACAATAACAGATCCTGCTTGGGGTTCCAATCAGGATCGGGACCTTAGCTGATCACTCGATGAATCGCTCAGCGATACCATACGTCTATATCAATCTGTCAAGACGCGCAAGTATTGATTCTCTGCTAGACGTGTCTGATTTCGCGACATAAATATCGGTTGCGATGTCGTGCATGAAATGACGCCACCGAACGCTTAGCTAACGCGGCGACATTGTCCCGACGACATATCACGTAGTGTATCCCAGCTTGTACATTTGTCTCTCTAGTCATCTCGTCTATAACGTCTCTATCAAAGCGAAAAGAAGCATATAACTCTATCAGCTCTTATCACGACTTGTATGGCGTTCGCCGCCTTCTCACGACTTTTCCGCACATTCTCCACCAGTTCTCCATCCCTCTCACACACACCAGAATCAACGTCGCGCAGTATTAACATGGCGAGCGCATCTACGCAGACGGCAACACTCGCCGCAGGATGTTTCTGGGGCGTTGAGCACCTCTTCCGCAAGGAATTCGGGCAGGGCAAGGGCCTGCTCGATGCAAAGGTCGGATATTGCGGAGGCAACACGGCGTCGCCGGATTACCGGGCTGTTTGTACGGGGGATACGGGGCGTGAGTGGCTGAGAAGTCCTATTTAATGCTTCGATTGGATGCTGATTTGTTGGCAATCCGCAGACGCTGAAGCGCTCCAAATTACATTCGACCCGTCGCTGGTGAGCTACCGCTCGCTGCTGGAATTCTTCTACCGCATGCACGACCCAACGACGAAGAACCGGCAGGGTCCGGATATCGGCACACAGTATCGCAGTGCGATCTTTACGCATGGTGAGGAGCAGCACAAGCTCGCGGAGAGTATCACAGATAAAGTGAGCAAGGAGTGGTATAAGCAGGCTCTTTCGACGGAGGTTATTCCTGCGGGCCAGTGGTGGAATGCGGAGGAGTATCATCAGCTATATCTGCACAAGAACCCGTCTGGATATGAGTGTCCTGCTCAGTAAGTTGACCCGTAAGCAATTGATTGGATTGGGCTTGTGCTGATAGTGCTGTAGCTTTGTCAGGAGCTTTCCGCCGCTTTCTGAGTGACTGGGGACCAGACTATATGATTGACAGCTGAGGAGCTCTATGCGATTGTTGAATTGCCAGAATGCCCCGCGTAGGTATTATAGGACATATTGATGATGGCTACGTCTTTCGAATGAATGTTAAATGTCTTAGCTCTTGTCAATGAATGTAGAGGGAGTTACACTTCTTCCCTCTCGTCTGGGCAAATTCCTCAAGTATCTTCTGGTCAAGCGCATGGATTAGCCCAGTAAGTCATCTGGAAATCTTCTCAATGGCCGCGTGGCGTAGCTGCGGACGCCTGGATCTGGAGTCTTTGGTCCCAGGCCTTTGAGCGCAGACGCGCAGGCAATCAACAACGCGGCAAACACCAATTGCAAGGATGATAAAGCCATGGCTCTCATTCCCGCATAAAGGGTCATGGAAGAGCAATTGATTTGTTCAGTCTAGCAGCTGTCAGTCAAGGCGAGGCAGCTTCTGACTTAGACAGACTGAACAGGTCCTGCTACGGAACCATCCAGAGTCAGAAAGAAGTGCACAATCCCTGCGAAGAAGTGGAGTGAAGATTGACTGGTGAATGAATCTGCTCAATTGCCAATTCTGGCCAGTAACACCAGAGCCTCAGTTACCCCTCTGATTTCCCTCACTTCGCCCACTATATCTTCGCCGTCTTCCTCCTGAGCTCTTCCTCTTCTCCATCTCTTCTCCCTCCAGAGGCAACGTCTTCTTCTCCCCCTCCCTCACGCGTCTCACTCACCTCTCCCTTTGGCCATAGCCCCCCATTTATTCTGTTTCCTTTCTTTGATTTAATTGTCTTTTCAACTCTTAGCTCATCCTCCCAATATTCTCTTACTTGACCTTGGTTTGCTGGCCATCAGTCTGCCGGGAGGCAACCACAAGGGTCTCCTTGAGCCCCTTGAGCATTCAAGTCTCTGCTGAGACTGGTTGGTTGGTTGCTTCAGTTTGATTTGTGTTATCGTTCAAAGTATCCACCATTTAGCAGCGAGCGCCAATATTGCTGCTACATGAGACTCATCGTCGTGCCTTGCCCGCCCCCTCAGAAACACTAGGTTTCTCCACGACAGTTCCGAAGTAAGATACCCTGTTTGGCCCAGTCAGTTCTTCAAGGCAGATGAGCTAATTTGATGTGATTTGTGCAGGGGCATTTACCTCATATACGTCTCCCAAAACAAAACAACTCAAGCTCAACCAAATATTAGCTGTGCGCACTTATTCTCGAATTACTTCGGCCAAACAAACAATGGACTACACCGTCGAGACAGCTATAACTGAAGCTTTGAAACATCTCAAGAATATTGAGGATCATGTCAGCGCTTCAAAAATCCTAGCAAGGGAAGGGTATGCTGATATGCCAGCAGCTTCGGATCCATCACCAGTCCACCGCCGCAAACGAAATCGGCAAGTTGAGCGCCAAGATTGGTCAGGCAGTTAAGGAGGTCCTGCTCCATTTCCCGCAGTGTGCCAACGTCATTGATCTCAAGGTAAGGATTGACTAATTATCATGCATCTTGCTTGGGGTTAAACCTGTAGCAGCATACCAACGGATCGACGGCCGACCATGCCTACCCTCACCACGACGTCAAGCAAAATGCCAGCGGCGGTCATTATGCTATGACCAGCCATGGCAGCCCCATGTTGCAGAAAGTGTGGCAAGCGCTTGAAAACGAAGTGCGGAAAGAGCAGAATAAGCTTGTCAATAAGCCTGCTCACTTCGAAGGTCTCTCGCTCCAGACCCTTCTGGCAACCCCTATGCCCGCTGTCCAGCCTCACAGCTATGCTCAGGTCGCCGGCTCCATTACTTGCCCGCGGCGCGAAGTGCCCCAGTTATTGTCACCAAAATCGATGACTTCGTTTTCTGGCTCAAAGGTGGGCCAGAACAGCGATGATAGCGGATCCATTGGTGACCTTATGACCTTTTCCGCTAGTCCAACCTCAGAGCCTCCTGAGGAGAAAGCAGGAATCATCCTTGTTCATGGAAAGATGAACGCGCAGATGGATGTGTCTTCCCTTAGAAATATTACATCTCATATCAAAGAGGGACCCTTGCAGGAGGTCCTCGTTGAAGCTCATAATAGAGCTCGTATCGTCTTCCAGCACTTCTCGCATGCGAGTGCGTTTTATCAAGATGACCAGGAGTCGATAGGTAGGGATGGCATTGGACGTCTTGGAAAAGACTACCGTGTTGAGTTGGCTGAGATTGTCCCTTGGAACGATAACCATCGTTTGATGAATCAGCCGATCAGAGAGCGTCGACGTCTCTCCTTCGCTAGAAAGGGACTCTTTTCCCACCCTCGCAACCCCATCCCTGGTACCCTGACTCGTGAAGTATGGGATCGGGATATGCGCTCCATTGCTGGCCCCGGTAACACCGTGCGCCTTTTTGTTTTCAACTACGGCAATGGTGAGTCAGCTCTAACTGTTATGTGGCGCTCAAAATCTTGGAGCTAACGTTATCATAGCGACCGCCATATTCACGAGCACGGTTGTTGCTCGTAAAGTTTTGGAAACCGTCAATGAATGGGAAAAGACCAGAACCACCTACCGCGGTGTTTCAGTTTCCTACTCGTCTGATCCGTGCGAGAAAGAGCTCAATTTGACCAAAAATAAGTGCATCCTTGATCGTGATCTTGATCGTGATCGCAACTTTAATCGCAACTTTCAGGGCGGTCGCCCCAACATCTTTCGTGGCAATACTAGGTACATGCCGCCTCGACGCCGTTGATATGACGGATGACTGGCTGGGACACAGTCAGTTACATACCACCGAATAAACACTTACTTCTACTTCGTCATCGGAAGAGAGAGACCTATCGACGACGGCGGAAAAGCAGAATGTCTGAACACAAAAAAAAAAGAAAATCAAGAAAGACAAAAAAGAAGGGGGCCCTGGGCTAGGGCGCGAGTCCATCGAGGCAACATCAACATGCGTCGCACACAAGGCACGAGTTTGACCGGTGCCAGGGGGAAAAGGAGAGAGCTTCCTGGCTCGAGATCAACAGTTTCATGTATGCCTTACAGCATGATCATCCGGGATCTCGAGGACAAGAGGACGCAAATGCCTGGGGCCAGAGAATTTGTTTTTGTGCGTTCCATTTGTCATCCGGATTGTTACATTTTACCCACCTACATCGATCAATTTATGAAGTCTTATTGGGTTAAGCTTAAGCATTGAAGATTTCTATTCCATCGGCAGTGGCATGAACCCGAGTTGTGTAACCGTAGTCTTCAAAAGCATGGTTGACGTACCTTGTAGCAACATGGTTCTTTGTTGCTCGTGGGGGCGACAGGCAATCACATTCTTTCCTGAAATTGTGATAGACACCCGCATCGCATCAACGAAATTGCTTCTGCTAGATAAGTCTCTATATATCAAGATACTCGACGAAGCACCAGCTAGCAACCTAGCACCACAAGCTCAGGGCCTCGGGTAGCACAGCAGGCCGTTGAGACGGCGCCCGGTCAAAAAGCAAATAGCCAGCGACATGACACATGTGGTACTCGTACATCGTGGCGCCTGTACTCCAGACAAACAAGGATCATTGCTTTTGTGTTGACGCGGGATACACGCCGTACATAACTTTTTACATTACAGCTCATCTGAGTGCCTACGTATTTACCTTGAGCCCTTGCATGACTTATGAGCTCCATAATCCTTGCCATCCTCGAAGAGTCGTTTGTGCATCATAATGACCAAGACAGTAGACTTCATATCAACTTTCAATCATTCCAATGAACAAAGCCATTATATTGCACCAATTGACGAAAACGGGCTTGTTGGATAGGTATGTCCTTTGTGCCCCTGGACCCTTAAGTCGATGCCCCAAATCTGATCGCGGAATAGACCGACATCACCAGGAATGTCGAATTGTCGATTAGAAATTCGGATTGACGTCAAGAGCCACGCGGTAGGGCCCTTGCACAGCGCTGCAAGGACGGTAAACTGGGGATTTGAGATTTGTTTGGCACGGTACCGCAGTCTCAGGAGCTACGCTATACAGCTGAAAGAAAGAGAAGGGCTCGTCCAAGGGACTAAGGGACCAACTAGGATACACTTGGCTAGCTCCGAATCCCTCCAGCTGTTCTTGCTCAATGCCGGATATTATTAGCCGGCTAGAGTTCGCTAGACAGTGGGCTCTAGGCGCTGGTGGAGTCTGGTATTACCGGTACCGAGGTCTGCGCTCTGATAAGAAGGGTCTGCTTGCGGAGGTCTCAGAGTGTAGCTGCTGTAGACTGCGGTGGCCTAGGTCTGTAGACACAAGCCATAATGTTCAACTCATAATCTCATTGTTGTTTCCGGAGAATTGTGTAGATTCCATGTGCTCAGTGGCGACTCCGAAAATAACGGCGTGGAGCACCAAGAGCCATTGTTCCTTGGTAAGTCAGTCACGAGCTGGTGCCTGGCAGTGGCACTGGGGCTGCGGAGTGAGACAGACGCTCAACAATAATGAACATCCTCGGGTCCAGCATCCGATTGCAGTGCAGACTGTGTTGTACTATGATAGGGGAAGATATTTTATAGTGCTGAATAGTATCCCGATTTTAAATAGCTCTTGATCTTCTCGGCATCAAAATCAGTATTCTTCAGTCTTCTAGATAAGGGTCCCGAGGGTCTGTATTGTCAATACACAATCTCCGGAAGCGTTGGCTGATAAGCCCACTCTCCAAGATCGGCGGCCTTTAATAGTCCGTCCCTCTCCCTTTCCCCGTCCTCGATCCGGTCGTTCGTTTCTTCTTTCGTTTTCAATCTATTCGAGATTCGATCGCTAAAGGAGCAGAGCTTTATTGTCTCTTCTCCCCATCCTGGCCCTCTCTCAGCGGTGATTCTTTTCCCGCAGTCCCTCGTTGATTGGTGCGCTCCTCGATCATACAACTATACCACTATACTCGAGTGCCTTGTATAAATCACTCTATACTCTTCATATCTGAAACGCAATCTCCGCATACTCTTTGTGAGTCCACCGTCACACTCCTGGTCATCGTCATCTGCAATTATCTTGCGACCTGCATGTAATTGCATCGGTCATTCTGGTCTAGCAATCCCAGTACCAAGTTCTCCTGAGTGGATAGTGGACAAAGACTTTTGATCGAGGCCCACCTCTATACCATGCGCTGAGATGCACCTGCGTTGGACCGGATTTTTAACTGATTTCCCCTCCGTTTCCTCCAGAACTTGTACCCTGTATATGATTCTTGGCCTCCTTTGATTCCGTTACATCGTCGCCATGTTGCGTCTCCAATCCGCTCTGTTCCTCGCCTATCTGGTGGTCAGGTCTGTCGCCGCAGACGACTTTACCCCTCCCAACTGCAGTCTTGATGAGCACTGTCCTGAAAAGTACCCCTGCTGCTCCGGTATGTCTGAATTCTTCTCATATGCACTTCACCCGCTCACGTTGCACCAGTGTACGGACAATGTGGTACCGGCGCTTACTGCCTCGGCGGTTGCGATCCCCTGATGTCGTACTCTCTTGACTCCTGCGCCCCGATGCCCATCTGTGAAAGCAAGACCTACAAGTGGGAGAACCTGGACAACGCCGCCACGAACAGCGAATATCTCGGAAACGCCTCAGCAGCCGACTGGGTGTACAGTGGTGAGCCCAAGATTGAGGACGGAAACCTTGTGCTCACCATGCCCAAGGAGAGCACCGGCTCTCTCTTTGCAAACAACCACTATATCTGGTACGGCAAGATCGGCGCCAAGATCAAGAGCAGTCGCGGTGCTGGTGTTGTTACTGCCTTCATTCTTCTCTCTGACACCAAGGACGAGATCGATTACGAGTGGGTTGGTTCCGATCTGGCCGAGGTCCAGACCAACTATTACTTCCAGGGCATTCTTGACTGTGAGTCGCCTTTTTCACCACCTGCCTATCATGACACTAATTCTCGTAGACGACAACGGTGGCAAGTCCAAGGTTGATGGTGACAACACTTATGCGGATTGGCATACCTACGAAATCGACTGGACTCCCGAGAAGATTGACTGGTTGGTTGACGGCGATGTTGTTCGAACTCTTACCAAGGAATCCACGTTCAATGAGTCCGCGGACCGTTACGAGTACCCCCAGACCCCGTCCCGAATGCAGCTGTCGCTTTGGCCCGCTGGTCAAGCTAGCAACGCTCAGGGAACCATTGAGTGGGCTGGAGGTGAGATCGACTGGGACTCCGAGGACATCAAGAACCAGGGCTACTACGCTGCGTACTACCAAGATGTGACCGTGGAATGCTATGACCCTCCTTCCGGCGCCAAGATCGACGGCGACGTTTCCTACGATTTCAAGGACGACAAGGGTCTCGAGAGCTCCGTTGAAATTACCGACAACAAGACCGTGCTTGCCTCTCTCGGCGCGACCGGTCTCGACATGGACCTTGGCTCCAACAAGACCAGCAGCAGCGGAAACTCTACTGGTACCATCTCCAACTCCACCGTCCCTCAGAACCAGGGAGGCACCGGCAACGTTGTCGGTTCAACCAGCGGAGGTGGCTCTGGCTCATCTAACACTGGCTCTTCCGGGGGCACTTTCAGTCAAGGCACCGAGGACACCACCGACGGCGGCGAGAACGCTGCTCCCGCCGAGCGTGTCCTCAAAGGCTCCTTCTTCGCAGTCCTGGTCGCTGTCGTTGTCCTCATCACCATGTGAAGACTTTCAACCTTCTTCTTCTCTGTTTACATCTTCTTGGACTATACTTATTTATTTCTTCTTTCATCTCGGCCCCTGGACAAACAGCATAACGCGTGGCCACCTTTTCTAGATATACATTCCCGCCATATCATCCTTGTCATGTTATACGTTATGTTCTATACCTGGGCACGATCGCCTCTCTCTCTCTACCCTGTTATCGCCTTGATACCAGTGACTTTTACTGTGTTCAATTTCACGTCTATTTATTGACTGACTCTTGGGTCACTCGGATGTCCTCATGTTCTATCTATCTATTTCTGTCATGATCCCGCAGTGACTGCGCCGACTCGTACTGCTACTAGATCTGGTGGGTTCGTGGACCTCTATCCAGACTCTCCAGCAACAAAATCATATAATATATACCCTAGTCTTCTGTTCCTTGCTCTTCTGGCTGTTGTCGCTTTCGATCCATCATCGTTATGTCATTTTTGGTTCTGGGAATTGGCATCTATTAATTGCATTGCACGCCTTGGTTTGCCCTGCCTATTGATTTTCTCATTGGCTGCTGGGGGTCGCTTGCATTTGCGCTTGCATATTGTTTGGGTTTAGTAGTCGCTAATCCAAATAGTAATAACGAACCTATAGGCCCAAACATCTTGCCTAAAGGCCATACTGACCCGCATCCTATCAGAAGCCACCGACCTTGGAATCCATAATAAGCAAAATCGCCGTATAGCGCGACTAGTAAACACGTGGACCGGTCAGTCCGGCCTTCCAAGGTTCATTAGATGCAGGTCAGGATCATTACCAAAGTCCGCCGCAAAGTAAACATTGATCTCGATCCATGGGAGGGAAACCCCTCTAAAAACCATGGCTGGGAGAAACATACTGAGTTACCTAGGTCTTGTCTATTGCAGATTGCTCGGAATGTGACCATCAGTTGGCACGGTGATGTTCTACAGTTGAATATATATATGGTAGGTATATTTCATGCCCAATATGACCTCTCATAGTTCTATGGAACGCCACAAGCATAACTATAAAACTGACTAGAGTAAAAGAAACCCAAAACCCGAAATATCCTTGGAATGCATGCCTGTTAAAAATCGAAAGAGCATATGTAACACCATATATGAAAGCCCAAGCAGAAGAGGAAGAAGAAAGGAGTTCTACTAAATCCCATACACATCCAAACCAATCTGAAATCAGTGAACACTGCCACATCCACACTCATCACCGACTAATCCGCGCTTCCGCTTGAAGTCACCATGGTACGTGTCGAGTCCATCGGTACGAACGTCGTCGCCAAACGGGTTACCCAGCCAGCTGAACTTTCCGTCTTCAGCGGCAACATTTCCACTTTCAGGACCAGAAGCAGCGGACCAGTACTCAGAGTGCTGGAGGCGGTTTGTGATTGCGCTGACGTCTAGACCGAGGTAGTCGGCGAGGAAGGCTCCCACTTCGGTATTTTCGTGGTTGCCCTGGAGCGGCCAGGCGTCTTTGGAGGATGAGGCGTAGATGTTTACGTCGACGCCTGTTTAAGAGCAGAATAATTAGTACATAGCGAGGGAATCTTTGGTTAAATGGGAGGCATACCAGAGTGGCCGTGCGTTGACCAGCCGATTTGGGCTCGGCGGCTGATCATGTCGGCGAAGACGTAGGCTGGGATGATTGGGCTGTTGGGGTCAAGAAGGGAGTCGATCTCCTGCTGAGTCGCGTCTTCAATTCCTAGGGCCTTCTTGAGGAGGCTTCGAGTGTAAGTCTCCTGGGCAGGCTTCTCGGGATTCTGGCTGAGGTAGTCTTGGAGCTCATTGGCGGCATACTCCGAAGAATGGCTTGCATTGGCGAGCACGCCTGGATACCAGAGATAATCGGGGTAGGCATCGTGTAGCTGGCGGGCTGCGGCAAGACCACCGGTTTCGTGGTCGGATGTGGCGACCAGAACGCCTGGCGTGGAATCCTCCTCGAGGAACTCGAGAACCGCGGCAAAGGCCTTGTCGTAAGCGAGAACCTCGTTGACTTGCGCAGCTGGATCGTTGCCGTGACCTGCGTGGTCGATGCGGGAGCCTTCAATCATGAGGAAAAATCCTTGCTCGCTGTTCTCCGTGGCATGGCTGAGGGTTTTCAGTGCCGTCCGCGCCATTTCCTCCAGAGACGGATACACATCATTCTGAGTTCGGCGGTCGATTTCATAGGGGATGTCCTTTTCCGCGAAGAGGCCCAAAAGTGGCAATCTTGATTCCGTTCCCCCATTTAGGCTGTCAAAACCTTTCCGGTCGCTGATGTATGAGAACCCCTTTTCCTTGGCGATAGCCACAAGATCACGCTCATCCGCCCGACAGCTACCATCCGTTGTGTTCGGCAAGAAATGGCATCGTCCACCGCCCATGATAAGGTCCACCACACGGCCCAACGGATGTTCACCAATCTCCTGTTCCGCGATCTGGTCTTCGTACTGTCGGAGATTTACGTGTGACGCGAAGCAAGCCGGTGTAGCATCGGTGATGCGGGTAGTGACCACCAACCCGGTCTTGTAGCCGGCCAGAGACGCGGCCTCGAGCACCGTTCCACAGGGGGAGTGGTCGGGAAGCACAGAGATGGCGCCGTTGTAACTCTTGAATCCGCACGAGAAGGCCGTCGCTCCGGCCGCCGAGTCTGTGACCAAACTCGAGCTGGACCTTGTCCGCGATGTACCAAGAATATGCTTGTCCAACATGAGGACTTCATCTGCTGGAAGCCCCTGTGTGAGCTGCTTGAAGCTTCGGGTCATGGTAAGACTGGTTGGGCCCATTCCGTCGGAGACCATGAAGATAAGGTTGCGTTTCCCAGTCGGTCTTCCTCCAGGACCCCATGGTTCTTTCTCGTGGCTCTGCGCCCGGCTTGTTTCGTGTTGGTAGACAACTGCAATAACTATGACGGCGACGGTGGCTATGAGTGCCCAGGCAAAGAGGCCGACTTGTCTCCAGAATCCCCACCCCCGATGACTTCCGCCGCTGCGGTGGGTGCGCTCACCAGTCAGCAAGGCGTCTTCCTCCTCGGCATTGCGAATCGAAGACTGTTCTGATGATGGCCTTGGAGCCAAAAGAGGCTCTTCTCGCGGCATTGCGGGGGAGCACAACGAAATGAAGGGATGGTGGGGGTTGACGTTGGAGTTGGGGTTGGAGATGGGGAACTTGGGGGTTGGATCGGGCCAAAGCTGTCAAGCGGCTGACTGAAGGGGCTTGGCGTGGATTTACGTCAGATCCACTCTCAGCCCTGCGCAAGAAGACAAAGGTAGATTGCTATATAAGATACATATAATATACAGTTTGAGACATACGGATATTTACCTCCCCTTCCATCCGATCGGAATCATGGCAGCCGCAATCTCAGAGACTCCCCGCTCGGTCGCGAGCAGGTTGAACTGCGCAGCAGCGTTCCTCGTATCCACCACTTCAACCCGGATCCCAAGAGCGTTGATGCGCTTTCTAGTCTCAGGCGCGAGAGGGTATATGGAAGCTCCCATTCCAAGAATCAGCAAATCTATATCACAGAACAGTCAGTACACCATATGAAAAGGAACAGCAGAAGGAAAGAAAAAAAAATCATAGTCAGAAAACATACCAGGACGAGGCCACACTAGGTCCAGAAGACCCCATGCCTGCTCATCAACCTCAAACTGCCCCTTCGCATTGACCATACTGCTCTTGTCCCCGTCCTGTTTCCCCAGCCAAGGTCTCCAAGTGAAAGCCTCTCCGCCGACCAGCATCACCCCGTCACCACCTGTAATCTTAACACCATTGTCTAGATGGAATCCCGTATCCAGACAGGCATCGACCGCCGTTGTCGGGGTAGGGATGTTTCCGAGAACATTAAGCGCAGCGAAGTCAGTCTGAGTATCCTCCTTTGATGGCGGGCCGCGGTCATGGCTGCGTGGTTTCGATGGATGGGCGCGGGACACCATGCGGGTTGGGCGGATGTGTGCAGGGCCATTAGAGCCGCTGTTATGGCGACGAGAAGAATCGAATGGCGAGGCGATATGAGCTTGCATGCGGGTAAGGTTCGCGCAGAGAGGGGTGGCGGCTCTAACTGTGGTTGGGGATATGGATGTTCGCAGGGCTCGAAGGAGCTGAAGAGATGGTGGATGCATTTTCAATCTTCAAAAACGGAATTTCTGCGTAAAACAAATGCACACAAATGGTTGAATTGGGGAACAGGAGAGAGACGCAGGCAAGCTCGATGAAATGGGCATGTTGCGATAGTAAAAGGCGGAGAGGTGCCTCATGAATTAGGCACTGAGCTATTAACCAATGGCAGGCCGCACAATTACCATGCTGAGGACGGAGTAGAGTCTAGACAGTAGACTCAGCTGCAAGAGTAATACGTAGGGAGAGATAGCAGCAACAACGACTTTTTATTCATTATAGATACTGCTATAGATAGTATCCCATTATCGCAATATTTCCAAACGTAGCTATCTAGGAAAACCCCTGCCGCCCTTCGCCACAACGGTCGAGTTCCTGTCAAATGTAAAATGTCATACAAGGTCGTATATCACCCCAAACGCCTTTTAGCCCGGAAAACAATATGTGAAGCAGATGGACGATAAACACCAATCACCGATCAAATCTACGAGAGCAGTATTCCACCCGCCATTCTAACTGAGGTCTTTGGTCTAATAGATAATGCATAGGCAATGTCGCCGTCGCCGTCGCCCATTTCAGCGTGTGACCATGCTGGGCAAAGGCTCTATGGATGGTGGAATTGAGCTTGTCGGGTTGCATTTCGGTGAGTGTTTCGATCCTCATCGGACTGGCTGGAGCTGTCCTCCGCGGCCGCCGAAGTGGATGCGCTGCGCAACCGTTGAGCTCGGTCTTGCAGCACTTGAGCTTTTGCAGCAGCCTCCTGAGCACGGATTTGCTTGCGCCACATGCTTGCATACCGACCCTTCATCGCCAGTAATTGGTCATGCGTCCCGCTCTCTGTGACCTTACCCTCACTTAGGACCAGGATCCGGTCAGCTGTTGTGATGGTGCTCAGTCGGTGTGCAATGACGAGCATCGTACGGCCGCGAGATAGCGTTGACAGAGCACCCTGAATATGTTCCTCCGTCTCGGTATCCAGTGCAGCAGTGGCCTCATCCAGGAGAATGATTCGCGGATTCTTGAGGATCGTCCGAGCAATTGCTACTCGTTGTTTCTCTCCACCACTGAGTCGCAGGCCACGCTCACCAACCTTGGTGTTGTAGCCATCTGGAAATGACATGATCTTGTCATGAATACTTGCGGCCCGACATGCTTCGTAGACGTCTTCGTCCGTGGCATTCGGATTGGCATATTTCAGGTTATACATCAGAGTCTCATTGAAGAGAACAGTGTCTTGCGGCACTACTCCGATATGTCTTCGTAGAGAGTCGATAGTGATGCCTTCGACATCATGCCCGTCAACTAGGATTCGGCCTCTTTCAGAATTGTAGAATCGGAAAAGCAGGCGGAAGACGGTTGACTTTCCTCCGCCAGACTCACCGACCAACGCGGTGGTAGTTCCGGGCTCGCAGTGAAATGTAAGGCCGTTCAACGCCGGTTTACGGGCGTCGTAGGAAAATTCAACATTGTCAAATTTGATGTCTCCCCGGCAGAGCGGCAAAGGCCGGGCGCTAGGTCGATCGACAACGGTAGGCTGTTCCCTGAACAATTCCAACAAGCGCTCCGAGTTAATCAGAGCAGACTGGATGGAACGATAGAATGTTCCGAAGAAATTGAGGGGCCCCTGCAATTGGGCCATATATGTGAGAAGCAAGACAAACTGACCTACATTCCGTTGACCGAGAGAGACTTGATAAGCGGCAATGAAACAGGCAATCAGCAACCCTAGCATAAAAATGGTATTCTGCGAAGTGTTCATCAGGTTCAGAGAGAAAAGGACATGGTATTCGGCCCTTTGGTAGTCGGCTACTGCGGCTCGATACCTCCCGAATTCATAATCTTCCGCGTTGAAGTATTTAACTGTCTCATAAGAGACCATTGAGTCGTTCCTAGACAATTTATGTGAGTAAATCGCATAGCATCTAATCGTAAACTGTATAACTCACTTCACCGCGTCTTCTTGCCGGGATGAATTGACCATCTGCCGCCGGATCTCCGCCCTCCACTGGGCCATACGGATAGTCACGTAAAGATAGCAGAAAGTAACAATGGTGACGACGAGAGCGTAGTAGGCGTCTAGCGCAACAAGGAAGTAGACGATCGCAACGCAGAGATCGACCAGCATTGGGACCACCTGGAAGGTAATTTGCTCCAAGAATGTGTTGATCGAGCTACCTTTGCTAAGAGCCGAAAGCACCTCGCCCGTTTTTTTTCCAAGATGGAAATCCAAGCTGAGTCCATGGACGTGTTCAAAAGCGGCGGTCGACAGTTCCATGTAAGAATACTGGCTGACAGGAATCCATAACGTTGAACGAAGGGACCCAATAAGACCCTGATTTCCTTGAAGCCACCGAAACAAGATGTATAGGCAGATTTCGAACCATGGCACGCGGAAGTCGTCGCCCTGTTCGGATAGTTTGTTGGTAATTTTAGCAACCTGGAGAGGAACGAGGACATTGACGACACGTTGGAGAACAATCAGCATGAAACAAACCAGCACCACTAACTGCAGACGGCGGGACTTGGATGGCCAAAGATATGGGAAGAATAACGAATAGCCGCTGAGGTATTCCCACCAACTGGTGGATGGTTGTGTTGTTGGGCGAACCCACGGATCTGCTGGCTTGGGTTTGTGCTGATCACCATGAACATTATTAGTTGAGCCATAGGCATGTCCGTTCTCTGTCCCAGAGTGAAGAAGCCCAGTAGTTTCTGTAGGACTGTCTCCGTTCATACGGGCCGCTCTATGGGCCACAGGCGGAGATCTGAGGGAGCTGCACGCATAAAGCATGATTAAGACGAGCAATAACAGGAGGCGGATGCTGTTGCAGACGATGCTTGCAGCCTCCCACATAGTGACACCTCCCTGTAATTGGCCGCCAGTGGGAGCTCCAACTGCAGGCTCATGGTGCGGGCGAGAGTATATGGAGAGTGAAAGCCCAAGGATCGCCATTTCAAGGGGTGCGGCTATCAGCCATGGCACAAACTGAGCGAATGTCGGCGATGGGTCGGTATCCAACAAGGACACAAGGATAATGGCATAGTCAAAGAACGACCCCACAATGTAGATCTGTCAGAAATTAGCCACACATCATCCTTTAGTGATATCACACATGCCACAGAGGGCAAAATGGAGACAGGAAAGCATACCACCACTGCTTGGCCACACCACCACTGCTCCGATCTGGCAACCATCACATGAGCCACGTTCACAGCAGCCTCTGCCACCAGCGTGACCAGAATGGCAGCGGAGAGCAATTTGAAGCATAGTTTCGCGTTTCGGGAGAACTTTTGGGCCGATTTTACCACGGCTATTGTACTCCTCGACCGCTTGGGGAGTGGACGGCCCCCTGGGCCGGTCTGCGAAGCACAGGAATTTCGGGTCGCGGTTCTGGCCGTCACGATCGAGTTGGCTATAAATGCCGACGCAAACACGACAAGGATCAGGATCGGGTAACCGACTCGAAGGGATTCCAGAAATCTCCGCATGACGTTATGGCGACCCATGGTGAGCGATTTCCTCGCGCAAGGTCCTAGGCACTATATCCGAAGACCGTCAATCAGAGTATTTCCATGGCACAGCGACAGCAGCGTTCCTCCAGCCTCGGTATAGCTGAAGACTGGACAGTGGATGGTCTGGGGATTGGATTGGGACGCGGGAAGATTGAGGAGAATCTCGGCGAACGAAATTTCGAAGGGATCGACGGGGAAGAGCGCGGTCTTCGTGATCGTTCTTCTTGAGCTCTAGCTCAAGGATATGGAGATATTAAAGTTCCAAAAGAAAGGAGAATAAAAAGAAGACAATTGCAGCAATTGGAATGCAATGTACAAAAACGAGGCAGCACGCGAGAGAATAAAACGGATAGCAATGAAGGGCCGGGAACAAACGGCGGGTGGACGGAGCTGGGACTACCCTAGAGGGGAGAACGAAATGGACATTAGAGGGAAGAGGAGGAAGAAGAGAGAGGGGGGAAGAGAAATGTTGTAGTTCAAGGGTTCAGGAAAAGTAGAGAATGAGGACTACTAAAATACCGGTGACGAAGAGACGCATGGAGCTTCTGCTGGCCATGGCCCAGAACAATTCCAGACTCGACTAGCTGGGCCCCAGAACCGAGCTCTGCATTATTATTATTCAAGCTCACTACAAAGAACTCTCAGGTCGCATTTTTTAGGAGGCCATCCTGGGTATTATTCTCGCCGGTCTTCTCCTTCAACGCTGATGATTTCCTGGAGACGGGGGTTTTCGCGCTCAAGGATTGCTTCCTACGATGATCTCTCGATGGTCTTGATGACGGGTGGCTCTGAACATGCCGTACTTTGAATGATTATGTTACAAAATCGAATAACGACAAAATGTGATGCAGTTTGTGCGCTTGCTCCCCCAGGATCTCGAGATCATCAATGGCCAGCAGTCAGCACTCGTCAGAGCTGGGTGGGCTAGAAAAGGATCAGTGCCCAATGGGATCTTGCATTACAGGGAAGTTCCTCCAGAGTAGATGGCGGTAAAACCTGAAGACCGGTCTGCTTGTGATCTTGAAGAATTTGGAGATGGACTGCGACTCGAAGGACTCAAAGTACGTTCGGAGTACAGCGATGCAGCCGACGTTGACTTGCTAAGCTCTGGCAAGACAAGCAGAGCACGGAGTGTTTCCAATCCAGCCGAGTTTGACGGTCTTGGAAGGGAGGTGACATCAGATCTGGAGTGTTTGCTCCAGAGCCAGATCATCGATATCAAACCTCAGCGTCCTATCAATCCCGAGGCTGCGGATGATCTAAGACCTACTAACGGAGGGGTTGAGATCGAGATTCGAGGCCCCCCTACACGCCTATACATAGCACAAAGGTGAATCTCATGATCGACTGGGAGCTGGCTTGCCATCCAATTCGCTGCCAGACTTCCTCCACGTCAGATGGTCAAAACATGGCAATCTCGAGTCCAGCTCACCACAGAATATGCTGCCGTACACCGCCGTTAGCTGGAAGGTGAAGCTCGACGTTCAAGGCTGCCAGTCAACCCCTCCCTTTGCTCTGTTTGACGTTTGTTCCATCCAGCCTGCATCCGGCCAGGGTCTTTGGGCCAACTGGAGTTGAGCTCGCCCTTCCGCTGCGTACATACGTCGGTCGCTCAGGCATTCGAGTCGAGACGATATGGTCTAGTCGAGTGATATATCAGCTGGACGTTTGGTACAGGTCTATCTAGATATCCGTAACTCAGACACCTTGAGTCGTATTGTAATAGGCCGGCACTAAGCCAAATTCGAGCGTAACTCACGCGCGTGCGACGATTCTCGATTGAGCCGATTCTCGACAGATGGCAGCGGCCAACCACGTCAAAGATACTTTTCATTGCCCTAGAATCCTTTGCATCGGCTCATCAGGCATTCGCCTCAGTCCCTACTCGCCTGCTTGATATTTTTGCCGCGTCGTCCAGCAGACTGACTAATCCCGACCGACTGGCGACTGGCCGCTTTCATCCCGGCGCCCGCAGGAAACCGTCGCAGCTCGTCTCCGGACACGGTTTGAACCTTTCCCCGCGCGAGTGCATCTGACAGCTTGTCGCAACCCGCCATTCCCCATTGTCCTGGACGACCATGGAGCCTCGATCTGTTTCAGTTAGGTCTTGATGATGCGCGATTGAAGCATGACTTCCCCGACTCCACCCCCTCCTCCGCCTGCCCCGATACAACAACAGAGCCAGAACCAACCCAAGTACTCCCACCGCGCGGCCAATGCCCTCGCTAGGTTCGCCCAGCCTTTCTTGTCAGGTTCTCGGCCACCCAGTCCGCACGGCACCGGGGCTCGTACAGAGCCTGCTGCTGTCCGTTCTACAAGGTCTAGGTCTTTGTACAGCCTCCTCGCCCCCCTTCCCTCCCCCCCTTTCCGTTTAGTCCATCTCTCTACGCAGCCTTGTAATAGGTTCCCGCTGAACTTCATCTACCATAATCCGATTGGATCTTTCTTCGTGATTATGAGGCTTTGACGCATCCATACTAATACTAAATGCTCTGTAGGCCCGGCGCATCTCAGACAATCACCCATAAGACAGGCATTTCGATTGCTGCGTTGGATATCTCCCCGCAACGGACACATGCAGTGATTGGAGGGAAAGAGATTCTGAAAACGATCCGCGTCCTGCCGGATCATTCGTCGGAGGAATTCAATTTACGCAATGCTATCATCGGTTACTCCTCGACCCATGGCGTCGGCAGCGGGCTTTCCGCGCGGCACAAGGAGCAGCTGACGGTTAAGGATGTGAAATGGTCACATGGACCCTACGAACAGATAATTGCCACCGCGGTGGCCAACGGCCGCATAGTCGTTTATGATCTACATCGAACCGGCTTGGAGTACTGCAGGTTTCAGGGCCACAGCCGCCAGGTTCATCGCCTAGCCTTCAACCCGCACCAGCCAGCATGGCTTCTCTCCGGTAGTCAGGACGCCCACATACGGATGTGGGATTTGCGTTCCGTGCCAATGGATAGTGGTGTCTCAGTGTGTGGAAGTAGGGACCACTATAACGGCAATAGCGACGCTGTCCGTGACATCAGGTGGTCTCCCGGCGACGGAGTCTTGTTTGCGGCTGCCACAGATAGTGGCGCAATCCAGCTATGGGATATTCGCAAGTCGAATGGTCCTCTCATGCGGATAACTGCTCACGACAGGCCTTGCTATTCCGTAGACTGGCATCCGGACGGGAAGCATGTTGTCAGCGGCGGCACAGATAGACAAGTCAAGGTCTGGGACTTTTCAGCAAACGCTGATCGCAGGCAGAAACCTCTATTCCAGTTTCGAACTCCTCAGGCGGTTCTCAATGTCCGCTGGCGTCCGCCTTCGTGGTCCAGAGAGACGGACAGTTCTGGCGACTGGCAGTCATCACAGGTAGTTACCTCTTACGACAAAGAGGACCCGCGGGTTCATTTGTGGGATTTCCGTCGGCCTCATATTCCATTCCGAGAGTTTGACCGATATGACTCAACCGCCACGGATTTACTTTGGCATTCCAAAGACCTTCTGTGGACTGTAGGTGATGGCGGTGTCTTCACTCAGACCGATGTACGTTATGCGCCTCAGGTGGTAAACCGGCGTCCAACCTGCTCGGTTGCCTGGAGTCCCAGTGGCGAGGTTCTCGCTTTTTCCCAAAGGCGTCCTAGGAGGAGTATCCGAGGTCTCAGTACAAACGAATTCATTGGCTACTCCGAAGAAGAGGATACTGCTGGTGAGACGCTGAGCCAAAGCGCTGCTGATGAGGCGGTTGTTGATGAGCCCTTGTTTGCTTCTATTCGACCTCGACATAGTAAGTCCAGTAGTATCCGTACATCCAAATCTCTCGGCAGCACTCCACCGGCAACTACAGACCTCGTTCCCATACTCCCGCTTGAAAGACTTCTCTCGAAAGAGACATCCCCGGCTTTGAGCCAGAAAGGGGTGTGGGTAAGCGTTCCAGGAGCTACAATGGATCGAGAAACGTTCCAGTACCTTGCTCGCGAGTATTCGCCCCTCCTTCAGAACCAGCTCTATGGCATGCAGACAGGACTTCTACTGCCACTATTAGATTCGCTCATCCATAATGCTCAGCGTGCCGAAGACGTTGCATTGCCTAAATTGGCTCAAACCTGGCGCGTAATGGAATACGCCATAGTCCAGGAGCTGCAATCAAGGGAAAGAGAGCAACGCCAGGCGCCGGAAAAGGGCATCCACAGTGTTAAAAAGAAAACATCTTTGGATGACCCAATGACGGAGAAAGCCCGAAACCTTGAGGATGCGAGGCATGAAAAGATGAAGACTCGCTTCTTCAAGGGGGTCATAGAGAGCGAAGCCCCTAAAAATCCTCTCGCTGATCTTGAGAGTGCTTCGAGCATGACCACGCCTCTTGCTCGACCGTTACCGGATTCGCCTCCAGATTCGTATGACAGCTCCGGTTCTCCATTCAGGTCTTTAGATGATGCTGAAGACATTCAACCTCTCCCACCTTCAGTTTTGAGCTCGAACCAGGGCACCATGGCTTCAAACGACTGGTCATCAATGTCAGACATTGACTCCCGGTCTATTGATCAACGTCAGCATCGGGAGTCTAACGCCAGTGAAAATGTGCGCATACCGTCAAACAGTCCGCCGGTTGGTCGCCGTGATTCGGTGCCGCACGAAGCCGAGGAAGAACAGAGGTCTGCCCCATTGGCAATTGCTGGAAGAGCTGATTGGTATAACCGCGGTCGACCTCTGCTAAAAAAACAGTTATCGGACGTGGACGAATTTGACCAGCAGATGGAAGACAAAAGGGCTGCTATTCGTGACTACAAGTATTTCCCCAAAAAGCCTCTGTCTCTAGAGGCACATACGGGTCCCATCAAACCGGGCTTCTATCGGCACGAATCCACAGAAAGCTTTCCAATGTTTTCCGCATCGACCACGAGTTCCCACCCCAGCAAATCGCCGGCCACGTCGTTCACCTCTGCAGCTAGGCTTCATGATGCACCTGAAGCAGGCGGCAACAGTCACGATGTACACGCCAGGAATGATACACTATTAAGGACCCGCAGCGATTCGATAATCACCGCCAGTTCTATTCCACAAGAAGAATACGATGTCGACGAAACGTATGAAGAGAATTCCGCTGCCAACTGTCATCTCCATCTTGACAGACCATCCACTCCGCCTCCGCTTTTGAAGGAATCCACACCCTTGAAGCCTCCGACCCATGAAGATGAAGGTGTCGCGGTATCGACAGACCGTGCTTTAACTGCTGGGCCCAATTTGCCGGATGGCTTTCCTCTCGTCTCCATTCCAATACTCTCTGACCAAACAAGCAATAACCCTTGGAATGCGGAATTGCTGTTGAAGGAAGCAATCAGACACTATCACAGTAGTACCGACGTTGATATTCAATCTGCTGCCCATCTGCTCCAGAAGCTGCATATTCTATATGGGGACAGCGAGAATATTTTATCGGTCGAGGAGAGCGAGGCTATATTCAGAGCGTATAATGAAGCGCTCGTACGTCAGTCTATGTACTTGGAAGCAGCCGAGCTTCGGTTGCTCTGCGTGCCGTCGTACCCCGCTGTCTATGAGTATGCTCAAGGAGACACCTACATGAACGTGTTTTGCTTTACGTGCAAACGACCATATGAAAATCCTAAGAATGACAGTACCCGCTGCCACCGATGCAGTACTCCACAGGATCCTTGCACTATCTGCATGAGCCTTGATCCGCCCCCAGAGTGGGTTGCGGAGCAGAGTACCTTGGCCCTCGACGAAGCCCACGATTTGGATTCGGATTTCACCTCCCACCTTCTTTCATCATCCAATTCCTCGCTCAAGACGGAGCCCATCCCCTCTTCCGAACTGGAGCGCATTGACGGAGTAACCCTAGAACCCTATGGACGCGCTCGCGCGAAGGGAACCAAGCTCTGGTCTTGGTGTCAGGGCTGCGGCCACGGCGGCCATCTTGCCTGCATAAGCACGTGGCTCAAGGACATTGACGTGAGTGAAGGCGGATGCGCAACCCCCGGCTGCATGCATGACTGCGGCCCAGGCCCGCGCCGTGAGCACAACCGCCGAGTCCTCCTCGAGGAGACGAAGAAGCGCGACAGTGCCAGTCGCAAAGCTGGCGTCGGCTTCGTCAAGCGCGACACCTGGGCCAAGGGCGAGAGCAAGGCCGTTGAAAAGGTGCGAGGCATGCTGGGCGCTGGTGCTAATGCCGGTGCTGTCGCTGCGACGGGGGTCGCGTCGGCTTCTACCACCGCGGCAACAAGCGCGGCTCCCAGTGCGACTTCGTCGAATATGATGTCGTCGCCGAAGAAAGTGCGCCTTGTTACTCCTAGTGAGCAGGAAAGGCCGCTTAGGACGGCCTCTACGCGGACAAGTTTTGGTTGATATGTCAGTCAGGCACTTGAACCTTGCGGTTTCCATGCTCGCGTCTGCAACTATTCCTTCCTCTTCACCCACAGCTACACCATATCTTTTTCACATATAGAAAAAGTGTTGACGCTACGGTCAGCAGCAGGCGTATTGAGTTCATACCTCAATTTAGCGTAATGACATCGTTATGTATCATTAGCCTGCATTCATGATCAATCATGATATATGGTAAATCGAGATATATCCTAGTCGCTTCCAACATGCCCAGATATGTCATAACAAGATTATTATGCACGCCCTAAGTCGCTCAAAACCCAAGCCCGGACATAAGTCCAGATAACAACAAAAACCAACTTATCTAAAACCTCCGCTTCTTCTTCGCAGGAGCCTTACTCTTTGCCTCAAGCTGCCTCTTCAACTCCTCCCGCTTCCTATTCGCTTTTTCTTCCTCCGTCTCCTCGCGTGCCGGCTCCATAGGGGTCTCCCGCTTCATTGCGTTCTTTTTCTTAGGAGGTGAAGGTTGAGAACGGGTTTCTTCTTTCTTCTCTGCCTCGTCCTCGGTGTCGTCTAGATCTTCCTTCGTTTTAGCCGGAGGGGAGCCAACCTCAGTCCGTGAGGATGTTGGCCACTGAGAGCTGCTGTCCTGAAGGGGTTTAGCCTTGGGTTTCAATCCGCCAATGGCACCAATCCTGCCTAGAGGCTTCTTTTTCTTCGGAGGTGGTTGAGAATCTGGAGAATGAGATTGCAATTTGGATAGGTTGCCGTTTTCTTCTGATCCTGGCTCTGTCTCTGGCGTCGGCGTCGGCTGTTTCTTCTTCTTGCCCCCAATAACACCTAGTCCTAATTTGCGGGATGGCTTGGGGGCCGGTTCGCTACTGTTCCTGGTGTTCGCTTTCAGTGGAGTGTGACGCGGTTCTGGGTCCGCGTCTGTGTCTCCTGAATCGGTTTCATAATCTGTGAGACCTTCCGAGGATTCATGCTTACGATGACGTGGAGGGGAGGGGGTGCTCTGGGTTCGTGAGGGTGCTGGTGAGGGTGATGGTGATGGTGTAGGAGCCGCCGACGGTGATGGCGATTTCTGTCGTATCTGCTTCTTGCCACCAATTGTACCCATGCCTTTCAATTTCACTGACGGGGCCGCTTTGGGGCGAATTGCTGGAGGTGAGTCCTCGGCCTTGTGCTTCGCTTCTTTTCTCCTCTTTGGAGAGACTACCTCTCCATTCTCTGATTGCGTTTCTTCATCTTCCCCATTTCTTGTGGAAGGAGACTTTTGCGGTCCACTGGGCTTTTTGAACCTAGGTGGTGTTTCTTGTCGCTGGAAGAAATGAGACTTGGCGTGGAAGTAGTGTGCTTTGATACGTACCTCGAATTCATCATTTCCCGTCTCGGACCCGGCGTCGGTCTCTGTTTCCAAGGAGTCTGTTGATGATTTAGTTGCTTGTTTCATTTTGGCATCTAGAGATGTAGATGTGTCGGATGCTCTAAGTGTTTTCCACCATGCATCTGGGGCAGGTTTTAGCGAGTCTGCTCTCGGGGACCCAACTGACAGCTCCGCAACGATGTTGGCAGATTCTCGAGATATTGGAGACGATGTGGAGACCTCTTCACGCCACGACTCTTCATCAAATGGTGCAAGACCCCTGATATACTTCGCCGCCTGTGTGAGCGTCAGGCCTTTGCGGCCACGGAGTCCAGATGTACCCGGGAAAATTGTAGTCAAGTCAATGCCCAACCCCTCAAGCTTATCAAAGAGTTTTGCTAGCACCCAGTCCTTTTTGTGTAGCTCCTCAATCAGGAACTGCTGGCGCGCTTCCTGATCCGTCTCGGCGTTGATGAAGGGGAGCAGCAAATGGCTCGTGGTTGAAGACTGTGGCTCCTTGGCCAGATGCAGCTTCCACTTGAGAGGCTCAAGAGGTGAAGGCAGTTTCGACGTCACAGTGAGCTCCAAACTATCAGCGGTGTCTCGTGTTTTGGTGCTGATCGATACTTGGCTTCCAGGTTCATTTTGCAAACCCTCTTCGATCTTCGACAAGAGGACATCAAATTGCTGAAGATCTTCACTTGGGTCGATTGGGGTTTCATCTTCATCAGCTCGTTTGAGAACGGCTTTTCTGTCTAAATACTCCGACCAGATATGGTTGAGGTCTGTCATATACAGCTCGTAGCCGCTGGCTGTTGGTGAGTACTTGTACAGAAGAGGGGGAATATTCCCGCCATTAGCGATATGCAAGCGCTTCCATTTACCAGCCATCGCTATAGCTTCAAATTGATGGCTGGAGTGCAAATCTTCGAAAAGGGCGATGTTTATCGCAGATGTACCGAGGAGGCAGCTGATGATGAGGCAGCAGTGCACGGACCACAAAGGAAGGTCTGGCGTCGGCACACCTTCCTTCTTCCATCCCCAAGGACCTGGACTTCGCCAGATCTCGCCACAGCAACTCAGCTTTCGAATACTAGAAATCGATCAGCAATATGTCAGCGCGCTTTCCAGATAGGTCGCGCTCGAAGCGATCTCGATCTCGGTCACCACACTCCGACTACCACCAAAAATACGGCCGGCGGTCTGACGAGCGAGACCAGAGATATGACAGCAACAGATACCGTGATCGCGATGCGCGACCGGGGCAATCTCATGCTCGAGGCATGAAAGATCAGATGCGGCTCAATCAGCTACAGGAGGACGAGCGAGTGCGCGAGTGGGTGGCACAGGAGGACGTCTTTGTACTCAAGCAGGCCAAGAAGAAGGCAGAGATACGAGTGAAGGAAGGCCGCGCGAAACCGATCGACTGGCTTACGGTGATGCTACGGGTGATTGACCCGACGAGAAACCCTCTTGATGACGAGATTGCGGATTCGGAGATGGATTTGATAGACCCGGAGGGTGTATTCGAGGGATTATCGGAGACGCAGCTGGGAGACTTGGAGAAGGACATTGATACATTCTTGGGTCTGGAATCAAATTCTCAAAATAGAGACTACTGGAAGGTGAGAAATCTTGTTCTCCTCCCGATGGCAGCAGCTGATACCTTTTTTTTTTTGCGCAGACCATGAGGGTTATTTGTAAAGACCGGCAGAAGACGACAGCTCCTGAGGGACGTGCGCTCAATTCGGTTGCTGCGGACATCAACAAGCTTCTTAGTCCGAAATCCTACGAGCAGCTACAAACACTGGAAGGGCAGGTCAGGAGGAAGCTAGACTCCAATGAACCTATCGATACAGATTACTGGGAGGAGCTCTTGCGCAGTCTCACCGTGTGGAAGGCTCGCGCAAAGCTGAAGAAGGTCTACCAGGCTGTCATAGATGAGCGCGTTCGCGGACTGCGTCAGCAACAGCGCGAGGAAGCCGAGTCAGTTCGTACCAAGCTGGCGCCGTTGGCACCCGTCCGGAGCGGCTCTGCGAACAACGAGGAAGAGTTCCGTGATCTCGATCCCGATCCGTTACTCCAGATTCGTCCACAAGACAAGGTATATGAGGTAATAGATGAGGAGGCCTTCCTCGATCAAGTGGTACGTTACCGCATACCTTTCCACGGATCTGTCTGTCACTGACTACTATTCAGGCCCGTGAACGTCAGAAGCTCTTGAAAATGGGTTATGTCCCTCTACGCCAACGCCAAACTGAGAAGACATCGACTCCTGTTGTGAGCAACGTTGCAAATACTCCTGTGGCCAGTAACTCGACCCGCTTCTCATCTATCCCCAATGAGGACTTCTCTCAAGCAACAAAGGCTCTATACGAGAGAGAACTCGCCAAGGGGGTCAGTGAGAACGAGGAGATCTTTACCGGGGAAGAGTCTGTCAGTACAGACACACAGCCCCAATGGGCGAACAAGTACCGGCCTCGCAAGCCAAGATACTTCAACCGTGTTCAAATGGGATACGAATGGAACAAGTATAACCAAACACATTACGACCACGATAATCCTCCGCCAAAGGTTGTCCAGGGGTACAAATTCAATATCTTCTATCCCGACCTTATCGATAAAACGAAAGCGCCCACTTACCGGATAGAACGGGAACATGGAAGAAAACGAGGTCAGTCATTCGCCGCAGCTGGAGAGGAGGATACTTGCCTTATCCGGTTTATGGCTGGACCACCATATGAAGATATCGCGTTTCGCATCGTCGACAAAGAGTGGGACTACAGTGCCAAACGTGAGAGGGGGTTCAAAAGCACATTTGAAAAGGTATGTTTGCACACGTCCCTCCAGCCTCAACATCACTGACCCGCTCAGGGGATTTTACAACTGCATTTCCAGTTCAAAAGAGTATGTCACTCCACACTCTTATGGCTGTTTGTACCTGCTGACATTCCCCAGATCTACTACCGCAAATGAAAAAGCTGTATGTGGCTCGCGCGCATCATCCAAAGTATGCTTATCCGGCCCGGACACAAGAAGCATACGGTGTGTAGGAGGCTCCAGAAAAAGCCTGCAGGTCCCGGCGTTTGTCGCGCTTCTCCGCCTTTTCCCACATTAGAACAAACAGCTGGCGCCGCGATTGGGCTAGAAACATTAACCGTCTGTCAAAGGACTGGGTTCAGCCTGGCGAGTGAGCTCGCACATATGATATCAGATACCAGAGCAGCTCCCGAGCAGGGTTTACCACGTGCATGGAGCGAATATAGAATGCTTATTTCCACCCCCTCTAATTATCCTCCGATGGTGCCATCACCGCCCGATCCGGATCTTCCGTACTTTGTCTCGCCGGGATGGTTTCATCACGTGGGCTGTGGAATTGTCTTCATGGTGCGAGACAGCTTTTCCTTGTTGCTTTCTTTCCTTCTTTTATTCTTCCACTTGGAGGCGAGACTATTTCGGTGCGACATGGCTGCATGCCTGTTCCGGAGATCCGGCTGGTCGGGGAAAGCGGGAAAGGGCCTCAGGGTGCAGGATGCATCAAAAGAGCGATTTGAGGTCAACAGGTCAGTTCCAGAAGGGTCTTGCACGGCCATAAAGGGCCTAAATGCAGAGTCTGGCCAGTACAATGGCCGACCCACCGGAGGTGCTGCAGGCTACCGCGCTCTACCCCCTGTCCTAGCTACACGCTCAATCCTGGTCGGTCAGGCATTGTAGACTACTCATGTAGACCCATTGCGTAGCACGAGATCCAGCCTCTAGCGACAATCGCAGAGATCATTGGCCTCTGTGAGCATGATCGCGTTTCACGACGCGGTACCTAATGGCTGTCTGCGAGAACAACCCCGGGGCGAGGAGCCTGGAGGAACTTGTGTCTTATTTTTAGCGGATTGTGGGAAAAAGAAACGCAGACCCTCATTTCCAGCAGGGGATGTTTGTCTGGAGCTTCAAAGGGCTGCAGGCAGTTTGCAGCAGAAGAAGAAAGAATCGGAGGGTGTTGTGTTGGCAGGGCTTGTAGAACTGTGTGGTATTGAGTGGTCACACGTAGTGCCTTGAAGCAGGTACCTAGACGGCTTGCAGTATTTGACTATTTTCCTTCTCCTTCAACACTTGCAGCCCTGCCTTCTTCTTGCCTGATCGCAGCCTTATTGTCTTATATGTCTTGCGGTTTCCCTTCGCCCATTCTCAATTGGCCTTGCAGCCTTGCCTATACTTTCTTGTCTATACTCAGAAGATGCACTCCTCCCCATACCACCAGCCTTCATACCTCAGCGCCAGCTCCAGCTCCTCCAGCCCCAGCTCCAGCCCTGAGACTCCTCCCTCTCTTCTCGACGGGTGGTCGGACTCCAGCTCCAGCAGTCCCGAAGCAATGTTGCCCTACCAACAGCCATGGGCCGTCGAGCCCACCATGAACTGCTCGTTCTTTCAGCCCCAGTCGACGGTCGAGCCCTCGCAAGATGGTCTGCCTCGTGTAGTACCCTCCATGGGCGGCCGTATTCATGAGTGGCCCGGGTCTCTCATGGCGTCCAACTACTCCTCGTCCAGGCCATTGAAGCCTGAGATGCGGCGCCTCCCTGCTGGCAAGCACTTGCCGGATTGGCCACACTCAAAGCCATCAGAAGCCGCTTCGCTCTCCTTGTACAAGTCTTCACATCCGCTTCCCCCGCACTCACACTCATCATCCCCCATGAATCCAGCTGCGACAACAATATTACCTACGTCAACAAGCATGCCATACCAATCGCTTCCATTGAGCGTCGTGAGCCCGCCCATCAAACTTGAAATGGACCGTGATGTTGCGCCCATCGCAAGTGCGGACGAAGCCGAAGATACAAACGCAGATCCCCCATACTCGCAACTTATCTACGAAGCTCTTTCAGCAGCGCCCGGGAAGAAGCTACCTCTCCAGGGTATCTATTCGTGGTTTGAGAAGAATACGGCCAAGGGAAGAGACCGGGGCTCAAAGGGCTGGCAGAATAGCATCCGGCATAATCTATCAATGAATGCAGTAAGTCAAGTTTTGCCTATTCTCGATAGCTGCTGACCTGTTCGACAGGGTTTCGAAGCCGTTCGGGAAGAATCCATGCCAGGAAAGAAGGCTGTGAACTATTGGCGCCTGACAGATGAGGCCGTTAGCAACGGCATCCAATCTACAACGCGGTACAGAAAACAGACGAATTACAAGAAGCCAGTTGCATCGGATCCGCCGGCACCCCAGCGTCAGCGCTCCGGAGCCAAGGGAGGGAAAGCTACGAAAATCACGGCTAGGTTTCGAAGCAACGGTCTCAGCATAAACGGCATGAGCCCAGAGGAATACCGACGAGAACGAGCGTACCGCCAACAACACCTCCATCAGCACCAGGACTACAACCAGCGCGTCATGCCTTCCCAGAGGCACCTCCCCAAAAGCTTTATCTATAGCCAGTATCTTCATCGCCCGCCGCCCACGACAACAGCAGCATATGCACCAGGGGTTGTAGGAACAGCACCCACAACACACTCAATGACAGCGGCGCGCTCTTCAGCCATCGAGGGTTTCAATCTGGGCAATATTGTTGGCTGCACTGAAGCCCCTCCCTGCACGTCCACTACTCCTATTTTTTGCGACATGGCGGGCCCTGGTCCAGACTGCCTAGTCTTTGACGCCGGGTTTATGGGGATGGACGGCATCCATTCGTCCTTTGCTGGCTCCGAGATCTCGACTACAGATCTTCACATTGGGTTATAAGTGCCCGTGAGCATGCGCTAAGCACGCACGCGCCAACAACCCCTGCCCATTCCTGCACTGCCTGATCTGGGCAGGTGGCTAGCTACGAGCTAGTTAGCCAACTAGCTACTTCGGCATCTCTGCTGACAGACAGCATTGATGAGAGGAGCCGAGATGAGATGAAATAAGACAGAACGAATGTGACGGTCCGATGGAATGTACGTTAGAGTCTGATGTTCGAAAATTAGTGCAGTAGTCTGCCCACTACGGATATAGTCTTGGTTTGGGGCGTTACAAGGAGTACGGTCTACGGATCTGCTGTATCTATCTGTCTTTCATATTACCAGCCCCATCTCGAGCCGACAAGTCATCACATTCATGCATAATCTCCCTAGCACTAGTTCTAGACAGAAAAAGAAAGCATCCACAACCGACCTTGAGCAAATCCTTCTGGCAGCTAACTTCGGCCTGCAAAACCGGCGTGTCTGGATTTGTCAACTTTTCGGTCTCCACGCCATCCACACCCATAGATCGGATCCTTCTCCGCGCAGTTGCGGTGATGAAGACGTCTATCAAGAACTCAAAGGCGCGCGGCAGAACAGGAAGCCCATCCACGGTCTTGGCCGTATTTCAATTCCGTCCGATGATCATTTATTTTCTTCTGCGCCTTCTGACGTTAGTCGTGGCGCGGCCGTTACGAGAGGCCCGTCTCACAGGCGGAGATTATTTAGCATGGATGATACCGGTAAGTGACTAAGTGTAAGCTGGACTCGAGTGTGATTCTGTCATTTCTGATGACCGGGGCCAGAATGCGCGGCAGCCTGAGGCCTGCGAACTACAAGTTACAGCTCGCCACCTGGTCCATGTATGTACAGTACTCTAGACGCCTGGCTGGCAAATAAATAATTTGATATGCTTTTGATACCTTTGTGGGCAAAAGAAACGAGCGAGGGACAGCTAGCTACAGTAACCAGGTATAGAATGTTGCTCTTGCTCTTCCTGTTGCTGTCGCGGCACCACTGAGATACCCTTACCTGTCTACCCTTACTGTGTTCTGCGCATGCGTAAACCTCGGTAAGGGGAGGTGAGGGCAAGGGTTGATCGAGGCAGCGGATTGAGAGATTGGGGTTGGATGGCATGGTTCTGCTAAGTGCCTGTCACGATATGTTATGCATGGGAAGGCTGGAGTGAGGAGTTGGGTTGGGTAGTAGAGTGCCAACTATGTATATAAGCTTAAGGTACATTGCGGTTGTATGGTGATGGAGGAGGAGATTGTGTACCTATATTGGGCTGCTCTACCTAGCATCTTGTTGCTACATCTCGGTCAGTAAGCTGGATCCTTAAGAGCAGGGGTTCTGTTCTTCAATCCAGTCCGTGCCATGCCGTTGTTCCAGCACAGCACCGCCCATCTTACCTACAGGATTATCCAAGGCGTCCAGTGGGAGACCTTGCTTGGTTTGGGGTAAGGGTGATGGATCTTCTCATTTGCCGATGATTTTCGAGACTTGGTGAATGGTGGCTGATGGTGTGAGGGCGGGTTGGCTGAGTGGAGGAGTCAGGACAACCTGGAAGGTCAGGTCATGGTTCAGGGTCAGGGTCGGAACGGATCAGGTCAGAATTTTCGAAGCCCTCGTGATGGCATTGAGAACTCGGCTGGGAACGTCGAGAGGGGTCGAATCAGAAGGTGGAAGAAGGAAAAATAGCTGCGAGGCTGCTGACTGGTTGGGTCCTGGGACGACGGGGTTGGTGGCAGGGTTGGCCTGGCGGGTGCGAGTGTCAAAGCGTCGTACTTTGTGTCGGGTAGAGGCGGTTCTTTGGAGAGAGAACAGTATCTTGTAGAACAGGCACTACTGACCAGTGACGTCCACTGTAGCACCTGCAGAGACTGAAGAGTCGCCACGGCTTGCCACATTGGATGCCGTGTAGATCCAGATCCATGATCAACAACAAAGAACAAAGGAATCGTGAAGAAAGTCCCTCGAACGGGCGGCGGGCCGTAGAGCCCTAACGCAGCTAAGAAAGTAAGTGTGTCAAGTGCCAGTGGCAGTACTAGTGGATAGCAGCCTGCATTTGCCATTGACCTGCCAGTTTAGCCGCAGTAGTTGATTAGTCTGCTAGCGGAGTAGTGCTCTTTCCAATCTTCTTTCTCTTGTCTGAGTGGCCGTCTGTTTTTGCCGACAGATATGGCTCTTGGACAGATTTGCCGAGTGTCTGATATCTACTGGCCAGACTAGTGCTTTGCATTGCATCAACTATTGGGAGTATTGCCTGGCAGAAGTACGATCCGACTTCCTAAGTTTGTCTTCTGCTCTGTACGGAATCAGGCACTGTTTGTCTTAGCGGGCCGTGCCGTTGCATCCGTTACTCTTTGACAGTTTGACTTACCAAGTTATTTGGAAGTTGGAAGCTGTCAATTGTATAGATACTGAGAATCTTCGAGTCCTGTCTCTAGAAACTATATGCTACTCCACTGCATCACCAGTAAATGCAATATATATATCCAGTTGATATTTAGAGAGTGCTAGTAAGTGACTAAGGTGGCGCGGGGTTACCTGACCACAGCTAACTTATTTATACCCAGTTACCACACCCAACAATATCCAATTATCCATCTATACTAAGCATCTAGTCATCAGCTCTTATCCCACCAATCACTTCCTGCCGCAATGCATTAATCTATTGCATAGTATAGCAAGTTGCCTGAATGCCTTCCCAAATTGCTGCAGGCTTGCCGCCAGTGATCCTGCTCGGAAGTGCATGAAATTATCTATCACTCTGGCCCTCTGGTCCTGATGGCAAGTCTTGACAGCCCAATTCATTTTCCTCTTTCGATGATCCCTGCTGCGTTCACGTTCGATAGTCTGCTGGGATGGCCCGAGAAGGCTGCCTTGGCTGTTAAAGTAGGCCGTACCTTTTGCTTGCATGAAGGCAAGGAATTGAATTCCGTCATGATGGTTTCATGCGACAGCCGCCTGCAGTGACTAACGGGCTATGAGAGCTGGAACCTACTCACCGCTGCAAGGCTACCTACAGATCTCGTGGATCGAGGGATGTCTCAGGTTCAGCACCGGGCGGGAGCACAACCAGGTCCCGTCTACGTGTTACGTCCACCGCGTGTGTCAGTCAGTCAGTCAGTGTTGGTCTCGGGCCTGTAGCTCGATGCAGTAAGTCCGACTCTCCTCTGGTCCATCTATCTCGGATCAGAAGCCATCCATCCATCACACTTACACAAAATTCGCATCCCGAGACGATGGAGTGCGAGAATCCAGAGGTGCTTCGGCACCAGCAGCTCAAGCGCCGAGCCAGAATAATCCTGCATCGGAAATGAGTCCTGACGAGGCTGACTCCTCACCGTCCCTCCTCCGTCTGCCCGTCCCCACTATCCTGCTGGCATATACATACAACCCCTCGGGTACGCACCTAAGCGACAGAGCGACATTGAATACCCAGCGGCCCAGCGGGGCTCTTCCAGCGATGGGCGCTGCAAAATGCAAGTCAATTTGTCAAAGTTAAGGAACAACAAGATTTAGGGTTGAGGCTATGAAGTAAGAAATACATCTTTCAGTTCCAGTTCTCCACTGCCTGTTATGGCGACCAGCAGGCGATCGAACCGGTAGGCTTGCGGTCTGTGGATGGGTTCGTCATCTACCCTGTCACTTTTTACCAGCTCTCTGGGTTTACACCAGTTTCTCTGTAGCTAGAGACAAAGACCAGTGGAACTAGATGTGCGGTACTTCTTTCCTCTCTTTCTCCCCCGACCCGAGCTGATCGCAAATATGGTGTGCATGTCTGACTGAGTACCGGTACCCTCTTTCCTGCAGATCCGTTCGCTAGCCGCAGCCTGGGCACCTCGTTCAGACTTCAGAGATGTCATATTGTTGGAGATCCAGCTCCAAAGCTCTTCACGCTAGAGCCTACTCCGTATCCCAGCGCAGCTCAGGACCTCAGGTCCTCAGGTCAGCTCAGCTCTGACGTCGGCCGGGACCGAGCTATTGCCATCCCCGCGGAGCTCGAATTAGGGCATTGCTCAGCCTCTGCAGATGTCTCTCCAGACGCGAGAGAGATTTCAAATAACCACGCAAAGTACGAGGCTTGAGGCTTGCTCTAGCTGGAGCTAAATGCCGGGTTGTCGATCTACTCGTCACTTCGCTGAGCCCGACCGCATGGTCTCTTGAGTCCAGTCTTCCGGCAACGACGTACTTTCGTGCCGTTGATATATCCAGCCTCATGGCTACACAACGGCATGCGGCATTCCAAATGTCCTGGACGCCACTGCCCACGGAAAAGGTTTGCCTCGTGCTTGAGTCGAAGCACATCAACCGCCACCGAGTACTCCGTACACGAAGCATGTGGTATGAGAGTTACCCTACCTAGTATAGAGTTTTGGATTTCGTGGTGCCTCGTACTTTGGTCGTAGGCTATCTAGCTACCTGTCAAATATGTACAGGGTGGATGGAGTAGTGATAAGCAGCGCCATTATTTATTGTTTGTTTTATTTTTAGCTTTATTTTTTGCTTTGCTTTGCGGTGGTACGGATAACGTACCTTTGTATATTGTGGAGTGTGCTTCGGCTAATTCTGCTCTTTCTGATGGGGGACCCCAAAGGTAGACTTTAGTTGACCAAAGTCCATTCGTCCTTTCATTCCATTGTGAAATTGTCTTTACTGAGAACGCTACACTGAGCAGGACGGGAGACGTTTGACAGAGGTGGCATCGACATCATCTGCCAGGGTACGGTTAGCAGCATGAACTGCATATGGGGGCCGAGGTGTACGGGGGTACTGTAGGGCAGACTACGCCGAACAGCAGTTCATTATGCGCTTATGTCCGGGCGCGCGGACCCCGGCGCCTGCACCATTGTCCCCTTCTGGATCTGATTACAGGAACTCCTCTCTTGGGTTGAAACTTTGAACATGGGGGTGGTTTGTTGTGCCATGGGGCTGGGCCGTGACAGGATTCAGGAAGAAATGGCTGCCGTAGGCCGTAGGACGGTAGACCCTGTGTGGCTCACGGGGCGGATTTTGATCAAGCCTGATCGACTCCCGTCTGGGCCGTCTCAGCTGCTCGTCATAACTCATGAACTCTAGGCACATGAACTCCTGGTATGCGTGATTGCTTGCTGCGAGCTGGGACTTGAGACATGACGTGAGACATCGGGCGAAATTTCAACCTCACTGCAAGCGCACAGATAAGGGAGTGAAAGTTGAGCTGGACCCTGCCCATGGCCATGGCCCTGCCACTTGGATCCTGAACCTGACCTGACCTGGCCTGACACCCTGCTCACTTGAAACGAGGTCGGGAAAAGGATAGAAGACTGTCATGAAAATGTATTCATCGATAGCTACGACGACGCCGCGCTAGTGTTCACAAAACGAACCGAACCATACCCAGCCCAGCCAAATTTTATTTTTCCATTGTTGATTTGCTTTCCACTAAACACAAAACCATATGCGACCCTTAGCGCTTGGCAGCCTTCTCCTGAGACTCCTTGAGCACCTTCTTGACGATCTTCTGCTCCTCGATCAGGAAAGCACGGACAATGCGGTCCTTGACGCAACCGGCGCAGCGGGAACCACCGTAGGCACGGCTGACGTTCTTCTTGGGGCGCGAGATCTGGGCGTACTCGCGGGGGCGGAGGGCAGGGACCTGAAAGAAATTCCCCGTCAGTTCTATTGTCCTGCTTCGAGGCGGCCGTTTCGCTTCTCTCAATTCTATCCATCGTTCTTCCTCATCTTCTTCTTGTAGAGCGAATTCCAGCCATAGTCGGGGACTCGGTACTCACACCGGGGAGCTTGATGCCACAGTCACCGCACTTGGGAGCGGTACCCTGCTTCTTGATGTGCTGGTATCGCAGCTCACCGCCGGGGGTCTTGACGATGCGAACCCGGTTGGACCGCGTGTTGTACCTGTGCGAAACCCATCAATATTCTGTCTTTGAAAATTGAAAACCCATCGTATCCAATCCGGTCGAGCAAAATAACGCAGAATTGTACTGTAGAGACGGATACGACTGGGAGAAACGCTGGGGAGGAATTTTAAACGTACGGGTTCCGGCGGCGCTGCGAAGAAAAGTTCAGTTAGCCTTCACTTCGATTTTGATCGTGCTCGCAAAAGACGTGGGAAATAACTCACGTATTGCAGTCTGTTGTTGGGCATTTTGACTGTGCTTGAACCTCTGGGGTATGGTCAAGAAATTGGCGTCGTCGTCGGTTGTCGTCGTGATCCTCGTAGAATTCTGGCAGTCGTCTGGATTTGTGTGGGTTTCTTGGAGCCCTCAGAGGCCGCGCTAGCGCCCATTTGGCGAGCCTGCGCTAACCCGCTTCCAGACTAGCGTAACTACGTCCCGGGTCGGAGCCGCCACCTCTTTTCGAGCTGCATCGCGAGAAAGGAGCCTGACGTGAAGAAAGAATTGTCTGCCATCACCGTCGCGGAAGGGGTTCGTCTAGGAGTTGCGCTCTCTTTCTAAGATAACGACTTACATTTTGCGACGCGATATACTGCCATCTTTCATCAACCCGACATCCCGACTGATGAATTGGCTGCCAGCAGGATCTTTTCTCTCGATCTCGACCTAAGTCTTGACGCGACTGAACGTCATCCATAGAGAGGAGTAACACCATAAACAACCGCGATGGCATCGCTGCCTCCTCCCCCGCCGCCTGGATGGGGTGCATCGGCGCCGCCCTCAATGCCTATGGCGCCGCCGCCGCCAGGATACCAGCCGCCCGCCGACCCGAACGTCGCGAAGTTTGCCCAGAAGAAGACGGAATGGCTGCGGACGCAACGGAACCGGTTTGGAGAGAAGCGAAAGGGCGGATTCGTCGAGACGCAAAAGGCTGATATGCCGCCGGAGCATCTCCGCAAGATCGTGAGGGATATCGGAGACGTGTCTCAGAAGAAATTTACCAACGAGAAGCGAAGCTATCTCGGTGCTCTCAAGTTCATGCCTCATGCTGTCTTGAAGCTGCTGGAGAACATGCCTATGCCTTGGGAATCGACGAGGGAAGTTAAGGTGCTGTACCACGTCAACGGCTGTTTGACTCTTGTTAATGAAACGCCGAGAGTCATCGAGCCGGTGTTCCATGCACAGTGGGCGACAATGTGGGTGTGTATGCGACGAGAGAAGAGTGACCGAAGACACTTCAAGCGTATGCGATTTCCTCCTTTCGATGACGAAGAGCCGCCGCTTTCGTGGTCAGAGAACATCGAGGATGTTGAGCCGTTGGAGCCGATTCAGATGGAACTTGACGAGGCTGAAGATGGACCCGTATACGAATGGTTCTACGACCACCGACCACTCCTTGATACACCACACGTGAACGGACCGAGTTACAGGAAGTGGAACTTGGATCTTCCCCAGATGGCCACTCTTTACCGGTTAAGTCATCAGCTTCTGAGTGACGTCGTGGACCAGAACTACTTCCATATGTTTGATCTGAACAGTTTCTTCACGGCCAAGGCGCTGAACGTTGCTATTCCCGGTGGACCTCGCTTCGAGCCTTTGTACAAGGACATTGATCCCAATGACGAGGACTTTAGCGAGTTCAATGCGATCGACCGTATTATCTTCCGCGCGCCTATCCGAACCGAATACCGCGTTGCTTATCCCTTCCTCTACAACACACTCCCAAGGAGCGTAAAGGTTTCTTGGTACTCTCACCCGCAAGTTGTTTATGTCCGGACCGACGACCCTAACCTTCCCGCCTTCTACTTCGACCCTGTCATTAACCCGATCTCTTCCCGCTCCGTCGCGCCCAAGAACATTACAGTCAGCCACGAGGACGAGCTGTTTGGACCTGGAGGCAATGAGGACGACTTTGAGCTTCCCGAAGAGGCGGAGCCGTTCTTCGCTGATGAGGACCTCTACACGCCTGAGACTGCGTCCGCTATTGCCCTTTGGTGGGCTCCTCACCCCTTCAACAAGCGCTCCGGCAAGATGGTCCGCGCACAGGATGTTCCGCTAGTTAAGCAGTGGTATCTGGAGCACTGCCCTCAAGGTCAACCTGTCAAAGTTCGCGTGTCTTACCAGAAGCTTCTCAAAACATACGTGCTCAACGAGCTGCATCAGAAGAAACCCAAGGCCCAAAGCAAGCAGGACCTGCTAAAGACCTTGAAGTCAACCAAGTTCTTCCAGCAGACAACGATCGACTGGGTTGAGGCTGGTTTGCAAGTCTGCCGTCAAGGTTTCAATATGCTGAACCTATTAATTCACCGCAAGAACTTGACGTACCTCCACTTGGATTACAACTTCAACCTTAAGCCTGTCAAGACCCTGACAACTAAGGAGCGAAAGAAGTCTCGTTTCGGAAACGCTTTCCATCTGATGCGTGAAATCCTCCGTCTCACCAAGCTGATTGTCGACGCTCAAGTTCAGTACCGTCTTGGTAATATTGATGCCTTCCAGCTTGCTGATGGTATCCTCTACGCCTTCAACCACGTTGGTCAGTTGACGGGTATGTACCGTTACAAGTACAAGTTGATGCACCAGATTCGATCTTGCAAGGACTTGAAGCACTTGATTTACTATCGCTTCAACTCTGGCCCTGTTGGTAAAGGTCCTGGATGTGGTTTCTGGGCCCCGGCCTGGCGCGTTTGGCTCTTCTTCATGCGTGGTATTATCCCTCTGCTTGAAAGATGGCTTGGAAACTTGCTATCTCGTCAGTTCGAGGGTCGTCACAGCAAGGGCGTGGCCAAGACAGTTACCAAGCAGCGTGTGGAGTCTCACTTCGATCTCGAACTCCGCGCATCCGTTATGGCCGACTTAATGGATATGATGCCCGAGGGTATCAAGCAAAACAAGGTTAACACCGTCCTCCAACATCTGTCAGAAGCATGGCGATGCTGGAAGAGTAACATTCCTTGGAAGGTTCCTGGTCTTCCTGCGCCTATTGAGAACATCATTCTGCGCTATGTCAAGAGCAAGGCCGATTGGTGGATTTCGGTGGCGCATTATAACCGTGAGAGAATTCGTCGTGGTGCTACAGTCGACAAGACCGTTGCCAAGAAGAACTTGGGTCGCCTTACTCGTTTGTGGCTCAAGGCCGAGCAAGAGCGCCAGCACAATTACCTCAAGGACGGTCCGTATGTGTCGTCTGAGGAGGCAGTGGCCATCTATACTACAATGGTTCACTGGCTCGAGTCCCGGAAATTCTCGCCTATCCCATTCCCTAGTGTTTCATACAAGCACGATACTAAGATTCTGATTCTTGCTTTGGAACGTCTGCGTGAGTCCTACTCTGTCAAGGGTCGCTTGAACCAGAGTCAGCGTGAAGAACTCGCCCTCATCGAGCAGGCGTATGATTCTCCCGGAACGACACTGGCACGTATCAAGCGTTTCCTGCTTACTCAACGAGCGTTCAAGGAAGTTGGAATCGATATGAACGACAACTACAACAACATCAACCCCGTTTACGATGTCGAGCCCATTGAAAAGATCACCGACGCTTATCTTGATCAGTACCTCTGGTACCAAGCCGAGCAGCGCCACCTGTTCCCTGCTTGGATTAAGCCGTCTGATTCTGAGGTCCCTCCTCTGTTGACTTACAAGTGGGCACAGGGAATTAACAACTTGTCGAACGTATGGGAAACTGCCGATGGCGAGACAAACGTAATGATCGAGACGGAACTGTCCAAGGTCTACGAGAAGATCGATCTTACGCTGCTTAACCGCCTGCTTCGTCTAATTATGGACCACAACTTGGCGGACTACATCACTTCCAAGAACAACGTGCAGCTGAGCTACAAGGATATGAACCATACCAACAGCTACGGTCTGATCCGTGGTCTCCAGTTCTCTGGCTTCGTCTTCCAGTTCTACGGTTTGATGATCGATTTGCTCCTCCTTGGGTTGCAAAGAGCCAGCGAAATGGCCGGTCCTCCCCAGAGCCCCAACGACTTCCTCCAGTTCAGAGACCGTGCGACTGAAACGAGACACCCTATTCGATTGTACACTCGTTACGTTGACAAGATCTGGGTCTTCTTCCGATTCAACGCGGACGAATCACGCGACCTCATCCAGCGGTTCTTGACTGAGAACCCCGATCCCAACTTTGAGAACGTTATTGGCTACAAGAACAAGAAGTGCTGGCCTCGGGATTGCCGCATGCGCTTGATGCGCCATGATGTTAACCTTGGTCGTGCTGTCTTCTGGGATCTGAAGAACCGTCTTCCTCGGTCCATTACCACAATTGATTGGGACGACACCTTTGCCAGCGTCTACAGTAAGGACAACCCTAATCTTCTGTTCTCCATGTCCGGTTTCGAGGTCCGAATCCTTCCCAAGTCTCGCAACCTCAATGAAGAGTTCTCGGTGAAGGACAGTGTTTGGTCTTTGGTGGACAACTCCACAAAGGAGCGCACAGCGCATGCGTTCCTGCAGGTCACTGAGGAGGATATCCAAAAGTTCAACAATCGGATCCGACAGATCCTCATGTCCTCCGGTTCGACGACCTTTACCAAGATCGCGAACAAGTGGAACACTGCTCTGATCGCTCTCTTTACCTACTACCGTGAAGCTGCCGTGTCGACTGTCAACCTCCTTGACACCATTGTCAAGTGTGAGACCAAGATTCAGACCCGTGTCAAGATCGGTCTGAACTCCAAGATGCCTTCCCGTTTCCCTCCGGCCGTCTTTTACACACCAAAGGAACTGGGAGGTCTTGGTATGATTTCCGGCTCTCACATTCTCATTCCCGCCAGCGACAAGCGATGGTCGAAGCAGACCGATACCGGCATCACTCACTTCCGCGCGGGTATGTCACATGACGAGGAAACCTTAATCCCCAACATCTTCCGATACATCATCCCCTGGGAAGCCGAATTCATCGACTCCCAGCGCGTGTGGATGGAATACTCGCAAAAGCGCATGGAAGCTCAGCAGCAGAATCGTCGTCTCACCTTGGAGGATCTCGAAGACAGCTGGGACCGCGGTCTGCCGCGTATCAACACGCTTTTCCAGAAGGACCGCAGCACGCTCAGCTTCGACAAGGGTTTCCGTCTGCGTGCTGAATTCAAGCAGTACCAGCTCATGAAAAGCAATCCTTTCTGGTGGACTAGTCAGCGGCATGATGGTAAATTGTGGAATTTGAACGCTTACCGTACCGATGTTATACAGGCGCTGGGTGGTGTAGAGACTATACTTGAGCACACCTTGTTCAAAGCAACAGCTTTTCCGTCCTGGGAGGGTCTATTCTGGGAACGTGCCTCAGGCTTTGAAGAAGTGGGCTAACTTTTTCATTTCATTCTGCTTTTTTTTTGCACTCTTGTGGTCGATTTTCGTCCATGGACTCCCTATACAACCTCCCCCTTCTCCGCCACCCAACCATAACTTTAATGACCATGGTCTAACTAACTCTTTTATAGTCTATGAAATTCAAGAAGCTCACGAACGCTCAGCGATCCGGTTTGAACCAGATTCCCAACCGTCGATTTACCCTATGGTGGTCCCCAACCATCAACCGCGCCAACGTTTACGTTGGTTTCCAGGTGCAGCTAGATCTCACGGGTATCTTCTTGCACGGAAAGATCCCTACTCTGAAGATCTCTCTGATTCAGATCTTCCGTGCTCACTTGTGGCAGAAAATCCACGAGTCCGTAGTCATGGATCTCTGTCAAGTCTTCGATCAGGAACTTGAGCAGCTTGGCATTGAGGCGGTCCAGAAGGAGACTATCCACCCGCGTAAGTCTTACAAGATGAACAGTTCTTGTGCGGATATTTTGCTGTTTGCGACGAACAAGTGGAACGTCACCAGACCTTCCATCCTCTTCGACACGAAAGATGTATATGAGCCGACCACGACAAACAAGTTCTGGCTCGACGTGCAACTGCGTTACGGTGACTACGACTCTCACGACATTGAACGATACGTCCGCGCCAAGTATTTGGATTACACCACCGACAGCATGAGTATCTATCCGTCTGCGACGGGTCTGATGATCGCAGTTGATCTTGCCTACAACCTGTACTCCGCTTACGGCCAGTACTTCCCTGGTCTGAAGACGCTGGTTCAGCAAGCGATGGCCAAGATCATGAAGGCCAACCCTGCCCTCTATGTGCTGAGAGAACGTATCCGAAAAGGTCTTCAGCTGTATGCTTCCGAGAGCAACCAGGAGTTCCTCAATTCTCAGAACTACTCGGAGCTTTTCAGTCCTCAGATCCAGCTGTTCATTGATGATACCAACGTCTACCGTGTCACCATCCACAAGACCTTTGAAGGTAATCTTACCACCAAGCCTATCAACGGTGCTATCTTCATTTTCAACCCTCGTACTGGACAACTGTTCTTGAAGATTATTCACACCAGTGTCTGGGCTGGACAGAAGCGTCTTGGCCAGCTTGCGAAGTGGAAGACGGCAGAAGAAGTCGCGGCTCTCATCCGATCCTTACCGGTCGAAGAACAGCCCAAGCAGCTCATCGTTACCCGAAAGGGTCTCCTCGATCCCCTTGAAGTTCACCTTCTCGATTTCCCCAACATCTCTATCCGTGCTTCCGAGCTTCAGCTGCCTTTCCAAGCTGCTATGAAGGTGGAGAAGCTTGCAGACATGATCTTGCGCGCGACTGAGCCTCAAATGGTCTTGTTCAACCTTTATGACGAGTGGCTCAAGACCATTTCGCCATACACTGCCTTCTCGCGATTAATCTTGATTCTGCGTGCTCTTCACGTTAACATCGACAAGGCGAAGATCATTCTCCGGCCTGACAAGAGCGTCATTACCTTGGAGCACCACATTTGGCCCTCGCTCTCCGATGAAGACTGGATGAAGGTTGAAGTGCAGCTGCGTGATCTGATCTTGAATGATTACGGCAAGAAAAACAATGTCAACGTTCAAAGTTTGACGAGTAGTGAAGTCCGAGATATTATTCTTGGTATGGAGATTAGTGCGCCGTCACTGCAACGACAGCAGGCGGCCGAAATTGAGAAACAGCAAGAGGAGGCGAAGCAGCTTACCGCTGTAACGACGAAGACTCAAAACGTCCGCGGTGAAGACATCATTGTCACTACCACTTCTCAGTACGAACAGCAGTCGTTCGCGTCCAAGACCGAGTGGCGTACGCGTGCGATCGCCACGTCTAATCTCCGCACTCGGGCAAACAACATCTACGTCTCGTCAGATGATATCCGTGAGGAGGGTTACACGTACATTATGCCGAAGAACATCCTCAAGCGGTTCATCATGATCGCCGATCTCCGAGTGCAAGTAGCCGGGTATCTCTACGGTAGCTCGCCACCGGACAACGACCAGGTCAAGGAAATCCGAACTATCGTCATGATCCCGCAAGTCGGCAACACTCGCGAAGTTCAACTACCGCAGCAGCTCCCCCAGCACGATTACCTCAAAAACCTGGAGCCGCTCGGAGTGATCCACACCATCTCCGGTAATGAGCCGCCGTACATGACGGCACAGGACGTGACTCAGCATTCCCGCCTGATGAACGCCCATTCGTCCTGGGACAAGAAGACGGTTACGATGACCGTCTCGTTCACACCGGGTTCCGTCTCCCTTGCAGCATGGGGCCTCACCCCTCAGGGTTACAAATGGGGAGCCGAAAACCGGGATACGACGTCCGATCAGCCGCAGGGATTCTCGACCAGTATGGGCGAGAAGTGTCAGTTGTTGCTCAGTGACAAGATTCGCGGGTACTTCCTCGTGCCTGAAGACAATGTGTGGAACTACAGCTTCATGGGAAGCTCGTACGGAAGCGTCGAGAAGCGCCCGGTGTATGTCAAAATCGACACGCCGCTACGGTTCTACGACGACCAGCATCGCCCACTGCACTTCCAAAACTTTGCAGAACTGGAGGACATTTGGGTCGATCGATCTGATAACTTTGCTTAAGCGAGGCGGGCGTTTATCATTTTATGTTCTTCTTTTGTGTTCTTGCAATAATACGTTTGTGATAAACCTTTTCTTTCATGTTTGATTATGACGGTCTGGAACTATTTTGCGAACGCGAGGAAAAGGCAATCCGGGGATGAAATGGCCGGCTTTGTATGTATGTATATTACCTAGGTAGTTCTATAAATCTATTTTTGGCCAAGTTTCCTGCAAAGCTCAACCTCTGTAGACTTTTGAGTGTACAGGGTGCAAGATAGACGTGGGAGATCGAGTCCACCAGGCACTGTGGGACTGGATGTCTTTTCCTGCTTTTCTGCCAATTCTTTCGACACAACCTGCAGGCTGCATCGACTCTGCTTCTTCCCTTCTCCTCTTCGAGTCCAGCCCCAGCGAGCCGTTATTGATTACAAGCCGTGTCCAAGGAATCGGATCCTCCGCGAAATTACAACTCACTGCTACTAGTCTCAATCCTTGACAATTGGGGCCAGCTTCATTTCAGCCTATCGTGAAGCGTGGGGGTGAGATTATCGATCTGTTTCACCATTGCTTCAAGGGAATCAAGGCCTCAACTCAAGCTCGGGACGCAAACTCTAAATCGATCGGGAAAAAGCAAGAAAGAAAAGCTGGAGACAAGCTGGAAGGCAAGAGGACGGGCGAATGCGATCGATGCGTGATGACTGCACTGCAGCTGCACGGTACCGGGGTTGGTGTGCCCTGAGCCTCGTTCAAGCTCAGTCACTTTCCTCGTTGAGTATCTCAAGGCAAATAAGATGACGGATATCTACGGCATGTGCTTGTCTTGTCCTGCGCCTACGGACCGTATCTGGGCGCAAAGATAAAGACCCTGCCTCCACTCCGTATGTTTCGGTGACAGACTTCCGCAGGCTTCATCGAGGAGACGTTAACTTCTGGCTCCTCGCTGCTCGCTGGAAATCGCCATCAGCATGGTGATACCCTTTGGGTTACTGTGCTCCGTCCTCCCGCCCTGGGCTGAACTAGGCATGAAAGAAGGATAGGCTGATGTGCTCGATCCCATGCCATCTTTTGTCGTGTCCGCGTCCACGTCCGCCACCCACAGCCTTGTCTCGCTCCTGCCACGCTCGGACGCTAGAATGGTTTGCTCCGTCCGACCGTTGGCATTCGAGGAATTCAGGGGATGTACATGTGTACCATGGTACAAAACACGGGCGCCTTTGTTCATCCCGGGTTCCTGGAACAATGGGGAGAGGAGGAAAGGAGATTGGCAGAGGCTCAAGTCGCGAGGCGCGCGAAATCGCTGGTTGCCGGAGAGGAATTATTGAAGTAGACGACGAAGCTGACTGTCACGAGCCGCCAGGGGACTGATTATTATCGGGCGACTTTGTCCGAAGTAAGAATGAGAGACGGGGGTTTTGCGCTGCGCTGCTGCTGCTGTTAGAGTCTCGCCGCCTCGCGCTACCATGCGCGATATAGTTGAGGACGCCACATACAACAGGTGCTTTCCCCATCCCTACGGTACGGCCCACCTCGATCAGTCGCGACGCAGGTGCCAGCTATGCGCGACTCTATCCTGAGTATATTGCTCGAGATTGCATCTGTCGCTTGAGCAAATGCACGAGGCTGGATGACATACCCTCCAACCAAGGAGCATTCCAGGTCTCGCATCTGCCGCCAGTAATCCATCGCCTACCCCCTCGTGGGTGTCTCGCCGACAGGTGCTTCCGATTAGCCACTCCTGGCGTCGCTGGCCGGTGGGGATTGCTGCGACGACGTACGACAGGCCCTTGTCCTGACAGGGGTAGGAATCCTTTGCTAGTTAAAGCACGCCCAGCCGCAGGTTTGATTCCTTACTCCGAAACCCACCAGCCTGCGCTTCCACGTTCGTATCCAATAAGCTATTTCCCCATGCTGCTAGAGCTACGAATGAACTGGGCTTGGATCTCCCCCCGCTTCCTGATGATCACGAATCGCGTTCAGAGAAGCCGGCGCAATCTGTCGTGCTGAGCGTTTCAGGCCACACTCTTTCCTGCCTCCAGAGCTCTTTCTTGCTTACCCTTTTCGATTATTTTTCCTCGTTTCCGATGGTTATTTTTGTTTCCTGCTTCGACTGCCATGCCTTGGCATGGGACCAGAACGGCCCGGTGGAGGGGTGAAATGATGCTGAGGAATCCATCAAATTGCCTCAGAGTGTCAAGAGTAAGACCGTTGTGCTCTGACTCTTGAGTCCTTTACAAGCTAAGCTTGACCAGAGCGCAGATCCGCCAAATGGGCGACCTCTGTCACTTTATCCACCTGCATCTCTCTGGTTCTGGCGATGTACTGTACCTCGACCTTGCCTCTTTCCAGAACGTTTCCTCCCCAGTCTTTGGCTCCTGTCGACCGCAGTCCGGAATCCAACGCGCTGCATAGGGACTTTATCTTCATGCACGACAGCATATCCTGACCCTGTCTCGACCGTGCTTCCCTTTCCCTTCTCCATCTATTCCGACCTCTTTCGCGTCTTACTACTCGATTTCCAATCCCTTCCGCAACCTTTATACACAACACGGATCACGGTTAACGAGCCGTTTGGACGATTAATTCCGCTGGTTCTGCCTGGCGCAAGGGAACAAACCCAGCCCTTCCCGCTCACCTCTGGGGGCTAGTTCAGTCTCAGCGTATTTGGGTGTATCCTGCGCTAGACTAGTAGTGAAGAGTACAGTGCAGGCTGCGTTGCGTTAGTATTTTTGGAACGTCTAAAGCCCGTCAGGCCCCGGTGAGTACACACCATCCCTAATATTTACTACTTGCGCTCTTCGGTTTCCTCTCACCTCGCTCATCTCTTCCTCTTCTTAATCACCCGCCTTCCCATTTAGTTGGGGTTGCTGAATTGCCTGTTTGTCGTCTCCAGTTGAATCCAGCCTCCTTTTTTTTTTCTACTTTTTGATGACCCGGTCCCCGTTCTGTCGACGGTCCAATTACGGTATCGTGATATCTTATCTTGTCTTATTCTGACTGGGAGGTATAGCTGGAAGTACGTCTTGCTTGGGCTAAGTCAAGTCGGGGGTGCTTGTATTCTGGTTTGGTACATGGCGGTCGCAGTCCATCTTCATTTCAATCATCAGACGTCAGATCGAGAAGTCGATTAAAAGCAGCTCTGAGATCTTTGGGCGACGCGATTATCATCTGACGTCGTCCTATATCGCCACGCCTGTTCCCCCTGGCAGCGGCTTCTGACAACCTTTTAAAGCACTCAACAATCGGCTCGGTAGCCTGCCAGGGCTTCTAGGCTCTAGCAGCACCGATGTATGTCCGCGACGCTGGCGGATCCGTATCGAGACTATGCCATTGACTACTCTCAACATGCTACCTGCAAACCTGAGGAACATGAAGGCACGCTCGTATATCACACCCAGCAGCCGCATATTCAGCACGCGAAACAGACAGACCCGTCTTTCACTTCTGGAAGCTCGCACGGCGCAGCATATGAGCAGCACCATGCGAATGCGACCGTACTTCCAACCGCGACACCACAATCCGCAGTCCCCGATATCTCACAGGCAGTTGTCCTCAACCAGGCTCAAATGCTTCCCCGTCAGATTCCGGTGCAGTACGCAACCGCCGGGTTTGACCTCGCGTCGTCCGTCCAGCGTGGCAAGAAAAGGCCTCATTCCGAGACTGGCCCAGAGGGCGGTAACACAGAGCATGGAATCAGACAGATGCCAGTCCTTCCACCAGACGCCTCTTCCGAACCGACCCATTCTCCTGAAATGCTCTTCTCCGTACATGGAGATTCCGCGCAGCACCATCATCCAATGCAAGGCCACGGGTTCGGGCCAACTGACCCTATGGCCTTGCCGCAGCACCACCATCACCACCATCTCCCACCGCACGCGTCGCTTCGCGCAGCCGAGCGTCAGGGTATGAATGTCGAGACATCACCTCTGGCGTCTGGCCCGCCAAGTGTCGTGGGTCAGCCAGGGATGCCCGATCCGGCGCCTCGACCGCGAGGCCCCAAACTCAAGTTTACGCCAGAGGAGGATGCTTTACTCGTGGAGCTGAAAGAAAACAAAAACTTGACATGGAAGCAAATAGCCGATTTCTTTCCTGGCCGAACTAGCGGGACCTTACAGGTCCGTTATTGTACCAAACTCAAAGCAAAGGATGTGGCCTGGAGTGATGAAATGGTACGGTAGCCCATCTACTTCTCCATGTGTTCTTACATTTTACGACGGCCTGAAGTGGCCATGGACAGTTGTACTGACGCAATGCATAGGTGCAACGCCTGCGGCGCGCTATTCAGGAGTACGAAAACGATCGCTGGCGTATAATAGCTGGAAAGGTTGGCAATGGATTCACACCAGCGGCCTGTAGAGAAAAGGCAACACAGCTATAAGCAGAACTGTCATGGGATATGGATGATGTTATGGAAGTAACGGAGGGACAGTGCATTTCACCTTCTACCCACCCACCACTTTGTTTCTTCCCTTCACCCATTTCTCCAGTTGTAATGACTTTTTTATCCTCGTTTGTCTCTAGCTTTTTATTGCTTCTTGTCCTTTGACCTACTTTGCTTGGCAGGTTGTACAAAGGGGACACGGATTCTTACTAGCGATTGCTCTAGACCGGACGACTGATGTTAGGTTATTGTATGATATCTATATTAGCGTGTGGAGACCATGAATGTCCTGAGCTGGTACTCGATCTAACCATCAGATCTGGCGATACAACTGCGGTCGGCATCTAAACGCTGGAATGGCATGATTTATCATTCTAGACTGATAGCTTGCCCTAAGCCCTACGGAAGCCTCCGGATACGGTAATCAGCCAGACAGGCTTTCTCCAGGCGCCGTCGTAGCTTGACTTCCAATCAGGTGTCGTGGATCACTAAGGCGGTGTAGCTGCTGGTCAGACCACGGGCCGAAGCGGCTTCAAACTCACCTCAACCTCAACCTCCAAACTCCCTCTCTGCCAGTCCTCCACGCCTTGTCCGTTGGCATTGCACCCACAATGTTCTTCCAACGCACAGCTATCGCCCTCTCGAGGCGCGCCCCTGCCCGGGCCCTCTCCGTCCGCCCTTTCTCCTCTTCCATCGTCCGCGGTACGTACCCGATCAGCCCAAATTACTCGACTTCCCCCCAATCGAGATAGCGATCATGCCATACCTCAGCGCGACATCATTGAGTGCGGCCGGTCTCAGCTACCATGTCGGGGAACTATGTTGTTTCAAGATACAATAGCTAACATGAAATCTTTCTATAGCCAACGCCAACAAGTGGCAGGTCAAGGAGGAGGGCAAGATCCTTCCCTTCGAAGGTTCGTATCCTGTTCCGTCCAATCAGCCGCTATACGAATCACCAAATGCACATATCCGATCATTTACGAGCTCCCTACGGCATTGATAACTGTGAACATCGCAATTGAGTGTCGAGCTCGGACTCAACGTCTACCTTCCTACGTTGTTACATCATTACCTCGCTCTACTACCGCTTCGACCCACCAACGCCGAGGGACCATTGCTAACTGGAGCCCTTCCTGCGTATAGAGATTAAGACCGAGAAGGACCTGCTTCCCCCTGGTGCCAAGCCCGGTACCGTTCCCACCGACATCGAGCAAGCTACCGGTCTCGAGCGTCTCGAACTTATCGGAAAGATGCAGGGCATTGACATTTTCGACATGAGGCCTCTTGATGCCTCCCGAAAGGGTATGCATGTCTCATCCGCCAATTGCTACGAGGAAGGGATTCGAGTCTAACCCACAACCGACAGGAACCCTCGACAACCCCATCATCGTCAACGGTGCCGGTGACGAGCAGTACGCTGGTTGCACTGGTTACCCCGTTGACTCTCACCAGGTCAACTGGCTCACTGTATGGATCTTTGCCGTCTTTAATCATCGGTACTGTCTGGACGCTGACCACTATCCAGGTCTCTCGCGAGCGCCCCATCGAGCGCTGCCTCGAGTGCGGCAACGTCGTCAAGCTGAACTACATCGGCCCCGAGGAGGACCCCCACGCTCGTGAGTCACCCCAAAAACCACCTTCAACATGCGTGAGGATCGCAAACAACTCACATACATACCCAGACGACCACGACCACGGTCACCACCACCCTCCCCACGAGGAGCCCAAGACCTTCGCCGACTACGTCAAGCCCGAGTACTGGTACCGGTAAACGGTCTCATCGAGCTCGAAGTCCGATAAGACGATAAACGACGTGGCTGCTGTCTCCCTTCATCTCTCCCTCGTTTCTCCTTTGTTTTTCCGCCATGATCCCGGAGATGCTCGCCTGATATAAGATGCGGTGTGGTGCGGTGGGTAGGGGATTTAGATGACAAAGTATAAAGTTCCATTTCCTACCTTTGTTGTTGCTGAATCCTGGCACTTGGTCTCTGTAGATTAGTGAATATGAATAAAGCTGTGGTTACTTTTCCTTCTGTCCCGTTGTTTTTATCCGACGTAACTTGGTTTCCAACTTGGTTTTTATCTTTCTTGGTTTCGAATCATATGTCTACCAGAGTCTACAAATGACAGCTGAAGACTAGCGCTTGCCTCTCCCTCCAATCCAACCGAGTAACAAATCCGCTCATTGCCGGTTAATTTAACTTTCCTCTGCGTACTATGTCACATAGACGCCCAATGACTATGCTGCGTACGTACTGGCCGCGTTGGCAGGCGCGGACCAGATGACGAAAATGGCAGGAACAACCGGGCGCGCTGTCCATCTAGATAAGGCAGGTGCTCACCTCAATCGCGCCTTCCTTCAATACTGAATGTTCACGAAAATGGCAGGAACGACTCTATTTCAAGATCGGAAGGCGCAACCCTCCAGGGATGGTGTGCGGCTTCCTATATAGGCAATGTAGTATATACACATATGGAAAGAACAACTATTATGGAGGGGGGTCGCAGAGGGCAGGTGCGATCAGTTGCCGGTATATTCTCCTCCAATTGACGGGAGCCCGCTCTTCCAGGCCGCATTCTTCCCGTTCGTGTTCGGGACGGATTTATATTCTCATCCGATTATGCCGTCACCGAGACATACTCCTAAACCAGGAAGAAGCGGATATGTAGTGCATTTATCGACCGAATCGCTTTCGCTCGAGATACCGAAGAGGCGGGTAGACAACGGCAGCCCAGGAAAATCCGACGTAGTTTCCCATCTATAATAACATCTGTTAGCCAATGACAAAACAAGATTGGCGAGAACATACATCAGCACCATACTCTCCGACTAGGCCGGCCAATGGCCCAATATACCAGACCTGCGCCATGCAGAGAATAGCACCGGCCCAGCCGACCAAGAACGCAATCAGCGCCGCGATCCCGACAGGATGCTTGGACGGGTCATCCCAGACAAGCCAGTTATAGTATCCATAGCCGTTTCCAGTCCCTCCGCGGCGGAAAATGAAGCATTCTTCGAGGACGATTGCGAGCCAAATAGCGACAAAGTAGCCCATCAGGGCGAGAAAATTGGTGAAGATGTCGGCAAGGTGGCTCCGGCCTGCAAGGGCGCAAACGGTGTAGATCACGACACCAAGTGTATTCCAGATCGCGCGAGGCACTTTCTCAGCATATCGCCCTAGGATTTGGAAGTCGACTCCTGCGGAGTAGGTTGGCGCAATCGTATTGGCGATGAGACCGAGGGCGACGATGACAGAGCAGAAGTTGCCAAATGTGTGCAGGGAGCTGAAGCCTTGGACTATGAGGGCGCCCTGTCCGTTATTGTAGGCCGCCGCATATTCAGGATGAATGTTTATGCTGGATCCGAGACCAATACCGCAGAGGAAGGCGAGGGTGAACGAGATGAGCAGACCAAGGATGGAGAGGGAAAATAGTTTGAGTCTCGATGTGCGCTCAGGGTAGTAGACGAAGAAGTCGGCTGCAAGTGGGGTATAGGTGATTGCGGCGCTGACGCAGAGCGAGAAGAATGAGATGCTACAAGAGACTTCCGTTAGCCAGGGAAGATGATTGTAGTAGATATTATAGGGCACACCGGTTCCCTATCACTGTGCGGGTGTCTCCTTGAGATGGCGTGGATAGGTCGAACTTTGAGGACGAAACTCCGAACAGAATGCAAACGACAATAACCTGAGGTAAGAAGGCGAAACTATACACATTAGACCATTTCGCTTCAAGGCCTAAAATTTTGCACATACCGTTCATAGTAATGAAAGACCCGTATGCCAAACGTCGCAATGATCCAACTAATAACCGCAATGATCACAATTCCTGATATTTCATCAGCCGCTGCGGGAAAAGAACAAGATTGTCCATGTGCCATACCCACTGCTACTGATAGATTTCCGCTTGGGGAAACCGCGGAGAGAATCTGCCCACAGACGACGCAATTGATCAAGCAATATCCAATCATCTGAATGAGATTCAATATCACGATAAGTTTGCTAGGCCACCACCCCATAGTATAACGCCCGAACGCCTAGACTCCGTCAGAAAAGCCATATCATGGCTAGAGAGAAGGCAAAGCATACCATAGTGCGTATACCAGATATGGGTCCCCAGGTAGCCATCCAAGATGAAGATATGGAGCCCAAAAGAGCCCCAAATACTGCGCAGAGGGCCGAGTCCAGGAAGCTAAGGCCATACACGGCCGGGCCCAACATCCCAAGAGTAATATTGTTGGCTGCCAAATTGACGGACATCCACAGCAGAAAAGCTTGCAAGTACGAGACCCAGGATAGTTTCGGGATTCGTTCGCTCTCTTGCACCCGTTCTATGCCACGGGCTTCCAGACTGTACTCGACGAGCCGGTTCTCGACTTTCTTGAGGTAATGGGTAAGCCTATGAGGGACAGATGTACCATGCACTGCACTGCGTGATTCGATTTCCTCCTCATAACGAAGATCGTCAAAGAAGGCGGTTGAGCGAATTCCATTCTCCTTCGTGGCTGTCCCTACCGTGGGCGTTGCAATTCCGGATGACATGCTGGAATGGAATGATTAGCATCCAATCTACGCGACAGCTAAGAGGGGATTCGCGCGCATGAGTTCTTTCGCTGGAATTATCCAGATCAAGTTCAACCGTATGATCTCAGAACGACGACTGCGCGCCCACTCGGATGCAGATGCAGGCTCGAGTGGCACGCAGTCGTCGAACACCGGTCATCATGCAGCAGATTACCTAGATACCTTGATCGACAGACAAATCCACGCTACTCGGCTTCATGATGGCCATGGCGAGTCGGGAAGACAGGAGGCAGTACACTGGAGGGCAAGAGGCGAAACCTGTGCAGGCAGGCCATCTAAAGTCAGTAACAATCTTGAGCCGAAGGTGGGGTATTCTGGGAGGTATGGATTTCACCTCAACAGGACGAGTCTATATATTTATTGACACGTTGCTCACTGGTAGCAATTTGTGAGGACAAATTCGAGGTCGACGAGGCAGAGTGGTGGGGAAAGAAGAGAAATGGAGTGAGGACAAGAAATGAAAGTTAATCTCGCCGCTCATCGGATCCAACCTTTGCGCCCTGTCATCCTTTGCACACTAACTACGCTTGTTTACTGTTTTGTAGCAGGGAATCATCACTTCGCATTCAAGTCTATCTCTTGAGTTATTGCCTTGCCAACAAGCGTTGCATTAACCCAAGCCGCCTCTCTGCAAAATATATATCGACAACGTCCCGACCCCAGTATGCCCGAAGTCAACCAAAGCCAAATGGAAACAGCGAGGAAATCGGTATAAGTAACGAACGACTCCGGTGACTTTTTGCCCATAGTTGCAAATTGAGACTGGAACGCTAGTCGTGACTCGTGAGAAGCAGCGCTATAGATTCAAGAGACAGGGGGAATCCAGAAGAGCATCGCGATAGTCGTTACGTCGTTACGGTCGTTCGATATCTAGGTGTCTTTGAAATGTTCCTTCGCGTATTGTTCGCATGCCTGATAGTCAGAGTTAGTACCCGGGTTATTCATGTGTACTAGAGCTTCTGATAGCTCACCTTGGCCGGCTTTCCAACTTTCTGACCGATTACTTTCCACTTGTTGGCCTCATATTCCTTGATGGCCTCACGGAGGGCTATAGACTGTGGCAATTATAAGAATAGTCGCGAGGAAGCCAGTTGCGGCACAAATCCAACTCACCTCATCTTCCGCAAATTCGGCGTAGTGCATGTCCTAAATCAACATTATTAGACTAGTCATCTTTGGACAGTTGGCTGAACATACCTTGTACCAGTGCTTCTTTACGCTACCCTCGGTTCGATTGGGAAATGTCTGAAGTGCTACTAGTGAGTAAGCTGCGTAGGTAGAGACGTCATGTTAACAAACCTTAGCGATCTCACTCCAACTGCGACCAGCATCGCGCATCGTTTTCAGCCTCTGCTCCTCCTCTGCAGTCCAGGGAGTGTTGGTTCTTCCTTTCTTCTTGGGCGTGGCCTCCGGTGCCGGTGCCACAGGATCATCACCAGGCGTACTGGTCATTGTTGCCGTCGACCCTGGCGGGGGAGACAAACGTCGTTTGCGCGGATTCGAACCGGGATTCTGAGTAGGGGGCATAGGAATGCCCTCGTAAGTTGCTACGCGTTGAAAAGGTTGTGTCTGTTGGATGTGTTGCTGCTGAGACAGGAGTTGTTGTGAGCTGGCAGGGGTAGAGGGTTTGACCCGCTTGGAACTCGGAGTTGACCTGGTGACGAAAGAAAGAGGCAGGGCTAACGGTTAGTAAGTGCCCTTCAAAAATAGAAGAAGATTCCGGCTGCCTTCGAGCGATTTGGAGACACTTGGATGTTGAGAAGTAATGATGGGAAAGGTAGAGAGAATCCAAGAATATGTGCGTGCATATATAGGTAAAATATATATATATGAATAAATAGTAGTATACAGATGTATATATACCACGAAAGTATATACACCCCCAACGGAGTAGATTGACAAGAGAATAGGCTTTTGGTTTGGGCACCACAAGGCCCCGGTGGAGAACGAGGATGGAACTTACGACATATTGGATAATGTGCAAGCTTTCCAATCACGTCGCGCGGTCTCATCTGTACATACACATGATTAGGATATTAGCAAGTCTGCCGCACAAGAACGGTCCGGGGAGATTGGCCTGTCAAGTCGCTGAAGACGAGCAGTCTGTTACACCAAAAAGTGACGATGACACGGGCACATCCCACAGCGTGGAAGTAGCGCTGCAGGTTGAAGGGAAAGCGACCAGACAGAGGGGCGGGTGTGATGAGGATGTTACATGCATATATGTAAATGGTTGGCAGCGATAGACCTGAGGCCAGAGATTCGAGGATGGTCCCTCGATCAGAAGCGGGGAAAGGAGTGAGGGAGAAAGCGATGGAGGAGAAAGACGAGGGAGGGGAAAATAGCATAATAAGTATAAACAGGTTTAGGTATAGTGACCGGTAGGCCCTCTCAGCAACCTAGATACAAAAGCTGGAAGTGCTGAAACCGAGACGGTAAACTGGAGCAGAGTGGAGCTCACTTACTGATCGAAGTTCATGGCTGAGTCGATGTTTGAGCAAGTCACCGAAACTTCAGATCTCAAAGGAGTGTCCTAAGCGCAAGAGGAGGAAGCGAGGCCCGTATAGAGAAGTAGCGGCGCGAAGGACTTGAAAGAGAAAGGGAGCAGGGACAGCAAGTGAGACTGAAACCAGTGACTTGGTCAATCCCACCCTTTCCAGATGACGCTTGCTTTTTCCTTCCTCCCAGCGGCATGTTGACTCGTTTCTGCACGCCAACCCAAGGTCAAAGCAGAGCAAAAGGAAACTGACGGAAAATAAAATGAGGCAACCACTGATTGGATCCAGAGATATGCTTTTTGCCCACTCGATTTTCGTCAGCGGATGATTTTCACTGACAGATCTAGACGTTTTAGAGTTGGATCAGATGCCTTCTGCTCATGAGCCATCAAACGATGGATAAATTCCCGTGCTGTCGCTTGCTTATTGTCCTCGCTTCTCGACTCGGCCTCCATGCTAAGCACAACTCATCCCACTTGGGGCAACGGCGGCGGCGGAAGAACATGTGGCTTTATAACATTGCATCCAAAGGCTTCAACTGCCGTATTCTGAATACGTATGGCGAAGCTGCCCTAGAGACAGGGGAGAATCAAGTGACGGTAAGACAAACCTACGGACTGGCACGAGCAATGCCAGTAGGAGTCTCTGGACCGAGAGTCGGACTTGGCAGTCTCGAGACAGGGCGGACGTGAGCGTATGGAACGATCGTTTCTTGCTGTCCCTGTTAGAAACATCGAAGCGGGGTAGTCGATTGCACTACAAGTATAACGAACTTGAGTGGCTGAACGGAGGAAAACGGGCAAAACCGCTTCAGCGACAGACGCGCCTTATGAGTGGTTGAATCTGCACCTTAATTTTTCCAGCGTGGGAACAGTCTCTGGTTGGGCGAGCTGGCGCCTCTTAAGTAGACAGTCTGTAGGCTCCAAAGGTCAGACTCGCTCCGAGATAAAAGGTCACCTCTCCTTTCAAGCGGTCAATATACTTTGAGGAAACATGAGTCAACTTGCAGATGTGGACATAGCGCTGTTATCCCCTGTGCAGGTCGGGCAGCTCCAAAGCTTCTCTTTGTCGCGGACAGCGTAGACCCATATTTTGAAGAGAACTAGGGTTGTTGTGCTGTTCGTGAGTTGTTGTCGGATGGCTGCCGATGAATATGATACGTCAGGGCCGGTGCTTTGGGATGCCGAACTCTTTGCTTTTGCCGGCAAAATAGCAGCATCGCCATCTCGTATCTTCTCGGGACAAGGTTTCTTCAGCCAGCTAAGACTTACTCAATTATGGGATTAACAATACTGTAATAGAGTGCAGAGGACTTTGAGAAATACGGCTGCCGACTGGTTGGGTACTTCAGGGCACTGGTTCCACTCCAGGTCACTGACCCCCAGTTACCACTATTCCCTTTGTGGATTGGACGAAGCTCGCAAGCTTGCTGACGTCATCCTACTCACGTGATGCACGCGCGGCCACTCGTCTCAGCTTCCTGGACTGAATGTGAATGCCGGGGGAAGTGCTTGGAGATTCAGAGTCCAGCTCTTGCGCAAAGGCTCATTGATAGCAGACAGAGCCGTATCAGGCTCTACTCCTCTTGAGCATTCCAGCATCTCGTCAATCTACCGCGTCGTTTATCGCAGATCGCCATTACTGACTCTCGTGCTTATCAACGGTTCCGTCGTCCCCACCTGAGCTTCGTTCCAATTCCGCCCTCCAGCCTCCAGCCTGGGAAGACCACGGTTTCACCTACCCTCGTCGCGAATATTCGTCACCACCTTGCGGCTTGGGTCTGCTTGTTCTTTTTTTAATTAATACACTGGCCGCTGGCCTGTGACTGAGTTGCCAGCAAGAGTCAGGCATTCGGACCCGCAAGGTTACAAGCACGAGATCAACTTATATGGTCCCTCCGTCCTGCTCGCTGAAATACCGGACTATTCGACTTGTTGACACAACATGATTTACTTGACTGTTCCTCGTGTCCTTGCGGACATAACTCACTTTCTGTCGAAATGTGTTCTCATTGGGACCATCCACAGAAATCGGAGCGCCGAAGGTGATTCTCATATCCGTCGGGTTGATGCGGATACTATGCTAACGACTGTCGTTGTATGCAGGTGTCTCCCTTTTGACTCAAATTCTCTACGCTCTGGTATTCCTCACGCGCTACGCTGATCTACTTCGACCAGCGGGTTGGAGAGACGCGTATCTTGTGATTTTCAAGATATTCTACTTCTCGTCATCCTTCTATACCATATTCCTGATGATGAAGGTATTTCCTCGAACCCGCGAGAAGGAAAGAGCCTGGAAGATGGCTTTAGGATCTGTTGGAATTTCATTAGTTCTCGCTCCAATTGTGCTGCCCATTTTTGGGGACAAAAAGTCCAATTTGCCGTGGTTTGAAAGTGTAAGCCAAAATTCCCAGCTCTGACCATTCTCTGTTCTTATGTTCGGTACTGACTTGCCCGCTTATTATAGGTTTTGTGGACATTCTCTATCATCTTGGAATCAGTCTGTGTCCTTCCGCAGCTGTTACTCCTTCGCCAGACTACTGTGCCCACTGTCATCAACTCCTACTATCTTTTGATGCTGGGCTCTTACCGAGCATTCTACATCATAAACTGGTTTGTGAGGGCAGTTGGACCTGACCACCACGTAGACTGGATTTCTATCATCTTCGGCGTCCTCCAAACGGCATTCTACGTGGACTTTGCCTGGGTTTACTATACTCGTCAGCGCGTCAAGCTCCGAAACGGAGGGGTGGTTGATTCGGAAGACTACCGGAACAGTTATCTTGTGAACAAGGTGTTCAACATTAGGCGGCGCAGGAGCGAGGACGAAGAAGAGCAGAGGCTCCATGACCAGGAAAATGGCGATGAGCACCAACCGCGAAATAACCGATGGGGTGCTCGGGGAATTTCCGTCTCTGCGGACGACACGTTAGAGAATCAGCGCAACGGTCGTTCCTTCGCGGCAGATCATGACACAGAGGGCTTCTCCGAGGAAGATAGCAACTGAGCATTCTCCCCAGGGCGAGGAACCTGGCTGAATGTTGGCTGCGCCAGACACCAAGGGAGATTCCCTACGCATCTGTTGAACGCCCGAAGATGACTCTACATGGTATAAGAATCTAAATATAGATGTGCGATTAAAATGCCTCTGCACGGGTGCGGTCGTTCGGCAAATGGTCTGGATGTCTTTTCGCGTGTAAGGTCAGACAGATGCATGCTTGTTTGGGGCCACCTGCCCTGCATGACAGATTTCCCTGAATAGTTAACGACTTCATGAGTAAGCGACATAATGTGGCATATCTAAATATAAACACGATGATCTATGAGATTGAAACTACACGGTAGAGTAACAGAGACGTCCTATTGACGGTCGAGTAAAGTCCGCGCTCTGAGCCATTGCTGCGGCAGGACATAGCCACGATCAACCGAAGACAATGGGAAAACAAGAAACAATAGATAATCCCATCGCGATCACACCATCGCAGGAACGGGAGAACAGCGGGAAGCAAAAGGGGCTATCTGGAGAAAAACAGCCTGATGGAGATATTAGCAAAACTGCCTCGTTCATTTTTAGCGAAGTGGACAGGAACTGATCATTTCGGGTGTCGGAAAGCGCAGACCGGGCGGATGAGTTGAGACTCTAATTTAGTTCGCGACGGTTTCAAATAGCTTAGCAGCTTGCACTTCCCGGTTCATGCATTGTGCATCATCAGTGCCCATGATTATCAAGGAAATCTGACTTCTCACGAGGTTGAGCGAGGTTGTTGAGCCTTGGGAAAACTCCGGGGTACGGCCCCAGGGGAGTACGGAGTACGGACAATAGTAGGCATCACGTGCCTTTCGCTTCGCGTTTGCCGGGACGGCATCTATCTACAATCTACCCCGTACAATGATACAATCCCACGAGGCGCAATTGCAGTTGGGTTCTCCGTCTCCCTTGCGACTCCACGAGTCAAGGAAATAAATCACTTTCATCACTATGCCCCACTTGACGAACTGACGGGACCGCCCATGATATTCCGCTCTTAGGCGCTGGGCTCGCCCCAGGCTCGTCATCCTCTCTTATCGATTGGAAGCCCGTGCTCGAAAAAGCATCAGACCGGCAGCCGGCTGCGTTCTCGCGTCATCTGGCGCGTAACCAGCCAGTACTGTTAGCAACACGTGGATGTTGTTGGATGCAGGCCACTGGAAGGAAGGGAGATTGTCCCTTATCCGTAGTAAGAGACTAAGTTTGCGAAGACCCTTGTTCGAGTTTGAGATCTCCAAATCCAAATAGAATCACTGACGGCTCGGACTCCGGAGTAGTAGTTCTGGGTGGAGTCTGTCAATCGAAAGAAGGATTCAACACAAACTATTCTCGAGGATGATGCACTAGATTATTGGAGGCCATCATCTCGCCCCTGGGGCCTGGGTTTCTCACGAGTCACGACCTGCAAGGCCCATGATGCGCGCCGGGCTCCGCCAACCATGGTGGTCAGCCCAGGCGTTTAATTGCGTTCATTTATGGTTCGATTTTTAAACGAGGAGCTGCTGCCCTGCCACGCTAATCCGAGTTGATCCTAGGCGGTGCATCCTTATCCACATGGGTTTACAGCCGCATTAAGAAAAGAAGCACGACTCGATCCCATCAGCCACGATTCGCTTACCTTTTGGAGTCCGACTCTTCGAAGCTTCTTTGAAAACTTTCCGCTTGCTCTTGTGCCCTGTCTACGCGCGCCGCCAAGGATTCCTTAGCTACTACTGCGACTCTTCATAATGAACCAAGATTTCGCGCCTCGACTGCGGTTTTTGGGGGCCACGTTCAGACGCTCTCCCAACGTCGGCCCCCTTTGTAGCTGGTCAACTGTCGGTCAACATTGATCGTCCACCCTTCATCCATCTTTCAGGGCCGTTAAGATTAGCCGCGGGTGATCTACCTCGGGGCGGTTCAAAGCTCTTTGTTGTAAAAGCCTTCACGAGTTATAGTTGGACCTGGCGACCTCTTCTGTCAACTAAGCGCTAATCAGCCGACGGCCACCTGGGCTTAGGCCCACTAAAGCCGAAGCCCTCCTCTTTCAAGGTTATCACCCCTGGAGATCCAGAGCATCGGGACCTGGATCGGTCCTGTCCTGAGCCCCCTTGGCCTTTGTCCGGAAGCGCGGTGGGCCTTGAAAAATAATATGCAAGTCTGAGCCCCGTCAATTGGGGGCTAGATTCTATCTAGTTCATTCTCATGTCATTGTGAACGCTGCAAGATGACCTTTTAGAAAACGGACCCCGTTCCCCGGAAGAGGTGGGCGCTTAAATGCAGACTCATCTTCCACCCTAGGCCTCTAGTTAGGAGAGGGTTTGTGTGGCACGGTAATGGTCGGCGGTACTCATCACACATTTTCGAGCTCTCTGAGCCTGTTGTTGAAAGAGCAGCCTCATGATACTGGCTTTGCCTTGCAAGGCTTTTTGGCTTTGTTGATATCGTCGACTCGGGTATATGAGCATCCACAAGACCGCTACTAGGATTACTTTCATCACCACCTCCGACTACGATCACAAAGGTATATATCGCTCAGACCTAGAAATCCTTTGCCTACTGCTCAAAGGACGAATCACCACGCACCTCGGGTCAGGGACCGAAACAGTTCATATATTGTGCACCTTCTACTCTCAGTCTATTCGTCGAGCCTCTGTCGTTTGCCGCCTTCCATAGTGGCCTCCCTGGCACCTGTTTCACGAAGCGTTTCATTGTTTTTCTTTGGTCCACTCACGAACCTCTCGGCGCTTCCAGCTATACTCTGATTGACTCGTTCTATGTCCTGCCGATCTTCGTGTGAATATTACGTCCCAATGTCATTCGGTCAAGGTGGATGCAATCCCAATGAAGGGATTGATGAGTTTTATGGTGGTATCAATCCTCAGTGGCCGGTATGTCAAAGTACAACAGCCGTAGGAGATATCCTGTTCACGCAAACTGATCCCGGTTTTCTGCAGTCACCGTATGGAGCAGTTAGCAATCCGTACAATGCACCTCCACCATACCAAGCTTCGGCAATTCTCACGCCAATCAGTCTTCCAGACAACTCATACGCTCATACTCGGACTAGCCCAGTCCTCAGTCACCACTCGCAAGAGTACCAATATCCGGTTTCCGACTCTGTTGCACATCACGGACTTGGGATTACCACTCCCTATCCAAGCGAGCTTACCCGGGACCCTCACTATGGCCTCGGTATTGCACCCAGCGGATACGGGATTAGAGAGGAGACTCTCTCGCCCCAGCCGTCACAGAGAAGGGCCAGGCGAGAATCTAGGCCCTCAGTGACGCGTGATCCACCAGTAACCATTCTTCCACATCCGGAAGGGCTCCAGCGCCTAGAAGAGCAACAGAGACAGAGCCTCGCGGGTCCAAGCATTGAACCAGCCCGGGCATCAGGACGCGGACGACGAAACCAGCAAGCAGAAGAGGAAGACGCCTATGTGTACAATCTCCGCCAACAGAAACTGGCATGGAGAGTGATTCGGGACATGTACCGGGAGAGATACAACAAAGACGCTACCGAGGCCCGCCTGCAAATGCGACAGCGCAGACGCAGGGAACGAATGGCCCGATGGGATGACCATGATGTGCGTGAGTGTACCGCAGGAATCCAGAGCCTTCTTGATACAAGAAGCGAAATGTGGCTCGAACGTTATTAACATATATTGTTCCAGGTTCGGATACTTTTACAGGCTAGGGATTTCTGGGAACAGGAGAAATACAAGTTAATTGCGCAGAAGGTGAGCTCATGCTTTCCCTTGGGATCAGAATGTCTGCTTACAATGTCTAGATGTCAGAACTAGGCGCCAACACTACATATACCGCAGAGCAGTGCGAAGCGCAGTTAGAAAACATTCAAGCCCAGGAACGTGAACGAGAAGAGCAAGAGCAAGAAGATATCACCCCACAGGAACAGCCTCAAGCAACCGAACCTCGACGCAAGCGGCGACGAACTGAGCCGGATGAGCTAAGAGAGAGCACCTCCCACCAGAGAAGATCAAGAACGCAAGTCAACACGGCATCATAAACCATCCCGCATTGCCTTAATGTTTTTATGCTTTATACACCCGTTTGGCTCTTTTGATTGTTTTTGGCGCCTCGTTTCAAGCTTGCCATTTGTACCCTTTGTCATGCATACATTTTCTTCTTCCATTCTTTGACTATTGCATTGTTGGGATTCTGCTTCACAGTTTTTATGGCTTCTGCCTTTTACTCTCTATCTTTGCATGTCCATCTTTATGTTCACCATACCATATACCCATACCCTGTTCGCTCCTTACCTTACAGCAGCCGCCCCTTAACAGTTCATCACAATCTTCGAAGGCCCCTACTCTACCCCCTATCACCTCCACCTCGACCCCGAACAATAGATAACTCTCAAACCAAATCCAAATAAACACTTCCTGGCATTCGCAAAGCTATCTCTTCCAAGCCACAATCACTCGCTAAGTATAGCTACAAGTAGTATGTATCTACTACTAGCCCGCGAACTAGAGGGCTGCTAATCACGCGCCGCTGCCCATCCGGCCCTTGGCTCGCGACGGGTTCATCTCCGCGATAATCTTTGATTTGAATTTCGTGGATTTTTATCTGTCGCCGGAGTTCGCTTGCTGAAAGCCGCCTCCGCCCCCGTTGCGTACTCCGTATCCTCATCTTGTTTGGACTCTGGACTGCACAGGGCGGCGGCTCATGAACATAGTCGCCATCGTTTAGATTTCTGGATGAGGCTTGATGCCCAGACGTCAGAAAGGGGCCGGGGCGCTCGGTTGGGGCCGGGGGTTGTCCGGTCTGACTGCACTTGCGGCTGAAAAGGCTCGATACTCTTTGAATAGATTGTTGATTAGATTACCAGTAGGTACTAGGTAGGGGCCCTGTCCAAGCATGTGATGGTCTAGCCACGATGTGCTCTTACCGGTCCTTGGTGGGTTGCCTGTGCTACAGTTGAGCATAGTATTGTGAAGTATTTACCGACCGTCCTAGAATATCTATCGGGAAAGTAGTAGAAATAAGAAGTATAGAAGAGTAGATCATTCACTATCCTCCTCCAGATCTTCATCACCGATAGGAAACGTTAAGATCGCCGCAATGCCTCCTAACCCATCAAGCCTTTTCCCGCTCTCATGCTCCGAACTCAAAACGCGCACCTCACCACCCTCGACATCCCGCACGCGATCCACAAGCGCAACCCACCGCTTCCGCTCCGCCACATCCGGAGAACGGAACAGCTTGTTCGAGATGATAAGTATCCCGCCGCCACGCCCCACGGCGCCCTGGCCAACGGCGTTCTCGACCTCGCGGGGTCCGTACGTAGCCTTGTTGGTTTCCTTTCGTAGCTGCTCATGGAAGTCATCCATGAGCTTTGTCTCGCGTGCGTGCTTGGTGTCGCTGAGGAGGGCCTTGACGGTGGGGGATTGCAGGACTTCTGTGAGTGAGTGGAGGTAGCCGGAGGCGGAGTGGACGACGACGACGGAGGGGAGCAAGCGCTTGAGCGCGGGGGTGGTTGTGTTGGCGACGTGTTGGATGTGTTTTTGGAATGAGGTTGCAGTGAATCCTGGGGATGCGAGGAGGACGGGGCGAACGGGGTCGTTGCTTGTCATTGAGGTGGAGCTGGTGTTGAATTCCATGTGGCGGAGGAGGGTGTCGAGGGTTGTCTGGTAGAACTTGGTCATTGTCTGCGCTTGTTAGCATCAAAACATCCTTTAAAAATGTAATGCGGAATACCTTGTCATGATCACTGCCTCCAGCCCTCTTCCTCGGCACGGACATCTCAATCTTCTGCTTCAGGACAGTCCGGAACTGTCCAATGAAGCATATATGCGCTAGTCCTTCCTGCATCACCACGGCCACAGCCTCCGCTTTGCGGTTCCCGCCCTCGTCAACCGCATCCTTTAGCGCCTCGACCGCAACACTATCCCACCCGCTTCCCTCACTATCCGGCCCGGATCCCTTCTCTAGGGTAAACTGCCGGTTAAGTTCGAGGTCAAGGGTATGGTGCTGTCCAATCTTCGTATGCGGCGTCTCATTTACAATCTGCCCGCTAACATGTAGTTGGGAGTTTTGCGGGTCAAAGTCGAGGTTCTTGACTCGGATCTCCAGCGTTAGCCGCACGCGTGAGGAGCTAGTTGAGCCGGTTGATGCGGCGGTTGTTGTAACGCGGCGGATAGCTGTCGCATAAAGGAGGTCTCCAGGTACGATGAGGTTGTATGCATGCCACTGGTGAGTTACCTGGTTAGAGGGGTGCATCTGGGTTTATTGAAGGGAGGGGTGACGTACCATGTCCTCAGGCTCTTCGGGGATGAGGGTGACACTGCCGGCGCCGCCATATTCGATCTTGTTCTTGACGAGGCGCATTGTGTCTGTGATTGGTATATAGATATTGTACGTGTAAATGGCTTTCCAAATCAATCTGGGGAAAGATTGTTGTCTGCAATCACAAGCCCGATAATTCTGATGACGGAGGGGCACATTGGGCCTAGTGGGTCCTTATCGATAAGAGTGGCCTAGCCCTGATTGAAGTATACCTGCTCCGTATACATCTCTCTTGTAGTTCTGTCCAGCTTGTTAGATGCCCGGTTTCCAAAATATAAACTGCTTCTACTGTTTCTGTAAGTGGGATTTTAGCCAGCGAGTTAGCGCCTCAGATGTACCAGCGTGTCTGAGCAACATGGTGACACTGGCTGATGTATAGAGTACTCATGGCCGAAACAAAGGTTTAAGTATCGGTGGAGTACAGATCTATTCTTCTGGGCAGTGATCATACCAGGTCATATACCAGCCAACCCCTTCGTCTGAGTGCTCGTTGAAGTCCGCGTCATCTCCGATAAAATAGCTTGCGCCTTTTCACCAAACCAGAGATTTGCTTCTCCTGGGTCATCCTCATTCATTTAGTAACGAGTCTGATGCTGTGCGCGTAAGAGATTCGAATACAATTGTCACCTCGAACATGAGACTATCCAACATAACAAGAGCCTCCTTGACCATACCTTCTATCATTGCGATGCCGAATATCTTCGCTGTGCACGAACATACCGAAATTGTTTATCAGTCAGAGCGCATCCGAGCTAATTTCCCTCAAAAGACTGCCTGTTTTGATAACGTGGCAATCATATCTTGTATCCCTTAGTAGCAGTATGACTCCTTCAATACTGTACCTTTGACTAGCGATTTGTCTGAGCTAACAGGAGCCGAGGCACAAGGTATGCCTGCCTCTATCCAAGACTGTTTGACGCCAGATAATCATCAATACATGGGTCATAAACGGTCAGAACAATGCCAGCGCGTGGGTTACTCATGCCGTTATGCAGAGGCTTATTGCTTCCCTTGCTGTGTAGGTGGTGAATATCCTGCTCCTAGAAACGGCGGTAGGGTATTTGCCAGAAAATAGGTAGGCAAGTTCCGCGGTATCTGGCAGACGATGCTAATGCATGCATGTCGTATTCTTAGCGAACTGTTATTTCAACCCTGGCGACTACGGAGTACTGCTGTCATTGGATATGTTGTACTTGGTGCTGTAACAGCACCTGCTCAGGCTCCAGGGGCTGGTGTAAGCGTGTATAGATTGAATAAGGACCTGTAATGTGGATGTACATCAAGGCGGTTTGACTGAAGGGCTCCCAAGGAGGATTTGTAAGAGGGAAATCCGGGGTTCGTTCAGATTGTCCACATCCATACGGAGGTAACAAAGACAGACAGTACCAACACGTCAGAATGTGTTTTTGGCTTGTCATAAGGTCTTCTCAAGCCTAGGCTTTAGGTGGATCTTTTCTTTTCATATTCGAAGTAGCTGGTGATGTATTGTGCCTTTGTTGAGATGCTGGTTCAAGCTGGAGTAGATCACCTAGCAGAGAATCACGTGCCAGGAGATAAGCACTTCGGGGCAGTCACCATCACAGTGAATGTTTCCAGGCAACCGCAGGCAGGTTATTGTTAGTCACAGCGCTGTTTATTGTTATTGTTTACAACCTATATACTCAATGTCTGCCATATACATTGCATCGTTCGACAACCAGTTCGCAGCTGTCCAACGTAACCATGGCCGATCGACCGCGAGTTATTCTTGAAAAGTCCCGCACCGTCCGCCGTCGGTACCAGCGCAGCAACAAACGGTTTCAGTTCACAGCATCCCAGATCGCTCGCATCGAACGAGAGGAAGAACGCGAACGCAAAGCTGAGAAGCTCCGGGAAAAGGAGAAGCGGCGCATACTGTTAAAGAAGAAAAAGACCGAGAAGGACGCGAAGGCCCGCGAGGAACGAATCCGTCGTGGTATACCGGACCCGAATGCCCCTGCTGTACCTGCGAGTCAGCCCTTGCTGTTCAATTTCATCAAGAGGACACCGTCTGTTCAGCCGGAAGGCGAAGGTCCAGAGGAGCAACCAGAGATAGATTCTGAGAGTGAGAGTAAGACCGAGACAATCAGTGAATTCGACGATGACGATTCAAGCTTCGACGATGAGGAGTTTGATAGCATACTGGTTGCTCTAGATGAAGCAGGACAGCCTACACTTGAGGATATCGAGGGCCCCCGCGAGAAAGATATCGAGAAGGATGACGACGAGTTCTCCGAATGCTCTGCTTTCTACGACGAGGACCTCTCCAAAGTGACGGATACTGTTGAGCAGGTGTCGGTTGCGACGGTCCTGAGCACAGATTCCTTCGAAGACGACACTGCCATCCTCTTGGAGGAGTTCGTGCCGGACTTCGACCCAGGTTCCAGTTTTGACGAGGAACTGGCTCAATTGGATGCGACTTAAGAGTCCAAAACATATCATTATATATACAACATCACAAATAACTGTCTCCGCCCGCGAGATATGCATGCTCAATGCTGCATGTTTTCCGATCCGATGGGGCAGTGCGGGTAGTCTTCGGATAGCGGGCCCCTCTTCGGCTTAAACGGTATGTTGGCAAGCGTCTCGCTGTCCCACCATCCGACGGATGAACCGGCCTGGGTAGGCTGCAGCAGTGCAGCTATGAGACCATTGAAGTCGACGATAAACCTGCTGCTCGGAAATCCGGGACAAAATGCCAGTGCTGGGTTACGAAATCGGGAGAGCTATGTGAAGTGTGAGCTGCATGACGTCGGCGATTTGGTATCTAATCTTAGCGGCTTCCAGTGTTTTGTTCCAATGCTTCATCACCCCGCAACTCACAACATCCCTAACCTAGCGGACATTGTTCAAGCTGCAAAGTCAAGATGCCGTTCATCTCAGTCAATAACCATCAATTGCATTATGCTGACTCTCATCCCGACGGAGCCCCCGCCAATGGTCTCACTTTCTTTTTCATTCACGGCCTAGGCTCATCGCAGAACTACTACTTCCCGCTTCTCCTGTACCTGACCTCTCAGCATCGCTGCATCACCGCTGACACCTATGGCTCTGGTCGCTCTACGTACACGGACCAGTCTGTTTCTATCGGATCTATCGCTGCTGATGTGATTGGATTTCTTGATGCGCTGAATATTCCTCAAGCCGTGGTTGTCGGCCACTCTATGGGTGGGCTAGTTGTGACACTTTTGGGCTCAGAACATGCAGATCGTGTGAAAGGTGTTGTAGCGATTGGTCCTACTCACCCTTCTGAGACTCTAGCATCTGTTATGCGAAAGCGCAGCGAGACTGCCGCCGAGAGTAAGCTATTCTCAGGTGAATTAAGCATGGCTGCTAATGATAGTAGGTGGCATGGAGTCTCTAGCAAACAGCATTCCTTATCAAGCTACCGGATCGACGGCGTCCCCTCTCGCTAGCTCCTTTATCCGTGAACTCGTCCTCGGACAGAATCCGAAGGGATATGCGGCGCTATGTCAGGCGATTGCTAATGCCCCTACTATCGATTACTCGGCCATCCAGGTGCCGTTCCTGCTAATTGCGGGAGAGGAAGATAAGTCGGCTAGCCTGGAGGGTTGTCAATATATCTTCAGCCGCGTGTCGAGCGCCAACAAGAAGATGGAAGTGCTGCCGCAGGTTGGACACTGGCATTGTATCGAAGCGCCGGACACTGTTGGAAAGACGATCGCAGAGTTTGTCAAGGCGAGCTTTTGAATAATGTCCTAGAATACCGTTACATATCAGTTATGCATTGTACAAACTGTAGTTCTGTACACCGTACCTATAAGGGCGGATGATGACAGACGTTGATTGGCTGAAGCTCGTATCCGATCCGAACAGTTGCTCGGATCGCTGCCAGCCTCCACCTTGACATCGGAAGCCAGCATCTTGCCTCGTCTTCTTTCGCAGTCATACGATCAGCGGGCTTCCGACTGGCACAGTGGTACCGCAAGTAAATGCGGGGTCTCTTTCCAGAATGAGGAGTCTGGGGGTGTCCGGAAATCCACACTTTCTCATTGGCAGACATCCTTTATTTGCCTATATAAGAGCACTCGGACACTTCCCCATGGATAGACTTTCCCATCTCTTCCCTCTATCCCTACTTCTCTCCCGAAACAAATCTCCGTGAGAGCCAGCAAGATGACCTCCCACCGCTTCGATCCCAACTTCACAGACAATGTCGTCAACGCCATGGGCGAGAACGTCAACCCGCGGTTCCGACAGCTCATGGCGTCGCTGATCCGGCACGTCCACGACTTTGCGCGCGAGAACGAACTCACCGTCGACGAGTGGATGGCCGGTGTACAGCTCATGAACTGGGCGGGGCAGATGAGCGACGCAAAGCGGAATGAGGGGCAGTTGGTTTGCGACGTTATCGGGCTCGAGTCGTACGTACCAATTCTTTCCTTTATTGCCCATCCTACCTGAAGGAACATGTATTGATTGATGCCATGCAGCCTCGTCGACGAAATCACCTTCAAACTCGCCGACGAAGCCACCGACGCTCCTACAGCCACCGCAATCCTAGGACCTTTCTTCCGCGCCGACACCCCCTTCCGCTCAAACGGCGAGAGCATCGTCAAGACCGCGCCAAAAGAAAAAGACGGCAGGGGTGAGTTGGCGTACATGACCGGGCAGGTCGTGGACTTCGTGACGAAGAAGCCGCTCGTTGGCGCGGTGGTCGAGGTCTGGCAGGCTTCGACGAATGGACTGTATGAGCAGCAGGATCCAGATCAGGAGGAGTTTAACCTGCGTGGGAAGTTCAAGACAGATGAGAACGGCAAATATTCGTTTTACTGTCTGCGGCCGACGCCGTACCCTGTGCCCGATGACGGTCCTGCGGGGAAGTTGTTGAAGATGATGGACAGACATCCGTTCAGACCGGCGCATATCCATATCATTGTATGTTCCACCCCTCTAGCTCATTTATTTGCGCCGTATGCAGCGCCTTTGGTATGGGTGGTTAATGCTGATGTTGTACAGGCAACGCACAATGGGTACAAGCCCCTCACAACGCAGATCTTCGACCGCAAAGACCCCTATCTGACAAACGACTCGGTCTTCGCCGTCAAGGACTCGCTGGTTGTTGACTTTGTTGAGCGCAAGGGTGACCCTCAAGCTGGGCTTGAGTTGAACTACGATGTGAGATTGGTGCCAGATGGGCTGAAATCTAACGGTGCTTGAGTTAGGCCGTGCGTAGGTGGGGTTTTCATTGTATATAGTCTTAGTCCACTGCTCTATGTTTGTGATACCTGAATTGAGTGCATTGCGGGGTTCCTACTGTCCACCGCAGAGAAAGAGTACGCGCCTTACCATTTGAGAGCGGAGCACATCGTAAGGTTGAACATGGAGTAGTGCGCAGCGGTGAGGTAGGCGCGGCTGAACCTTAGCCCTAACCTTGTCTATAGCCGTCACATCGCTACTACATTAGGCCAGGATCGGGTCGATGTAAGTTAGCGTACTATAGGGTATTTAGATAGAGACAGGTCAGACAATCCCTATGTACCCCCTCCCCTCCTCTTGGGATTTCCCCTCCTCGTCAATTCCTCCGGCAAAGGCTGAATCACCTCCCCACGCTCCCAAATCTTGCCCATCCCCTTCCTCCGCTCAATCACAACATCAAAGTACTCCACGGGGATTACCTGCCCCTTTGCTGCACCTTCACCTTCACCAGAACCCGCCGGCGTATCCACCTCCATACCCTCAGAGAGAATGACACCATTCTCACTTCTCCAGAACGGGCATCCGCCCGCCAATGCCTTCCGGATATCGAGATAGATCAGCACTGCCGCGTCCTTACGCATGCCTGATATAACCTTCCCGTGCGATCCAGCTCCAGAGCCAGTCTCCTTTTCGTCCTTGGAAGCAGAAGAATCAATCACACTCAAAACATCCTGCACCGCGGGGCCTGTGGCAAAATGCGCGTGGTTCCTGCCCATGGTTCTCAAGCCTCCAGACGCCAGGATCAACGGCCACGTCGAGTGATAAGTCCCATGCACCACGGTGTCGGGAAGTTTATCAGGGTTCTCCAGCGTGAGTCTCTCCAATAACCCGGACTCCGCTTCGACGGATTTAATGCTGTGGCCTTGTGTCGCGCGGATGAGGTAATGCGAAGGTTTTTGGTCGGTATTGAAGGATGTTAGGGCTTTTGCTGTGGCATTCTCATCTTGCCCGGATTCAGCCTCCGCTTTTGCTTTGTCTTCGGGGTTCGTTGAGGCTGAGGGGGTTTCGCTAGTTGCATCCGAGGATGGTGGGAGGTATAGCAACGCAAAGCGCTTCTTATCCGACGTGTCGACGGCGCTGATGATCTCGGAGAAGGTCACCTTGAGCGATTTCAATTTTTGCCATGCGAGCTGTGCACGTCTCGTTAGTTAGCTTGCTCTTCTCAGGCAATTCCTTCTTATCCTTTGCTGTCCCATGAAGTTGAGTTCTTTGGGCGGCAGAGCATCACATACCACATCTGCAACATTCGCGTACCCCTGTGAATCGATCTTGAGCCCCTCGCGCTCTGCGGCGTGGCGGAGGAGTAAACTCAATGCCTTGGAAACCGTGACTTCGCGGCTGGGCGGTTTGCGGTCTCGACCTCGGCCTCCTCCTCTTCCTCCATTCCGTTTTTGCTGGTCTGTGTCGGGCATCTTTGGAGGTCTTGATCGTCCGCGTGGTGGCAGCAGCGTGTGGAGGGGTTGTGCGGGGTTGAAATTATTTTGTCGGAGAATTTGTCGGAGACGGTGGGGGTGGATGAGGCTCGGGGCGGGGAGGGGTTTAAGAATGAGCTTAATTTTGAGGAATGGGGATAATCCAGCGATCCCAGGTGATAGGACCGATGGAGCTGTTGTGAGTCAATTGTAAGTCATTCCGTGGCTGGCTGGGGTTGTTTTTGTTAAATTTGCGGAGTCACGATCACGATCATACATACGGAGTAGATGAATCTTAATCCGTAACGTAAGCTGGAGGTTTGACATCATTGATCTCCAACAAACCATTTCTGCATACTACATACAACTGAAGAGGAAATAACTTCATAATGCTATGCTAGGGTATTATCGATCACAAATACAACTACACTCTGCTACCGGACAGACCTTATGTCTGGCAAACCACTCTCGCGCATGATGCGCATGGAAGCCATGGTTACAGTTGATGCAGAAAACAATAAATCGCCGCATTATTTCCGCCTCGGGAAGCTTGTGGTGATTCGCCGCCGTCTCCGCCGCGACACAAGCCTTGGACATCGGATCCGGAGAGCCTAGCCAGAGCGTGCACACGCCGCACCGCGGCATGTGGCGCCCGCAGCGTGGGCAGATCGTGCCGGACATGGCGGCCGAGCCGAGCGGGTTGCCCGGAGTCGCGTGGACAATTTCTCCACTGGTGGATGGGGATAGTTGGGAGGAGGCGTCGTGCTGGGTTAATGGCTGTGTGCAGTAGTTACAGGTCAGACTGACTTGCTGGCGCGGTGGCTCGATGAGGCGGCGGCCGTCCCAGGTGGCGGCGAATTTGCGGGAACCAACGTCGAAGCGGGCGCGTTCGAGCTGGAGCTTCCAAGAATTAATTTGCCAGCGATAGGTCTCGCGCCATGTCTCGAAGCGGTGTTTGTTTGCGGGGGTGTTGACGAAGCGGGGAACTGTGTGGGACATGGCGAGGACGGGGGTTTGGACGTCGTTGAATTTGTTGATGTAGGATTGAAAGAGATCCATGGCCGAGTGGCCAAGACCGGTAAGGACGATGCCTTCAATATTGCCTTGTTGGATAACGCGCTTTGTTGTTTCGGTTAGGTATGTTGTGAGGTCGTCGTCTGGAAGCCAACGTAGAGCGACCTCGACGCGGTATTTCAGAGGGAGGGTGGTTTCTTGGATGACAGAACGCCAGTCTCCTTTACTGACGAGCGCAATGATCGCCCGTGCATACGGGTCAGTAAGCTCTTTGGCGATCTCCGCGCAGGTCTCTTCCCAGTCAGGATCTGTTGTTCCTTTGGCGGCACCGGCTATCGCCATTGCGAGAAGTTTATGCGCCTGCGTAGGGGTATGGCTCCGAAGCGCAAGATACGCAAGCTTCGGCTCGCCTTGGAAGACAGCTAAAGCAGCGGCCTTTGTATGCTGGCTCTCTGCCGACAACGTCTTGACGAGCTCTTCGAGTTCGCGATGTGACTGCGCTGCGCCGCATATCCGCAGACCAAGACGTCTTTGCTCGGAGTAGCGAGTTTGTAAGCTTTCAATGGGAGGAAGGTTCAGTTTTTCCTGTACTAGATCCACGATGGTATCGTTGATATCAGGGTAGTGAGCGGCGTTGGAACCCAACCAACGTGCCTCGAAGCTGGCTCCTATGCAAGTTAGCCCTGTTTCTTCCCTGCTCCAGCAGACATTCATGAGTAAGCATACCCAAATCTCCTGTCCAGACATCAAATACGCCGAGATAGTTCAAATCCAGGTGGTTCATGATCATCGAGTCACTCGCAGAGTCGGAGCGTGCACCTAACTCGTTAGCTTGCAATTAACTCCTCATGTCAGCAGGCACTCACGCTCAATCCATTCCCAGAAGTCCTGCAGCGACGGGTCATCCGCCAGAATCAGTTTATTCCGCATTCCATTGAACAGATACCCTTCTTTGCACCGCAGCCTGTGCACTGTCAAGAGAGTCAATGCTTCTTGGGCAGTAAGGGGACTGCCCTGCGTCCCGACTGACAGGACGCGCTCCCTCCCCTCTCGACTGGAAAGATGTTGTTCAGGGTTCTCTCGCACAGCGCGACTTTTCCCATCATCGTCCTGGCCATCTTGCCTTTCTAGAGCGCCATGCCGCAGACTCTTTGCTATTTGCCCGATGTTTGTGCCCTCCGTTTCTAGAGGACGTACGGACTTGAAGTCGTGGCGCTCGCCAGGCCTACCACAGACCAGTGTCCCTTGCGAAGATAGCCGAACTGGAGGCGGCGGTGGCTTCACGGTAACAACCTTTATCTGATCATCCGCTGACAGCGTCAAGATGCTAGGCTCATTGGAGCTGCTCATATTGAGAAAGTCAAATGAGACCACTCGTTCGGAGGCCTGGTATCCTCGCGACGGGAGGTCATATGGACTGAAGACATCGCGAACGGACTTGGTATAGATCTGCTCTGGGTAGTTGGTGACGGAGTTCTGCCCAAGAGTTCGGTCAATTGGCGAGCGATATTCCTCAGCGACGTACTCTTTTACAATGTTGTAAGTTTTCAGGTGACCGTTGCTGGAAAGCACACCCAAGCAGCCTCGTTTCGTCCTTGAGAACCGGAGACTCCAGATTGCCGATTTAGGCGCGATCACGTTCTTGAACTCAAGCGCAGGCTCCAACTGACCTGTCTCCAGGCCTGGAGTTGCGCCTGCCGAAAGACGAGCCCCGACCCGCCGGTCCCAGATACAGACAGTGGAATCGTTCGACGTCAACCCGGACGCGATATAGTTCTCATCAAGCCAATCAATAGCCAGATTATGCACACATCTCGTCGGGAACTGCAGCGATGGCAAACCAGGGCCCTCTACACTTGTCAGTCGCTCTCTCCAGGTCCAGCACAGAGCAGAACATACCTCGCAAATCATAAATTCTCACAAACTGCCCCTTAACCCCGGTCACCAATGTATCCGGCTGATCTCTGAAGAACTTCACACTCGTAATCGGCTCCGAGCTCGCTAGCTTCCTCAGCGGCTCGACATGCCCCTTCCCGCCCCTCATCGCTAACCGCTGATTCACATCCCAAACGTTCAGGCAAAAGTCATTGCGCACCCGGTCCAACCCCGCCGCTAACAGCCCGTGCGTGCTGAAAGCTATCGCATTGCAGTATCTCTGATGTCGCACAGGGAAGGAAAAGGACTCCTGCGAGTCGTCGCCCTCGCGCATACGCAGGATCGTCGCATCGCCGGAGGATTGCCCTACCGCGACTAGGGACTCGTCGACCGGGGACCAATCGAAGGCTCGGAAGGCGGGCACTTTGGTGTGCGTGGAAAGGATGGAGTGCGAGAGGGCTTCATCGGAGAAGGAGGTGACTTTGCACAGCCGGAAGACCTTTCCTGTGACGTCGACGGAGAGAAAGCGCTGTTCTGCGGGTGTAGAGGAGGGAGACCAGCGGATTGCTCTGTCCATTTTTGCCGTTTCTGTATTCAATGCCGGACTTATTTTCGTGTAGTACTCCGTGGAATATTCTGGCGTTGAGTAATATAGTACTTGACAAAGTACTGCGTCTGATCCATTCGTTGCTTCATCCCATGGAGCTGGGCGGGATCAAGCAGCAACGCGCATGTTGCTGTGCGATTGGGTAGCTGAGGCGCAACAGGGCACTCCGTTGATAACTGAGGTGCACTGCTAGCACACTGCTAACTAGCTGTTTGATTGCCAAAGAGTTTCAATTTTCAATCACACGATAAAAGTCGAGATCAAGTCGAAGTCGACATTAGGTAGATGCGGCGTATACCCCATCTCGAACCCAATCTCCGCTCCTCCCGCACTCCAACTTCGGCCCGACAATCTTCCACTTTTTATCGCAGCCATTATTATTTTCTCTGCCGATCAGTTCTATAAAGTACAGCAACCACATCATCCCAAATCAATCCCAGTCTCAGCTACACTCTAGCATAGACGAGCCGCCAAAATGCCAAAAGACTTCAACCCACCCCGACCGCAGCGCAAAACGCCCTACCCAGACCGATCACGCAAACCCAAATCAAAGCCGCAGCAAGACCGCGGAGAAGAAAAGCAACACCCATCCGTCAACGAACTCAAGCGTCGCATTCGAGATGCTAAGCGTCTTCTCGCAAAACCAGAACTCCCTGCCGATAAGCGCATCATCCAGGAGCGTGCGCTGGGTGGGTATGAGAAGGAATTGGCGGATGAGGAGAGGCGGCGCGAGAGGTCGCGGATGATCAAGAAGTATCATTTTGTTAGATTCCTGGGTATATTTCTCCTATCATATTCTTCTTTGGGGTCGAGTTGCTCAGTCGTTGAGATGAATTGGTGCTAATGTGCTGCGCTATCACAGACCGCAAAACAGCCACGAAGGAAGTCAACAGACTTACGCGGAAACGAGACGAGCTAGGCAAGGATATCGATATCGACGAAGGAACAAAGAACAAGAAGCTCGAGAAACTGGATGCCCGGCTACACACCGCGAAAGTGAACCTGAACTACACGATCTACTACCCGCTTACGGAGAAGTATATTTCGATCTACGCGGAGAGGAAGAAGGGTGACTCGGGTCAAAATGAGGACGTTGATAAGGAGGAGGAGACGGCGCAACCAGAGGAAACTGTGAGCGCCGCGACCGCAGCAGAGAAGAAAGCTATGCTGCAGACCATTGAAAAGTGCATGGAGGACGGAACGCTTGATCTGCTTCGGGAAGGGAAATTGAGCTCGATCGCCGAAAACGAGGCCAGAGCCGGAACTAAGACGGAAACGAAGTCGAAATCGAAGTCGCAGTCGAAGAAGGACACTGGTGACAAGAAGGCCAGCAACAAGGAGAAGGCAGAGGTCAAGACCAGCAAGCCCGATGGTCGAAAAGGGAAGAGCGCGAAACACGCTCCATCGGCACCAGTCGAGGAGAGCGGAGACGAAAGCGACGGCGGTTTCTTCGAGATGTAATTTGGTCTATCCAACATCTACGGAGCATCCATACCTATATATCGTACCCCTACGGCCATTCCACCTGCCTACTCATGCGTCGCATCTCAGGAGTCTGTCTATTTGTTTAGAGAATTGCTATTCTCACGGTAACTTTGCTAATCTCACGGTAATTAGCGCCCTCCGGCCGCGCGCGCTGCCGCCACTAGCTGTATTTATACTAGTTTTACAGCCAGCCGCTTTATAGCCATAAACTAGACTTAATTAGTACTAGTAGCCCTATTACCAAGCTTAACACCATAAAAATATTTTTAAAACTCCGTAAAGTCATAGTTTATATAGGATAAGAACTTAATACTATAAAGTCTAATCCTAATAAAATTTTATTTTTTAATCAGGCATTAGATGCTGGTTTAATTTATTTATCTAGTAATTTAAAAAACAAAGCCCCTAGCAAGCCCTTTGCTAATAAATATAACTTTAAAATTAAAAATTAATATAATAGCATCTTGGAGCTTAAAAATAGCTTTAAAAAGGTTTTTAACTTTATAAAAAAAGTAAAGGCCTATTTTAAGTTTTTTGCAAGAATTAATAGCTTCGCGGTCCTTAAATAAAGCACTAGCAAGTACCCTAAATATTATAAAAAAGTTAATTTTATTAATTTTAAATACCACCGCGGAGCAGTGCCTATACCAAAAAAAAATTTTTTTTTTAAGCCTACTTTTTTTTTAAAGCCTTAAAGTGCTGGATCCTACTAAATTAATTATTTATTTAAAGTTATTATTAGGCGCCAAACCCCAACTACAGTACTTAAAGTTATTTATGGCTCTTATAATTATAAGCGGACTAAGGACTTTTTTATCCCTAACTAGCATAAAAAGTATATTAAAAATTATAAAAAAAAGATTTTTGGCCTAATATTTAATAAAGCTAGCTGCTATTCTTAACACGTTATAAATTATTTAAAGCGTATAAAAAAGCCTTGCCCTTTAAAAATTAAAAATCTTTATAATCTTTATAATAAGTTTTAATGTTAGTTCCTAAATGGTAAAACACTAACTAAAGCGCTTATTAACTAGCTGCCTTAATAAAAGGGCAGCTTTATAAGGCATAAGATAAACTTTAAAAAAAAGCTAAAGTACACCTTTTTAGCCTATTTAACCTTAATTAAGCAACTCAAGCAAAACCCCTTTATTATTATTATTAACTATACCTATAAAATAAACCAGTACCTCCTACCTTTTTATATAATTGCTAAAGTTATCGCGTGTAATAAGACCTTTATTATTATATATAGCTTTATAGGGGATAAGACTAAGCTATTATACACCTAAATATTATAATAACTCCGTGATTTTTATACATAAAAAGGCCTTAAAATGCCCGGGGTTATTATTATTAATAAAAATAAGGCTTTTATTAAGGCGCTTGGTGTTATTCTTCCTATAACTAATTAAATTTTTTGTATTTAGTATATTAACCAGAAGATTTTTAGCTAAGCAAAGCGGGCTATATTAATTACGCTTTAGGATAGCCTTAATTTAAATAATAAAAAGTAAAGTTAAAGGGTTAATAAGTAGTGGACTGTAATGCTATAATTATGGTTTTAAGCCATATAATCTTTAATAAAGACTTTTTTTAAAAGCTAATAAAGGGCCTTTAAAAAAGTATATAAGTAGCTTATATATAAAGATTTCCTGCAGTATATTAAGAAGAAATAGCTTTAAAAAAATACTAAAAAGTTCTTCCTGGCTTATTATACTAATACCTATCCACACTTTAGCTAAATATTAACCTTTTAGGTAAAGTTAGCTTATTATTAATTAAAGAAAAATTTAAAGTCATCCCAGAGCGAGCTAATCCATGTGGTAACTCTTATTAATAATATTATTAAGGCTTAGTATATAAAGGCTTAATACTAACACGCTAATAATACTTTAAGGCCTCCGCCTTAATATAAGCATTTTTTCTTTAAAAATATTATTATAAAGGTCTTTACCTACGCCATGCAAAAGGTAATTAAAATAATAAATTTTTATTTACTAAAGCGCCTTAATAAATTAATTAAGTATTATATAAGCAGCTATAAGTAAAGCCTTGGACTCCCCTGTATTTATTAAATTTAAAAAGTGTTTTATAATAACCGGAGCCTTGGCCTTAAAAAGTTTTATAACTAGTGGCTTTTAGTTTTAAGATCTTAACTCCTTGCGTATTTTTAACACCCTTATATTTATTTTTTACTAAAGAAATAATAAAAAGAAAGGCCTCGGGGGGCTTTAAATTAACTAAAAAAGTTTATTAAGCAAGATTTATTTAAGTTTAAATATATAAATTAACTAGTTAAGAATAGGGGGGAGGCCGGTGTTAAGGTTTTTTATTAAAGCAAGTATTTGTAGTCAAGCGTAGCGCAGTAAAAAAAGTAAGAATTTATATTTTAAATAACATATTTTTATTAGTTAGTATACACGGCCACCTAAAAGTTAGAACTTGCCTATATTTAGTTAAGTTTAAAATGTTAATTTTTGTATAAAAAATTAAAATTTAAGAATATTAATAATTAATGCGCGCTAAGTTTTCTGCCGGGCAAAATTAAAAGGCGGAACCTAAATAAGCTTAGTAACAGCCTTTCCGCTTACTAGTACTAAAGCGGCTAGCTCCCGCGCCAGCGCGGCCAGAGGGCGCTAATTACCGTGAGAATAGGAAAGTTACCGTGAGAATAGCAATTCTCTTTGTTTATATTTCAGCATTACGTGCGCAACTGGAACTTGATTTTTTCTTTCTTTCATCGGATACCCAAATGAACACATACTCATACTGTGCAATTCATTCTTCATCTAGCGAGGTAGTTACGCAGTAACTCCTAGCAGTCAATAAGCGCGAACATATATGCAAATGGGCCGAGACTGCAGAGTGCAAAATCCTGAGCGAACATAGAAGGGCCGAAGTAGAATACCAACAAGATAATCCCAATCCTCGGGTAGGTAGGTGGCTAGGTTATGCAATGGGGATGATGCAAGACATGGCCCGAATAAGATGTAAATCAAACTCCGACTTCACCAACCCTTCTAGACAAAACATGAGATGTAATAAGGAAATTGCTGAATGATGCGGGTTACAAGCCCCAACTGAAAAAGGAAAGGAGAGCAGGTTCACAGAATTTAGCTGTGGGTTCGCTGTTTTATCGTGTTGTTAAGTTGTGTGATGGGTCATGTCCTATCCTAAAAAGACTGGATATGACTTTAATCTGAGCAGAGCAGAGCAGGACAGTCTCAGTATGACATGACCGGCACAGCATCGAGACTGCCCAGCGCTGACCAATGTGGATAGAAGGTTTATCAGGACCTCGGTCACCGAGCCAGGGATATATGCGGCAAAGTGGTTTACATGACCGCACAGCTCCCGCCGCTGCGAGCTCGTCTTCTGCCCCCCAGCAGGCCAAGGTACGGCTCCCCGGCGTCGTCGTCGTTGTAAATGCGCTCCGCCTCGCGCGCTCTTCTCCGTCGCCTTCTCGCACCAGCACCACCGATACCCGCTTCCTCAGTGGCAACCATATAATCGAACCATTTCTTCTCGAGCCGGTTGGCAGCCGCAAGGTCGCCGCGCAGGACACGTTTTGTGTGCTCATCCACAGTTGCCTGCCAGGCATAGAAACACTTGAGCTGGATGATGTGATTCGGGTAGACGGTGGGCGGGGGCGGCGGTGTGATTGAGGAGGTTATCATGGGCGTCGAGGCTCCTGATCCGGATCCTAGCACGGAGGTCCTGCTTGCGTTTACAGTCTGGGTGACTACTGATATCGCATCGGGGGCGGAGACTTTGTATTGACGGGGGATGTAGGCGTTGCCTGCTAGGATATCCCTGACGCCGACCCAGGTTATGTTCGGGCAATCAAAGGCGACTATGCGCAGCCCGATCTGAGGAACGTTCTCGTCATATCCTCGTTTGCGGACACGATAACTGGCTTCTGACAGGGTCAAGTCCGAGATCCGGGTATTGTCCATTTCCACGAAGCGGAGCGACGGGCAGCTCTTCATGACCTGGAGCATTCCTGGGTCACTCAACGATTCACAGGAGCTGACGTTGAGATGTTCTATGAATGGAGCACATGGGGATTTCGCAAGCTCAAGAAGACTTCTGTTACTGAGACGCTCCAGCTCCTCAAGCTCCAAATGGACAAGGTGCGGAACCGTCTGGATAACAGGAATAATAGAATCATCGGTCAAGTCAGTACATCCTGCGAGCTGGAGCACTATGAGATTGGGAACGTTATGCGCGAGACTCTTCACGCCGCCGTCTGTCAACTCCGAGCACTGGTGGAGATCTAGATGCTTGAGGCGTCGTGGCGGAACAATCGCACGATCTTCCAAAATGTCTATTTCCGGGTCGACGCCGTGCATAAGTACTTTGAGACTCTCATCAGTAATATCAGTCCGGCTGATGTCCAGACGCTCCAGGGTATTCCGCTTGAACAATTCCGAGGGAAGTTCCACTTCATCAAATCCTTTGATCTCGCTGGCCAAGAGATCAGTCAATATAGGGCAAGCCTTCACAACTCTTTTTAGGCCCGAGACAGTCACATTCGTGCACCAGGAGACATTCAGAGTCCGCAGCTGATGGCATGACTTTGCTATGATCTTCATCGCTCCGTTCGTGACACTGTCCAGACCAGACAAGTTGACATACTGTAGCCGCTGGTTCCGCCCAAGAAAGCAATGGATCGCAGACTTCTCCATACGGCTCCCTTCCAGAGAGAAGTTCACGACATTGCGACACACAGCCGTGATTTCCTCGCTTTCACTCTCCCACTTCTCTCGCAACTGAACGCACCCTCGAAGGTTCAAATCTTTTATGAACGGGCCACCCGACATAATGAGCTTCATGAGCGCATCACTGGGTATGTCACTGTAATAGTCCGTGGTGTCAACAACCGTCCACAGCTGCCCATCATAGCACATTTTGTGCCACCACTTGCAAACAGTCGAGCAACGGATGACCTCTTTTGGGGTGAGGTAGCTGAAAATCAGCATCCCGAGCTCATTCGGCATCTTTCCCCAGAAGTCGAACTTCTCCGGCTTCGCGACGACAGCAGCATCTTCAAGCATACCACTCCGAGACCCGGGCCTGACTTCAGTGGGCAGCGCAATCTTCTTCGACTGAGGGCCATTGATAGTGTCCGCAACAAAACGGATACGCGCATTCCCTTCCTGGTCATCAGCCGCATAAGATCCGGTAGGACCGGGAGTGGTAGGACGAATGTTCAGACCGCCGTACAGCTGCGTTGCACTTCCGTTGCTTGAGCAGGGAGCATACGTCGACTGAGAGAGTGAAACACAAGACAACGAAGCACCATTACGACCATAGGTGGTCGACGCGGACCGAGATCGATTGCGCCGGGTCAAGGATGGACTCGAGGAAAAGCGCTGGAGACTTTGCAGTAACTTGTGTCGTCCTTTCACCTTTTGAGGCTGTTCGAGCGGTATTTGATCTGCTGATGAGCTGGGGCTCGCTGAGTTAGGAGCCTCGGGGAAGGGTACGATCTCGGGATCTACTGTCGCCATTGTTGATATAGGCGGTGCTGACAGAGGCGATAGAGGGTAATCACGGCGGACAAACTTTTTTGAATTATCGCACCTAAACCCGGACAAAAACCAGAGTATTCAAGAACGCAGTCAGCGACGGCGCGGGAACCCGCTAGGACGCAGTTCTCAGATGATGGACATTGTCAACATCCGCAATCAACAGGTGATATGGCGCCAGACTCCGGCTGCGAACATTGGAGGAACCAGAAGGGTGATGAACACTGGAAGATAGGCGTAGACAACAAAGATAAGGTAGAAAGAAAGATAAAGAAATGGTGTGAGGCCGAGGTCAGGAGGAGACTTTGGTCAAGCGACAGGACCGAGACGGTCATCGGTTGGAGGGCAGACAAGAGGGTGGTGTTCACACTCGAACCATGGGACTCGCCGCGTAACCAGGAGTTATCTGACAGTGTGAGCTGCTCAAAGTCAAAGGCAGTTCAGCAGTCACTCCGTAGAACCAGAGCCCGGCAGCAGAGGTCAATGAGGGCGAGACTCGAAGAAGAACAACAAAAAGCAGATTAGAAAAATAACAAGGAGAAGCGTACGCCGCAGGAGGTTGGGAGACGTGGATAATGCAGGTGGGCTACTGGAGTGGAGGGGGAGCAAGACAGTCGGAGCCAGTCGGTCAGGCGATGTGGAACGGAGGTGTCAGATCAATCCAGACTCCAGATGGACATCTCTAGTCTACGGAGTAGTAGTCTGCTAATCATCATTGGAATAATGTTGCTGCGAGGAGATCAGAAATGATACCATGACTGAACACATCGTTGGCCTGACTGACAGTTGGACACCCCACACTTTATCTTTATCGATAGCATTCTTAGTCTTAGCTTAGGCGCTATCCCGCTATAGTCTATACCGGACAGAAAGATACGCCAGCTGAGCCACTGGATTCCACCTACCACGGAAGAGGGAGCCCGAGGATAAAAGTCCAAAAAATCTCTCGACGACATATGCCGAGTGTGTTCTTTGTCCTTTAGTTTAGTTCTCTGCTCTTTCAGAAGAAGACCATTCATTCTAAGCAACATCGTGGAAACCGCGCATCACGTGAGCCCGAGCCAGGCTCCCATGAATCTCACAATTCAGCTTCTCCTGTCCATCCCGACTATCAATTCCCATTCAACAGCCCATTCCTCCGTTCCTGATGTCCTGGACCAGTTATACCAGCCCACGGTCTGCGTCGGCCGGACAATCTAAGACTTTGCCACCGCAGCGGCCCAGTTGCTTGGAGCCTGGACGAGTCAGATCGAGTCAGGCTTGCCAGGGCCAGGCCGACCATTGGACTTGGTGCCCCGGTGTGCTAGATTTTTAAATCTCGCAAACGGAAGTTTTGGAACAATGCGCACCGTAAATGGAGTTTGTCCGATGATTTGCCTTCCATGGATAGTTCTCGTGTACGGAGTTCTCTGTACGATGCGGTTTCCCCGCTTCACCCCGCACTTGTTCTAGAGCCAACCCGAGAGTCGGCTAGGGATGTCAATCCAATTCATAAAGATGTCTCTGTAACTACTGACTACTAAACTAGTTCAAGCTATATCACGGGGTATCTCGCTATCTCCTGGCCTCTATATCAATCAATACTAGTCTTTTGGCATAAAGAGAGTAAAGATAAAACACGGCTATGTACTAGGCCGACCTCAATCTGCTTCGACGAAGCGCCCCACTCAGTCTTACATCCTTCGTAGGTTGTAACCATATTCCTTTCAGGTCGTTTCCGGGCGTCATGCAGTGAAGAATGAAGTCATTATTGTTATCTTGTTGTTATGAGGGAGGATATGTCGGTATGAGTATGTAAAGACTCTCGCTGCTGAAATGTCATGTCATGTATGTAATGTCGATATATAATCTCCGTTTCTGCGGCCGTTGGTTTATCCAAAACGATTCTCGCGAGGTAGCGGTATGGTTCAGCTGTCGACCATCCATGAGTGCTCCATAACCTCGCCTATCGTCAAGCGGTTATCCACGTCGCGGTCGAGCATCCTCCGGATTAGGTCGATGCAGTCCTCCGAAAATGGTATGAAAGGAACCCGAAGCGGGTGATCCAGAATCTCGTCGATGTTGTAAAATGGGTTCTCTTTATAGACGATCGTATACAGCAAAATGCCAAGCGCCCATATGTCTTGCTCCTTCCCTCGGTATGATTTCCCTTGGAGAACCTCGGGGGCGGCATAGTCTATGAAACTCATTAACCTTTGAGCACCAACAAACGCACCGTGAGTCTTACCTATTGTTCCTACAAAGACATCAAATGGCCCATTTTTAATATAGGCCGCGCTGCCAAAATCGATTAGCTTAATCTTGCCCTCACCATCCAAGATCACGTTCTCATCCTTGATGTCCCGGTGGACAACCAGTGCTTTTGTGTGTAGATGATGGATGGCGCTGACAACCTGCTCGAAAATGTTCCGACATTCTTGTTCGTCCATGTTTGTCTTCAATTCAATATAATCGAAAAGATCCATGCCGGGCAATCCGTGCGGTAACATCTCGATATAATAGTTGATATCGTCTTCAAAGAAACTTTCCATTTCGACAATATTCGGGTGCTTCAGGCCGTCTCTCCGGAGATAATCTAAGACATGAATCTCCAGTGGGACTGTCCCCAGGCGACGATCACGAGTCCATGTGTCGACGAGGATCCTTTTCTTCGTCACATATTTCAGCACAACTTTCTTCGCAGGCAGTTTCTTGAGGCGAGCTAGTTTGACTTCACCATACGCCCCTTGGCCCATTTCTTCAAGAATGACATAATCTGTGATCATACGTTTCTTGGAAGCTTCCTTTGCGTTGACCGGCTTCACCTCGGGCACTGGCTGAACGGGCTTGTCGGTGAGCGGTTCAGAAGCGGCCTCGCTGAGCTGCTGGCTCAAAGTAGAAGTTGGTATTCTCGATTTCATTCCGTCTGGTACCGTAAGCCGAGGGGCTGTTGGCGTTGCTAACGAGGGCTTCGGTGTTGGCGTCTCCGACGAGTTTGTTGCCTGCGCGGATACTTCTTGCGGCGTAGGAGGGCGCACTGGCAGACCGTGAGAGTGGATGTTCCTTGAATATGTAATCCATAGAGCATACACAAGCTCCGTTACCGTGACCGCATCTTCGGAGCCATCATCAATCTCCTCCTCAGTGTCAATCTTCTTCTCGCGATGTTTAGGAAATATCGATCCGCTCTTCACGACGCGTAACTGAACATCCACAGCGATAGTAGATCCGTCGCGGTGTTTGGCCGTGAGGCCGGCTGGCTCGAGGAATACCGACGCAACGTTTGACTTGCCATCCCGTAACATAGAAAGCGTTCGTGCTCTTCGAAAGCTGAGCTCCGGAATAACGACGCCGTCTACCAGAGGCACATTCTCTTCATCAGAGATTACGTATAGGAAGTCGTCAAAACCGGGGATGAGATCCGTTATATCCAGCCCTTCCGGCCGTTCATAGCCAAACAGCACCGACGAGAAGACCGAGTTCGAGCTAATGATTTTCAAGCTTGACGACGACAATACCATAATACCGGCAACGTGAGGGAAGCTGGATATTCGAAGAGAGCGTAAGCCTTCGTCCCTGGCAACTGTGGTGGGTGTGCAAATTGCCCCAGAGGTAGCGGCAGCGAAATACTTGATATCGGCAACCTCGTTGAGACCTTTCTCAATTGGTACGTTCAAGCAACTGGAAGGCAGGTGAGGCAGAAGTTTCGTGAGATGCTGACCGGTCTCGACTACTCCATGGCCCCATACCTTCTCGGTGGCGCCACGGGCAACGGTAATATTCCAAGCCTCGTCGCAGCTGATGTAGGCGACATCTTCCTGGATTTCTTCGAGAACCCAAATCAGACCACCGCGCTTTTCCATAACCCAGATACTCGCAGAACCCTTTGCACCATTGCGCTTTTGGATGGGAACTACGTCACCACATAAAAGAACGCCGCGTGATTTAGTTGCTGGATGGTTGAGTTGTCTTGCCGTATAGGCACTCGAACCATAGCCATCATCGGTCTGAGCTCTCCTCGAAGGTCGAGCGCGAGAGGGAGGTTTACTGAGCAACTGTGCGGTGACACCATTACCCATTCCCATAGACCTTGGGACCGCAGGTTTCATACGGGACTTATCTGGTGACGGCCGAACTTTCGCTGCAGCGTGGGTCGTAGGATCCCCCAGTTTTGACTCGAGCCACTGCCGTCGGTCCTCTTGTACGACCTCTAGGATACTCAGCTTGCGTACTTCAGCCTGTGTAACACCAAATACGAGACATGATAGATCATTGGCCGCTAGGATGGTCCAGGGTGCCTTGGATTCAGTCCGGAAAACCGCCTGTGATACCGGGTTCCATTTGCTGCTATGGGTGTGCAAGGACGGAGTTGGAAAGACGGACCCAATGGTGGAGGTGCTTAGCGGAGAAAATGGGTCTCCAGTCGTATATGGTTGTGCTAAAGGTTCTATCAGTTGACGTTGAGGCATAGTAGAACTGACGTCCGTGAATGTACGTTTTAAGCTTACGCGCCTGGATGTAGGAGCGGACTTTAAGCCTCTCCTCTCGTGAGGTAGTTGTTGACTGGAGGTTAACTGCAAATGTCCTGGAGGTTGCGGTGGCGGCTGTCCAACGTCCTTGGCTTCTGGCGAAGGTCGCTGAAGCTCGGTGAATGTTCTTTCAAAGACATTGTCGCTTCCCACGTCTGGAGGTCCGGTCATGGGTCCTATCGATGCCCCGGAGATGTTGGACTGGGACAAAAGATCCACCATCGCCTGCGTGTCTGTATCACCACGCATCCGATTTGGAGGACTCGCAATCCCGGTTGTGCTGCTAGGGCCCCATTTGAAGCGGTCACGCATGAAATCTATAGACCGCTTCAAGATATTCTGGCGACTGTGCAAAAGCTCCTCGGATTGTTGCGCGAAAGAAAATGAATGAAGTGACTCGGAAGGAAACCGATGAAGGTCTTCCAAGGTATTTATATCTTGACTGGCCGCGACGGCCATCGAATTCGCTCTCGATGACGAAAGGGATCGCGGTGAAGGAGAGAGGGTTCGAGGACTCAGAGCGCCTATAGAAGATGTAGACATGTTCGGGAGTGTAAAAACCCGAGAGGGCGGTTGGGAGCGTATACGATCTAAACCGGACGGGCCAAGTCCATGTTCATGTTGTTCAAGGAGCGGAGACCTGAGAAGGATACAGAATCGTTGCTCTTAGTTTTGATTGTCTTTTATACAATGGCATTATGGTGCCGGTAAATGCAAGGGGCTGCCGTTGGTGATTTACCCACCTTGGGAGGGAATCATATCCAGCTGAATTGTTCTCCACCGAGTATCTTAACGAGTCGCTGGGGTTGCCTGAAAGAGGTGTCATGAAAGACTCGTCTTCCGGGGATTCTGAGAGCCGTCCCAGTGGGGACGATAAGGGACTGGGTTCGCCTAGGACAGTATCGTCAGCATCTTTGACTGTTCCATCCAAATCACGGAATATGCGATGCAGTGTCTCAGATTGCCCCGACCCGCAAATCAAATGTGCAGGCAAATGCAGTCTTTAGGCAAGAAAACAAGCCGAACAAAATAATTATCCCTTTCTTCTGATCGCTCCCTCCCATCTAATTCCCGCCCTGACATTTCTTCGTTCACGGACTTGCACTCATACAAGCCTAATATATGTTGCTCCTCGGAACGAAGCAACAGGGGCAAGTCCCAAGAAGGAAACAAAAACGAGGTCGAACTAACCATCAGGATTATATGAAGCAGCCCCCATAGTTTTCCAAGCAATCAACGGCCCAGCGGCCAGTACCAGTTGGGCCGTTTAAGGGCAACAGCTTTAAACGGCGCAACTTTGAGTACGGGGCGAGGATTAGGGTAATTCGGAATGGCGATGACCCGCTGCTACATGCGACACTTAAACATCAATGGGCGCCGTGGCTGTGGACATAGAGTTCGTTTCTCGCGTATTCTTCGCCGGTCACTCGCAGTTTGACGACTAGGTGCGGAGGATCAATCGCGCTATCTCTTCGTCCCTGAGAATTCGTACAGGCGTAAATCGAGGTCAAGATGCGACTGACGTTGCCGGAAGACAGTGATCGAAAGGAGAGGACCGGGTCGAGCTGCGCTATCAGTGTCAAGAAAGGAGCGAGAGACGCAAGGTCAGAAGGCTGGTGGCCAACGGAGGCCGAAGTGAGCAGCTGCCCCAGGAGGTCACAGGCACCGTCGCAGTGGCGAGAAGCACGCGGGGAGGGTGGATGGAATCTTGGTTCTAGGTGCACTCTCCTCCAAAACAAGCTGCGAATTGAAACGCTGGTCGATTTTTTTTCTGCAATCCGGCTGCAGAAGCAGTGAGAAAAGAAAGACCGCCTATTAGCAGACGCCGTGGACCGAGTGCTGCGAGTGGAAACCTACGGAGAACGAAAAGGGTCGAGCTCCGTATACACTGCGGGGGGTCGAAGCCGCTGGTCCCAAAGCGACAAAGAGGTCAAGGAAATACTCTGACCTGAGAGTCAAGCAGATGACCGCGTAGGTGTGGTTCGGTCAAGGGAAAGTGGGGAGTGAAGCTGAATTAAAGATCCAGCGTGAAAAGACACTAAGAAAGAAGGGTCGAAAACGATGACGTTGTTTTGCTTTTTTGTCTGCTCTTTCAATATTACACAGGAATGGACGCTATAATAAGAACAAAAGTCTTGGAATATGATTCAATTATTATTATACCCGGAGAGGCCAGATCGAGACGTTGACCAAAAGCAAACCCTCGAGAGGCCAGTGACATCGGTCGGGGGAGGAATCTACAATCCAACCACACTGCCCTTAGCCTGATCTCTTCTCGTGGTAGTGTACACCAGCACCATGATTGGATTAAGCTACTGTATGTTGGGATATCTCACGATAACGTACATTGCCTTGCCAGGGCTCCGTCTAATGTTTTCCTATCAAGGTGGTGATGTAATTCGTGAGCCCAAGTATACCGAGATGTTACCACAGAGCTTGCGGATACCCCACGGTGCCAGTTTCTCAAGTCTCAATCTCTCCTCTCACTCAGGTGGTTGAAAACTATCTAGTTGTCGATGGCCAGTGAATTTGCTATATGTCCACCAATAATTAAGTTCCTGCATCACGATCGTCCAACACCTCATATATTTGAGCCTCGGCCCAGGTCCTAAGCGACTAAGCGAGAGCACATGAGTACGAAATTGCATGACACAGCTACCTAGGTAAGTTTAGATAGCTCGGGGTATATGAAACTAAATGCAAGAAAAAAGAAATGCAGATTTCTACTCTCCACGTTTTCCCACCCTCAAACTCTTCATTGCCAATCCGTCCGGTTCAGCGTCCGGCTTCTTCTGCTCAACATCGCCATTACCGAAGAGGGCGCTCTGTTTAACTCGTGGTTCACCATGTCTAGTCTGTTCCGGCGGAACTGATGCAGGGCTAACAAAGCTGGAAAGATGTCGACCTCCACCCAGCATCCATGAGAATTCTGAATTTGCTAACGACGGCCGGGTGGGGTGTCGTAAGGGCCTAGCCTTGTTCACTGGTTGAGGCGATAAAATAATGCGTTTCCCATTGTCGCTTTCAGCAGGTGACTTGGAACTGGGTGTATTCGATATGCTGGAATCAATCGAGGCGCGTGGGGGCCTGTCGTTTTCCGACGGCGTAGACTTCTCGTCACCAGCTATTGGCTTGTAATGGTCAGAATGCTTTGTCTCGTTCGTGGGATCGCCGACATTGGAAGACTGCGTATAATCTGAATCAGAGTAAGGCGTCTCGAGCGTAATCTGCACATTTTCAACTTTCGTAAGAGCTTGCTCCACGGTCTTTGTAGTTTCGGGATTCATGGTTGCATTATTCGCCAGTTGTGAGCGAATATCAATCACTGCCTCACCCAGTGACGCGGCCAGTCTCCGGTTTTTCTCCCGGATGCCCTCAATCTTAGCCTTCAACTGCGTGGTAGCATCGGACTCCCGGTATAAAATCGGACCAGGCGCTGAATCTCCGGTTCTCATCAGCCGTGACGCGTGATCCGCCTGCATGGATTGCATATTTTTCTTCGCTTCATTGACGGCCCCGCGTACAGCTTTCGCCACACCCCATGTCTCGGTCCTTCGCTGTATGCCATCTGATACGTCCTGAAGAAGAGCCTCGATACTCAACGGGCTATTTCTTGCTGAGGATCTTGAAGGGGAACCTGTCTCACTATTGCCCCTAAAATCACTGCGAAACTGGAATCTTCGGCCCGGGCGGGCTCTGCTTGCTGAGTTGGGTCTCTTTGATACTTCGGGAGGTTTTCCGGAATACTTGGAAATGAGGAACGAACCTCTCTCGGGCGTAGGGTTTTGTTCAAGGTACAATCCATCTTGAACAAAACTGACTGGGGAGTGAGGGTGAGGCGACGGATAGCGAAGCAACGTGGTCAGGGCAGTTGATGAGTCGGAGCCCAGTACTGTTTATGTCAGTCTTTCATATCACGAAAAGGGGCCGGGAGTACTAACATTCCCAGCGGACTCGAAGTAGCATCGCCACGCACACGAAGTCAATTAGCCCGGGTCGGAGTCCCTCTGCAAAAAGAGCATCCCAAATCATAAGCATGTCTTGAAACGGGAACTCGCGCCCAAAAAGAAGACGCATCCATCGACTTGATACATAAAGTTAGTCAATACATACACCAACAATGCCAATGCAAAACTCACGTTAAGAAAATTTGGGGAAGAATATCAAGTGCTTGTAGATGATCAGCTAACTCCAGGTCTGTAGCCACCAGTAGATCGTTATGAATGTGCTCGCATTGGAGAATAATTGGGATCGCATCAGCTTGCCCGTTCACTGATCGATGTGTGTTGTGCTCGTAGTATGCTCTGGTGCTCTGCATTACCGAGCAGAAAAGGCTGAACGCATCATGCTCGATATATTCGGAGTCCAAAAGATGAAGCATAAATTCATCGCCTGAACCGGTTGAAGTAGGCTCTTCACGAGATTTGGGTTCGATGGCATCCCTATCGACGACCCACAAAATCGGCGCCAGCAACTCATGCATGCCTTGACGATAACCCAGATCGGGGTTGAGTTTCGAATAAATAAATAATATATCAATCATCTTAGCTTTAGTTGCGGGATCATGGAAGAAATGATTTTCTTGCAAGCATCGATCAACATCTTGAGATATTTCTGCTCTCAACTGCTCATCCTGTCGTAGGGTTTGCCAGGGAGACTTGGGGGATGAATCAGCCAACCAGGTCTACATTGAGATCGAGGTTCACATACCTGTTCATCGTCCGCTAGCGGATCGATGCTTGACTGGAGGTCATCCGGATGCTCTATATACTTCAAGAAATGTTCCTTCAGTGCGACATAAGTGCTTCGTGCCTCGGCGATTTTGCTCGGCCACTGCGTCCGTCCAAGGTCCTCAAACAGCAGAAATGCCTGACTCCAATAAGCACAGGGCCCGACTGCAGATAGGGAGGGTACATGCCTTCCAGCATATTGATCTCAGCCCATCATTGCATATATTCTCTTCTTGTTCCGACTTCAGTGCTTTTCGGATGTCTGAGGGTGTATCGCGGCCTTCGAACAGGGTATTCCAGCGCTGTCTAAAGAGATTGTCAGCTAAAAGCCCAAGTTTACAGCTAAAAGCACACTCTGAAAACTATACCTGGAATCTTCAATACCCCTCATTTCTCCATGTGTAGTTTGAAGCAGTTTGAGGTGGTTTCCACGAAGACTGAAGGTAAGTAAATCGAGGAGAGAGCTGCTGCGGAGGTACAAATGACGACGGCCTTGATGGGGCGGGATCGTCACCTCGGCCGTCTTTTCCCCGCCAGCGACACTACCGTACCTATTTAACCACCGTCAAGCCCCAAAACCTATCGCGACGAAACCCATACTTGTCCATATTGAGGCCTGGAGCTGTACTTGCAAATTGATAAGAGGGCTGAGGCAATTCTCAGAAGCTGTCAGTTGACTCACCGGATCCGAATTCGCCCCGACGTATCTCGTGGAACCTGCAAACCCAGAACTCATCCCGAAGATCACGATCCTCTTGATGGTGCGTGTTCCAGTTTTCGATGTCGGCAGACCTGTTTGCAGAATTTGGACTTGGGGCACCCACTAGTCGACCTTCAAACACTGCGCGCCATCAAATAAGCACGCCCTACGAGGGATCATTGATACCCGAACTGGACGTGTCCGAAAATGCGACTTTATCCCAGCGCTCTCGTCATCATTTGAACGAGCCCAATTTGCTGCTAGGCCAGCGCAGCACCCACCATCAGCCTGAACAATTTGACGACTTTGGAGATTTTGAGCTGCCGCAGGCCGAAGATAGCAATGATGTGCTCTTCGACGCCACACTTGAGCAATTTTCCGATAATGTTAGTGAGGATTGGGGCGATTTCGAGTCCGCAGAGGCTCCAGTCAATCAACCTGGCCAGAAGCGATTTTCAGAGCCAGTTAGAAGCCACAAGGCTTTTGACAGGCCGGGGCGCAATGTCACACAAAATCACAATTCGCCGTTGGAATCCTCTGGGACTGTAGATCTGCTGGGCTCTCTGGATTCACTCACAATCCCAGACAAGCCGCCGACTAGTGGCCATCATCAAGCAAATACATTGATCGATAATACCCCAGAAAAAAAGCGCGGCAATGTACAAAATGCGAAGCCAAAATTTCCCTTGGAAGAAGAACAATTTGAGGAATGGGAAGACTTTACTGACGGGCCCATGGAGACTAATCGAAGCTCTAGCCTGAAGTTTAAAGAACCTCAACAAGCTATTGACACAGGAAATCTCCCACAACMATTGAAGGCCACAGTAGAACCGGGAGTACAGACTACCAAGCAGTCCCCGTCTACCGCGTTCGTCCGCCCAACTAATATACCGCCTCCATCTATCCTACTAGAGCTGTTTCCTCGGCTATTCGAGCGCCTGCGGAAAGAAGGTGCGGAAGCAAAGAGAAATATACAACAGAGGGATAGGCTAGGTTCAGTAGCTGAGTCTATCATCTGCACTCTGAAAGCTGTCGCAAGGGTTGTCGCAGGCCGTACATTACGATGGAAAAGAGATTCAATCTTGAGTCAGAGTATGCGAATCGGCCCTGCGCGCTCGGGGAAGTCAGGGGGGATGAAACTGAACACTGTCAACAAGAACGAGGATATCAAGGAGCAACAAGAGGCCGTCGATATTATCAACATGTGGCGAGACCGTGCAGCGCTGTTTAATTCCGTGATTCAGGCGGCAGAGAGGCGTCCAGTGCAGGTTATCCTCGAGAGCACCCGAGTTGTAACGGCTACAGCCAGCCAAGGAGCCATAAAGGCTTCACATGCATGCGCCCTTTGCGGGCTAAAGAGAGACGAAAGGATACCCAGGGTGGATGAGAACGTGGAGGATAGCTTCGGCGAATGGTGGACGGAGCACTGGGGTCATACCGAATGCAGGCATTTCTGGGAGCACAACATGGGTCTCCTTGGGCAACGATGAAAATGGGCTTATTGTGCCCTAGGTGCCCGATTCTCCCATGGCTTGCGCGATGCAGATGGTTTGAATCAATCAGTCGCCAAACTCGAAATCGCATATAATGCATATGGCGCTCTTCGCTTAACTCGGGAATGGCCCGCTCAAACATTCATTGCCGTTGCATTTTTCATGAGGTAGAAGCCCTGTTTCTCTTAGCAATGGCTTTTTTTTTTCTCCTGAATATGTATTCCGACGGTTATCTCGATTGCAATAAGAGATAAGCATTGGATGTTTCAGGAACCGTAGACATATATACAGCTAAACCGCAACATAAACATCTGAAGTCAAAATGGCGGATTCGTGCGGAAGGATAGTCAGTATAAACAAGCTTACTATAGAGTAACTTGGTGGTGGCATTAGACTAGCTTTGGTAGGAGTCCTGCCTGATGATGACTGCTGAGTGAGATCCCCGCTAGGTAACTAACAGGGCACAAGGATGGGCGCGCAGCCTCGCCCATAGATCACCCGACCCCTTCTCTCCCATACTCAAGTGCTGGCAAGCTGAACAAGTCCAGCGGAATATCTGAGCTCACTACATAATTCCACATTGTTTTCTCCGAGACTGCGATCGCCGCTTGTAACCCGTGACTTATCTGGCTGTCTTTACTACTCCACATCTTCAGCCGGCCCCTTGATCTCAAATCAGCTCATCAGCCTCAGCTTCTGACGATAACGTTCTCCTGAGGACTTGATTTCTTGTGAACATCTGTCCATTCTCGCGATCAAGCTCTGCACCTTCCGCTCCCGTCAAGAGGTCGGTGAAGTCACCCAGCCTTTGTCTCCGCAGCTATCTCCTTCCCCGCCTTGTAACTCCACTTCCACCGACAGGAACCTCCACTGCAGATAGTGCATCTTTGATCGGACTCTACATACTGGTTCCTCTCCGCTTCGAACTGACACCTTCTGTATACACTTGCTTAGCTCTTGTGCAGCTCACACTCCAGGAATCATACGGGTCTCTCCTGCCCAGTAGCTCAGAAGAACTGGCAGCAACAACAGGACAGGATGGGTCTCTCTTATAACGTCTATCTTACATCTGCCAAAATCTTTGGGTGCAAGAATTGCAAGACACATCTGGCTGACTATGACGACATCATGAGCCGAGTGAGTATAGTTGTCCTTTTCCGTCTGATCGAGGAGCTACTACTAACCTAGTCTCCCTTCACAGAATTTCCGGGGCCAGCATGGTAAAGCGTACCTCTTCAATAACGTCGTCAATATCAATACGTCGGAAGCCGTGGAGCGTAGCATGACCACCGGAAGACATATCGTCCGCGACATTTCATGCAGGCAATGCAAAGAAACGGTAGGATGGAAGTACGACAAAGCGTACGAGGGCAGCGAGAAATACAAAGAAGGGAAATTCATCTTGGAAGAGGAGCTGTTGTGCGTGGTGTGCTAGGGACGGTCTTTTGACGTGGCCATACCCCGGGCATATCATCGGGCACATCCACGGGCCGGTGATTCTTCTCTTGAGCACAGCTAGTCCGGCATCATTTGCGAATGGACACTACGATGAGCATATTTCAACATGGCGCAAAGTGAGCGGCGTTGAGCGGCGTTTTTCAATTTGGTCGGGCTGAGAATGGGAACTTTGCAGTTTATACAACACTGCAGCAGAGTTGATTGAAGATCAAAGCCCCCGAGATTGGATATCTTATCAATACTACACATGATTATGAGGATAGCTGTTAGGTTCTGAAAGCCTTGTTTCGGAATCGACCATATCTATCCATTATGGCTTTGAACAAATAGTTAGGCAGATTATCTCAATCCATCCGGTTTATCCAACGCAGCACTGCTGACATCGAAGACTTCAGCAAATACCCTCAGCCAGGAACGCTGCGAATGCTCAGACCAAGTCAACCTCTGGAACAACTCCCTTGGTCGTCCCCAGATCGGCGAACCATCAGATCGGTCAACATGACGGCCCCACCATCTATGGAGTTGGCCGTTTATCGGACTTGAAGCCGAGATTTATCAACTACACCCCCACGTCCAACAAAAAAAAAGAATTCACCAAACAGTAGGAACCCAAAACAAGATGCCCAGCCAGACAATGCGTGCTGTGGTCTTCAAGGGCCTACACAAAGTCGCCGTTGAGGAGCGTCCGATCCCCCAGATCCAGCATGCAGAGGATATTATTATCAGAGCAACATATACCGCGCTTTGCGGAAGGTAACTAGCTGATCGGCTCTCACTTGCGAGTTGCTGCTTTGATAGACGGAGCTAACCAATTGACCCAGTGATCTCCATGTATACCGGGGCATTGAACCCGCCGGGACAGGGTTCGTCATGGGCCATGAGGTAACAGGTGAAGTCGTGGAGGTTGGTGATGCAGTTAAGACCGTGCAGAAGGGGGACATGGTTGTTTCGGCGTTTACGACATCTTGGTATGTCGCGCCTTACCATATAATCTGCCTATCTCGCCGTACTGACTCAAGCAGCGGCACATGCTTCTACTGCACGCAGGGCTTCTCATCAAGATGCGACAAGAACACGCTGCTTGGATGCGACGACCTAGATGGTGCGCAGGCGGAATACGTACGAAGATCCTCTCACAGTTTCCAGCAGGGATACCTTACGCGTACTGACAATCCCAGGTCCGAATCCCTCACGCCGACGGCACAGTCATCAAGGCCCCCGCCGGAATCTCCCCGCAGCACCTCGTGCTCATGGGCGACATCTTCCCAACGGGCTACTTCGCCGCCCTAAACGCCTTCAAGAATGCGACGCCCGCGCAAATCGCAGAGCAAACTGTGGTGATTATCGGCTGCGGCCCCGTCGGTCTCTGCGCGCTGATCAACGCGCTCGAGTACAAGCCCAAGCACGTCCTCGCTGTTGACTGCGTACCCTCTCGTCTGGAGCTAGCAAAGTCTCTCGGTGCTGAGCCCTGGGATTTCAAGAACGACCGCGAGGGCCTGGATAGGAGGGTCGCTGAGTTGACGCACGGCCGCGGGGCCGACGCCGTCATTGAGGTTGTGGGGTTGAGTCCGGCGCTGAGAATGAGCTTTGAGCTGTTGAGGCCCTGGGGCGTTATTAGTAGTGTTGGGGTTCATAATGGGGAGGTATGCTTCCAGTGGTTCTGGGTTGAAAGCTGAGGCGGCCGCGGTACTGACGAGTGCATAGATCCCCTGGAGCGGAAGCGAGGCATACGGCAAGAATGTGACTTTGCAGATGGGTCGGTGTCCCGTGCGGTCTGTGTCTGATGCAGCGCTGGAGGTGCTGAAGAGGAACCAGCATTTGCTTGGGTGGGTCTCTGTTTCTCTTATGTTTGTTATGGACTCGATCATGCTAATGCGATGCTATCTACGGTAGATTCATGACGGACAACATCATGCCTTTGTCAAAGGCAGTCGAGGCCTATGATCTGTTTAATGCGATGAGGGTGCAGAAGGTTATTTTCGAGGCGGGAAAATAAATATATTGGGTTTACGGAGTACCTGGTGGGCTGACAGGGGCGAAGTATAGAAGTCTAGAATCAGATATTTACGTAGAAATATTAGCGATTGAACACCTACTGCGCAGTCTTGCCTATTCTCTCTTAGGTAGCTTTTGAGCTTGGGCCTGTACATCACAAGTGGTCCTAAGTTTATTGATCGAGTACAGACCGGAAACGCTCCATAGAACACTCTCTCTAGCTTCTAAAATTCAGCTATGAGTGGCTGGACGAAAAACACTTGAACAACCCTCCAGCCTGCCCAACATGCCATATATCCACAAACGAATCATGCAGACCGATCTTAATTGAGACCTGGCAGAGTAAGTTTGATAGTCAGACAGCTCGAAGGTCAAACACGGTTGGAACACGACTCGAAGCATATAGTACCAATCAGTCTTCGCCAGCAAATTTATACCAATCTCCGAGCTTTGCATACTCTGTTTCATACATTCAGCCCCTTGCGCTTGTTCGGATCCGATCTGGCCGTGGCCATTTAGTTTCGGCCTCGTGTCCGGTGATTGATGATTCGGCCAGGTATACGGAAGCGGTGCAGCCGTTGGACTCTGCTCGTGAGAAAGAAATATGCCTAAGGCTGCATGTTTGATTTGCGGGGAAATTAGGTGCCTATTGAGCATGGATCATGCGACGATGCAGCTACAAGGATCAGGGTTCCATGGTGCATGGAGATCTATTGCTAGCTAGAGGAATTTGGGAGTCTAAGAACAAGAGAGAGCTATATAGCATGACTACTTGGTGAAGAAGCCAAAAAGAAACGATAATGCTAGGTTATTGTCCGTTGGGATTTATACATGTATTGGTATAGGGGCCATGCACAATGGTCATGTATAGGAAAAGGAAACAGTAGATGAAGGAATTGGGTCGGCAAGAGAACAAGGTACAATAAGGAAATGGCCACAGTAAGGCATAGACGGTCAGGACAAAAGGAAATATGTGATATAATATACCCTGAATTCCATCATGCAACAGAGTGCCCCAGCCAAGTAAATGGGGCGGTACAGTCCCTGAAATGGTCATACACACGCAAAGGGGGTCTCCAACTCCAACTGGTCAAAGCACAGCAATTCGCAAAGTTCACGCAGAGTCTCGTACATGTCATGAGAGGTATAAGGTTTGAGGCGGTTGCAAGAGATTCAAGTCACCCGATGAGATTATAGACGGGAGGTGTTTACTCCTCCATTCGTCCAAAGACACCGTCGTCATCGTCGTCCGCGTGAGTGGGGCGGTTGCCAAAATCAACATCAGCGTTGCGGGTTTGACGGCTGCTGCGTTCCGTGTTCCCCAGCCTGACTTCGCGCTCATCCGACACCTTGTACGACATCGAAGGATTGAATGACAACGAGAGGAACACGTCCTGTTGGGAGTTGGCGAGGGTGGTATCAGTAACGCTGACCCCTGACCCTGATCGGCCAAGATTGTGATGTTCCGAAGAACTAGCCTGGTCAAGGAAGCGGGATGGAAGCGGGGGCACTGGTGGAACACCGGGTGACACCGATGTCGGACCCATTCGGGGTGTGCCAAAGTTGCAAAGGCCGATGGCAGCAGCCAAATCCGCCTCATCGTCGTCGGCCAACTTGGCTTCCGCGGTCGGGGGACGAGTGTCGATGCTCGAATGACGGTAGTGCGAGAAGCCGGGGGAAGGCCATGGGGCGCTCCCTGCGAACGAGCTCGCGGAGATGGACTGGAACGAGTGGGAATACTGCGGGGCCGCGTGGTTGACGCCGAAGGGCTTCTCAGGTTCAATCGACATGTCGTCGTCGCTGTTGTCTTCATCCATCGGCGGCGGAGTGGTCTCTGTCGAGCTGAGTCCGTCTCGAAGTTCGGAGGAGGCGTCTGGTGAAGCGGATGAAGTCTCCGACTCAGCGTCAGGAACTTCTGCAGTCGGGTCGTCCACGTTCATGTTGACCAAGACAGACGCCGCTTCCAGCAATTGCACCTGCTGGTGCTTAGAGATCAGGAGTTTCGACGTGATAGCCCATGCTGGGTCATGCTCCCACCTATGTTTCGATAACATGTCAACCGACTGAAACTCCGGCACGGAAAGGGATAGGAGGGAACGTGGTTCTAGAGGAGCTGGTTGACCACGAGGGCGACCGTTGCAGAGCCGACATGGTGCATTGCTCCAAACCGAGCCGGGTGGCAGGATGGCAGAGGGGGGAGGTTACACACATATGCTTGGACAAGCAACTGCCATGCTTATACCCCTTCCCACAGCGTTCGCAGCGAAGTTCGGGTCTGGAGCCTTTTCCTTCGCCCTTGACCATATGCCCACCTTCGCTAGCGCGTCGGTTGCGGTTCTTGGTGCTGATCTGTTTTCCGGGGGCAATGCTTCCATCCACCGCGGTCTGGGCCATTGGCGAGCTGTCCTGTACTTGGCTGGGAGAAGCCTTGCGGGCGACCAGCGAGTCCCGGCTGGCGCTGTTGATGCTGCGGGAAAGGTATGAGCTGAGAGCAGAGGGAGCTCCGACCGAGCTAGATTCTAAACCTTTTCGACTTCCCCGACGATGGGCGGGCATGGCAATTCCCATGGAGTCTGGAGAATCTTTCAGGGTGGCAGCAACCGCCGCGGCAGCGTTGGCAGCGGCTGTGGTGGTCACGCTCTTTCGGCGAGTCACCCGATGGTTTGAGTTGACGGCACCAAGGGAAATGGAGTGGGAATGGTGACGATGGGTGGATTGAGGGAAGGGACGGGAGAGAGATAATTCCTAATTAGTAGAGATAGCATTAGCAGATGTTTTTGGAAATGTCCGGATATCGGGTTTAGGAGAAAAAAAGACACGCCTGACAAAGAGGACCAAAAGAGCAAGTTACCTTGAATGAGGCCATGGTGGATACGTGGGCTCTGGGAAAGTCAATCCCAAAAAGCCCCTGGAGGGTAGAAAGTCAAAACCGCCTATTCCTCAAAGTCAGTGGCTATATCAGGAGAGGTGAAATTCGGGTGGAATGTCGAGCTTGTGGTAGAGAAATAATAATGGGAGGAGCGCAGGGTACCTGTGGGCGAAGTAAGACTGGGCTCAGGGCTCAGATGATAAGCAATTGGGCCAGGACGAATTGAGTACGAGAAAGACCAAGAGAAGGACGAGAAAATGAGGCCGACAGAGAGGAAGTGCAGTGAAAGGAGGAAGAAGTTGGACAGCTGGACAATAGCAGAAGGGGAGAGGTAGTAGAGAGTGAGAGGAGGAAGAAAGTCGCAGGAGTCAGTCGAGGAAGCAATGGCAGAGCGTGCCAGGGTATCCAGAACGCTCCAATCCCGGTGGAACAGGCGTGAGACTGTGGGGCTAATTATGGTGCTCTAGAGTATGCGGGGTCGGCGATTAGACAGCCGACTCATTTACAGAAATCGAGATAATAATAATGGAAGACCTCGAAGTGATGCTCTTGTCGAGCTCTCATACTGCACATCATTACTGAGGTCGAGCTTGCAGAGAAAATCGAGAGATTTGCGGGCGCCTATCCTCAGCTGGTTCCTGACTAACGGGCGAACAGCAAGGCAGCGAGGAATAGGATGAGGTGACCTTCAGCTCCACCCGCATCTGGGAACCGACCCCAAGCAGCTGCTCCCGTACCAAACTGGCGGTTGAAGGCCATGCTTGTCGTTCTCTCGCGCTCTACTTCTTAKAAAATGAGGCAATAATGATCCTTAGGGCTCTAGAAGAACCATGTCCACGTCTCCTGACACGAAACCTGGGAACAGAGCGCTCACGCTACGGAAGGCCAAACTCAAATGCGCGAGGCAGCCGTGGGATTGGAGGTGACATGCTCGGGTCACGTGAATGATGTCATCAGCCTGCTGACACAGCCTTGATCGGCTCCTAAAGGCGGAAATGCCGCCCCCGCGCGCGAATTATTCTTTGATTCGGCCTCGCCCAGCAAGGTCCAGACCTGCTCCTCCGTACAGAAAAGGAGCCCTGAGCATGCAAGTCAGAAATCTTTAAGTCGCCCAGCAGGCTGACATGAACATCCCTTGCCGTAAATCGCTCGTCTCCAAATAATAATAGCAATAGTAATAACTCCAGGTACCGGTATCACCGGTTGGCTGACTGCGACCAGCCTTGAACTGCTCCGACTCTCCGAGGCCGTTGCGTCCTATCACGAGCTCTCGCCTGGCCAGGTGGACTCTAAGGGGCCAGTGCTGTACAACGTCATGTGCTCCAGCTTTGACCTTCCAACTTTTTTCCTGCCAACTGTCAAAAATATTTCTCCGTTTCGATAAGCCGAGTATCAATTCAACAAAAGAAAAAAGGTTTTTGTTTGAGACTAGATTGTCCTTACAGCCTGAGCTCAGATTGGCTGATCCGATATCGCTGCCCTGGATAACAATGAGATTGAGTTGTCGCTGTTGTTCACCGGCGCTATCACGCCCGGCCTTATCTCGACATGCTAGACACTGACAAAATAGCGTCTTCCGCCAGCAATTGATAGTCAATTATTGTTGATAATCATCCGCTAACCTCGAGTTGTCCGGATAAACATACTAATATTAGGTAACAATTCCACTTTAAGTGACAGCCTGAGCAGAGTTATCACACTATATATTTCTGAGTGTGCACAGGCTGTTCGATACCGCTAGGCCATAAAAACCAATTCGCTATAGGCACGTCCTTTTACATACTCCAACACAGGCAAGTTACTCCAAAAACTCTAGCACGAAAGCAAGATCCCGCATCGTGAGAACTCGCATACAAATAACCTAGGCCTACGAATATCGATATGTATCATGCTAAAGCTCAATGGATGTCCCGGGGCTGTCTCCAGCATGGCCTTGACCAGGGAGTGGTTAACCGGATACCCCCATTAAAATCGGCTCAAGTTGTTTACCAGTCGCTCTATACTTCTAGTAAAGCGATCTCTACTAAGAGTTACACAATAAGGATGTTGAAACCAGAGCTTGACATCGCCCTGAAAGCTTGATTGTACTCGGTCAGTGGCGCAATCCTGAAGTGTTGAATAGTTCTTCCAGGGTCTAAGCATTGCCAATTCGCGCACTAAGCTTGTTGTTCAGCTTTCCAGGGCAGGTCTATTCCTCAGGGCAGCTTAGTATTATTCGACGCTCGCTACTCCGTAAGTTGGTGATAACCCATGTTCGCCAGATTTGCCAAGTTCCCACACCACAGAACAAAGTGTTAGATTTCATGGCGACAATCATGCAGTCAATGTCATCAGCATATTTGGAGTGGACTGATGTATACCGGCAAGAGCTAAATTGAATAGCAGTTTTTCTCGTAATGCCGACATATAACCCTACTACGTACCTGAGGCTACGAGCAGCTACGAGCATGATTTACAATGCTCTTGTCCTGCAGAAACCCTGATCATCGGCTGGATAATTTTATATAGCACCCTGAAAGCAATGGCCTTGAAGATAGGGGTGTTATATATCAACAACAGTTTCAGTAATTACATGGCCTTGTTAGAATCTTGATGTTAAAGTTTTTGGATGTACGGAGGATGAAAGATCCTATCCCATGGATCCGCGGGCGAGAAGCCTTCTGTACCTATTGGGACTAGCTTCTACTTAAGCAAAGAGATTAGTTCCAATCGGGCTAGCCTGATACTACTTGGGGATTAGTATCCGCTGATCAACATCAAAATCTCCAAAAACACCAAGAATCTCTATACAAACGCTGCATCGAATGACCGCTTGTAGGGAAGCTCTGGCAGCTTATTGTTATTGCTAGCTTGAAGAGTATCCTCAGAGCCTTGAGTAGTATCATCACGGCCCTTTATTCACCTTGTCAATCTATAAGCAAGATCTGCGCTTATTTTTAAGGTAGTTTAATGCAGAAAGCCTCTTGGTGATCATTAAGTTTGCCGTGGTGTTAAGCGCAGCGCAAAGGTAGAAAGATCAGGAGCAGAGCTAATCAGGAGCAAGGGGGTTAGTTCTTGTTTCCATATAAAGTTATGTAAAGGCAAACTTACAAACTGTGCGCAGAACATTGCAGGATTATTTTTCTCCCAAAGATAATTTGGATAGAAATGCTCTGCCTTAGCACGATACTTACTGAAGTCACGATATCCCTCTTTGCCAGCGTACTTGAGGATAACTGGGAAAATCAATGAGGTTCTCTGCCAATCTCTGGAGCCAAATTAACCTCCCCACCGGCCCACCAGTCGGTGGGTTTGCAAACGGTTTTGTGGTTACTCAAAACTCACGACACCGCGGGCCTCACAGATGTGCTTTGATATCCCATTCCTCCCTTGAGGACTGACAAGAGATTCATCTGGAATCGATATGGGACTCCAGTCCCGCCTGAGGCCCCTCCCCCGGCGTCTTGTCGCCCTCTCTACCGCTGCCTCTATCGATACCTCCACCTCGTCCTCCTTCTCCGCTCCTCCGTCACCGATCTTCTCTTCCGATCAATGCTCAGACGATGAGGACGAAGACCCGGAAGATGTCTTTACAGCCTTTATTTCTCATCTGTTCCCGGACGACGCTCCCCAGTTCCACGGAGACCCAGGGCAACACCTTCTATACTCCTCGCCGCGGTACGGCGAGCTAGAGATCATGGTCCCTTCTTATCCGAGCCAGAGCCGGAGCGGAGAACTCTCTCAAACGGTTGCGGAGGGTCTGCCGCGCTCTGACGGTCACGCAAACCCAATTGAAGAAGGGAGGAAGCTTTTTGCTCACTTCCTTTGGAGCGCGGGTATCGTTGTTGCAGAAGGAATCGAGCAGGCTGATGAGTCTGAGGATAAGCTGAGCAATGCGGACTACAAAATATGGAAGGTCCAGGGAGAGAAAGTATTGGAGTTAGGCGCTGGTTCGTCTTCCTCTCACATGGACTGGACAAAATGATTGGACTGCTGACATACTATGATCATAGGCGCCGGACTCCCTTCCATAATCGCTGCCCTAGCCGGCGCCTCACAAGTAACGATAACGGACCATCCCTCATCCCCGGCCTTAGCTGCGAGCGGTGCATTAAGCTTCAATGTCAAACGCAACATTCCCCCAGTCGGCCGCGCAATTGACATCTGCCCACACGAATGGGGCACCACACTCACCTCGGATCCCTGGGCTCTGTCAAACAAAGGCCTTTATACACGCATTATAGCCGCAGACTGCTACTGGATGCGATCACAACACGAGAACCTCGTGCGCACGATGAAGTGGTTCCTTGCGCCGCAGGGCAGGGTCTGGGTTGTTGCGGGTTTCCACACCGGAAGAGAGATTGTGGCCGGGTTCTTTGAGACGGCGGTTAGCCTGGGGATGGAAATCGAAAGCATTTACGAGCGCGATGTGCATTCGAGCGCCGAGGACGGTGGAGAGGTCAGGAGGGAGTGGGTTGGCGTTAGGGAGGGAGAGGGACCAGAGAATCGGCGGAGATGGTGCGTCGTTGCGGTTTTACGGCATTCTACTTCTGCCTAGGTACTGGGCGAATTTATGTATAATGATATAAATAATAATAGAGAATATAGACTAGCGAATATCCTAGCGTGCCCTTCTGGCCCGCTAATATTAAGACAGGGGCATATTATCCTACGCACTTTTTAAACCAGTCACCAATTGACTGTGGCTCACAGACTTCTTAATATCCTAGGTTTCTGGAGAGAGGTTTGTAAACGCAGCATGAGGAAGTTTAGGTTAGCCCTAGCGTTGGATCAAATAAGGAGTTGCGACAAGCAAACAGGAAGGGCTTCGACGGCATCCACGTCAGTCGGCCGGGCCGGGCTTACAGATGTAGTTATTCCCAATGCCCTTTGGTTATGACAGCCACCTTCCGCAGCCGGGCAAACAGTCACCATGCTCGAAGCCAGAAATTCTGATTTTACCGGGTTTGGAAACCATACGCATTGTTCCAGAGCGCAGGCTATGAAAGCTTATGAGCTATTGACCAGCCCTTACACTCACAAAGATGACATTTCGGCCTCGAACCTAGCCTATCCAACAGGGTACTTGACCTCCGGGCCTGTATCAACTACTGCATTTTTGATATCATCTGCTCATCGACCTGCGAAAGACCTCAGCCGTTCGAGCAATAGCCGCCACCATGCATGGATCAGGGATACCCGTCTACTGTTCGGAATCCAAGATCTAACTTGCATGGCCTACCGTACTACCCATGGCTGTTCAAGCACCCGACAGGCTGAAGATCACCCAAGCATCTGATTTCCCCTGTGTGTAACCAAGGGACAGGCCTCTGAGTTATGTCGCATCATCACTTCCTTCCTAGTTGCTCAAATCGAAGCACGAGACATCGCAAACTGGACCTGGATCTGACTGGTCTGCCCTTGCTCCTCGCCCAGGACAGTTGGATGGCAATACAGCCGTGTCTACAAGGCTCGCGCGATTGCATGGACAGGATATCGCACGCATGGAGACCGCCGACACTAGGTCTTAGGTATGTGGAGTAGGGTTGAAGAAATGAGAGGACCACGAGGCACGCGATCTGATCAAGTCGCTGTTGCCAGTAAAGCTGGCCATACAGTTCTTCTGTTCACGTCGACCAGCAGCTTTACAACCTATCCGGTTCAGTATCGTCCCCGGGCTGGCTACCAGTTCTTAGTCACTACCATGAACCCTAATGGAGGTCTTATAGGTCACTGATCATTAACTTCGCAAGCCTATTAGCGAGAAGAGGTTGTATTGTGGTTTCCAAGCACACTCCTATTTCCCTCTAATGTATAGTGGTATATCTAAGATCATGAGATTGCATGCACTAAGCCCGCTGAAAACACACCGTGCAAACCCCCTGCCCTTCCTGCCCACCGAATCTGAACCGGGGATACTGCACCCTCCCCGAAACAACCAGCTTCCCATCGCCCCCAACCTTCAGCTCAGCCGAAGTAAACCACTTAACAAGCTCCTCCTCCGTCCAGTTACAACTCGTCACAACCAGGAACCCGCCCTTGCGAACAAGCCCTCCCGCGATCCCCGGGTACTTTTCACACTCGCTCTTCTCAGTCATCAGACTCACAGCATCAAACGTACCCTTATCAAGGACGATGTCGAAGCCGCCCTTGTCGTACGGGAACCAGTGTACCTTCTGGCCCTGCAGATCTGCCTCGCAGTTAAGGATGTCGCACTCTTCGAACCGGATCTCGTTCCATTCCTCTTCTTCTTCCCGATCTTCTCCCTTCTCAGCCTCGTCATCAGACCAAGACCCCTCATCCTCCTCATCAGAATCACTCAGATAAGCCTCATGCCTCCTCGTAACCTGCAGCTCGCGCGCCAGCTCCACGCTCTTAGCCGAATAATCCACCCCCACCATCTCGCCCACAAACCCACCGCGCTTCCTCAGCAGCGCAAGCATGCTCCCGTTCCCCGTCCCCAGGTCCAGTATCGTAGGCTGGCCCCTCTTCTCGGCATCGCTTAACCCTTTCGTCCTTTTGCGTATTGACCGGATGCCAGAGCTACTTCCTGACATAGCCTCAGACGCAGAACCACCGGGGAGCGTATTCACTGGCGCAAGAGGAAACGTCTCGCGGGTCAAGAAATCGAGGACCTTCTGCGGCGCATTATGCTCGGAGAACCAAGACGTGCCGGGATCCGAGTCGGCGTTGTAGTCGTCTTCTTCTTCTTCTGAGTCTGAGTCTTCATTGCCGGCTTCAGCGTCTCCCACGGGGCCTTTCTCGGCGGCTGGGTTGTGTTTCGTTGAGATGTTTGTTAGGGTTCTGGAGTAGAATGTCTCCCAGCTAGTTATTACTCGGTATGTTAGTATATTGTTACATTGCGACTTGCGTTTATTGTGTCGAGGCGTGTGATGTAGCGTATGCGAACATGGGCGCAAGGAGGGGTAGCGGGGTAATGATGCGGAATGTTTTCTCCCAGGAACAGGGTGCAGTGACTTACTACTCCTTTGTGCCTAGTTCGCTAGGGTCTAAATGGCTTGGATGGCCTTCGTCCGGTGCGCCTGACATTATGAAGAATCTTCGTTGGTACAATGGTGTAGAAGTGAAAGTGGCTCTCCCAAAAAGATCTGGAGTTGAGCTCGGGTTCCTATCGGCCCGCACTCAAGTGTAGACAATGACAACTATGAATACTATACATATACGACTTCAACGGGATGTTTAGGAATAGATTTCATAAGTGTATTCAGAGCCCATGGGTATTTGATAGCCACCACATATTAAGAAATAGACAATAAACAGAACGAATGTATCTGGCCGAGACCAATCGCCATAGCAACACATGAATAGTAATATTACAAGTTGAAAGGCACGATTCCGAAACTCGACCTCTTTTGAACGCCCGGGACGCCAGTATGAAGTATGCATGCCATGTCAGTCGATACTGAGGTGAAGACAGCAATGAATGGAGCGAATGAATAAAAAAGGGAATGCGAGGAAATTATCGACCGTAAAGCCCGCTCCCGGTCATGAGAGTCCGAAGTGAAAAAAGGAGAAGACAACAGCGAAAGTTTGAAGGTCATGGAATCATTTCGAGTATGATGCAAAAAGAAATCACAAAAACTCATCAATGCTTCTCATAATTAGTCGCTCGTGGCCTTGAGGAGGCGACCGTGGATCCGCGATTGAGACCACATTTGGTCGTCCATCCTCAAGAATACCCGACAACGGTCGAGGTCGAGCCACAGCCATGAAGCCCGTTGTCCGCGGGGAAAAGAGAGAAGGCTCTTCGGTGTTCTTTGCAAACGCATTTCTTGACTCGTGCTCTGCATTATCACTAGACAATCCGCCCTGCATGGAACGATTCCGGGTCTCCGGGTTGAAGAAACTTTGCCTTAGAGCCAGAGGCCTAGGGGAAACACTCCGCTTCTTTGAGAGAGACTTGGGAAATCCAAGACTGCTAGCGGAAACCGGTGTCGTGTGGTTGGTCGAGGGCACCGAAAGAGAGCTCGAGCTGAGCGAGCCTTGCGATGGACCAATAGAGGAGTTTGGTTCAGTATCAGGGGTAGCACATGAATCTCTTGATACCTCCGTTTGAGAAGACATGGCTCCCTCAGGAAGCGGTGTCGGGGGTGCAGATCCTTTTAGGGACCAATCCCCTGACGATGGCCGTGAGCCACGAAGCAGCCGCGACCGAAAGTCCGTTAGCTGATAGATGAGACTCATGTTGGGCGAAACCCATCGACTCCGTTCCTTGACTGTTTCATACATTGAATTGAAGTCAAGCTGCGGGTTCTTATACAAGCCGTAGGCGATCACTAAAGAAGCGGATCGGCTTGCACCAAGTTGGCAGTGGATAAGAACTTTCTTTCCTTGGGAGATACGGGACTCAATGAGCTCGCATAGCGGATATAGGTCTTGCAGTATTTCCGAGTTGTGGTCCCAGCCTACATGCACATACTCCGGTCCGGATGGCTCATTCTTCGGAGTCGAAGTTCCCGACTTAGCGGGTAGATACTCGAGTGCCGATTTGAAGGAAGCGTCTGAGAAAGCCGTGAAGGGTGTTGAACAAGACTGACGTCTGGGATCGACAGTCCCATTGCGCAAAGCGCTCATCACAGTTTGCGAGTTATCGGTGGTGAACGGATTCTTCACTTCCTTGGCCACATTGACGACAACGTCGAACCGTGAGGCTTCATCCGCGGTAGGTTCCAAATACAGAAAAACACCGGAGTCATAGATTTGTATGGGACCGTTCGGGTAACCACGTTCGCTGCGGCGCGCGGATTCTCTTGATTGCGGAACGTCATCTTCCTCCACTAATTCGTGCAATACAGTCTCCGCTATTGCTCCCTCATCTGCGACGGAAGGAACTGGAGAAAGATTATCCTCCGAGTGTGCGGATGGTCGTCGATAGCCATGCTGTGTACTCGGCCGCGGTAATTGCATGCCACCCTTAGGGCCAAATGAAGGCGAAAATACGGACGTCAATGATGGCGACGACTCGGCGTGTCGCAATGACATCCGGCCATGCGGGGTTGGAGGAACCAGCTCTGAAATATTGCTAGAGAAGGATCGGTCGAACCCGGGCGTGCGGATTGTGAGGCCGGCGGGTTTCCGTCGCATTCCTTTAGGAGGGATACTTATTGGGGACGGTGGGGCGGAAAGGTGATGCTGAGAGTTTATTTCCACGACGGAGGCAGTAGAAATCGAAGGGCGTGAGGAACTTAGGGGCGGAGGCATCCTCAGCGACAGGTTTTTGAGGTTTCTGTCTCGTCTCCCGGGGGAGTCCGGTCGTTTTTGAGTGGTTTCAGATTCTGATGTCATTTTGGACAAATTGCTTTGAGCTGTGGTTAAAGCTGGGTTCTCGAAGTTGCGTGTTGCCATAAATTTAGAGTAAGCAAGAGGCATCGATGTTGGTGATTCTGGTGAGGAATTGGGAGAGGTATCTGTGGTGATAGGCGAATCGAAGGTTGAGACTGTAGTGGTAGGCGACGAATCGGCAGATCCCGATGTTGCGGAGGAGACGCTTTCGCGATGTTGAAAGGGTAGAGGGCGTCGCAACGTGTTCCCGTTGATGTTAGCTGGGAAGCTGAGATGTTGTATCTTGATGTGTTGCTCCTCCTTCTCTAGAGATATTGAGGGGTCCCCGCCAAACACCGACATAAATGATGGGAACGAGTCCGGCAGCGACGGTGGGCTGGTTTGAACGGGCATGGTGAGATCAGGCTGTGAGGTGCGCCTGCGTTTGAAAGGAGACGAGCTCCCGGATGCGCCGCAAGTATAGGTAGGTATAACGACGGAGAGTGGCGGTGTTTTAGTCGTTGGGCAATGCCTGTAAGCAGACCTGGTTTGTTGAGGACTGGTGCTTGCTACCAGCGCAAACGACCTTTTAGACAGAGGATAATCAGTTTCCATGTTTCAGTCTCTTGATGGCGGATAAAATGAGGACGCTGTCGGAAGAAAAGAAAGTAGAGCTGCAAGGAGAGTGAAACAGAGCGACGATCGGCCCGGTTCTGAAGAGCGATCGCAACAAAGCTATTGAGTCGCGAAAGTATAGCGAAGGCAGTTGTTTCACAGCTGTCGAAAGGGAACAGAAGTATAGAGGCGACGAAACCAGTACAACTGACAACGGGTGTCTACCAAGGCCACATACCAAAGAATGCTACCAAAGAGCGAGCTCGCTATCGGGATCTGTCAGCGAGGAACAGTATAAAGGAACGTAGAGATTCCTGCAAGGCGCAAGGACGATTCGGAGTCGAAGGAGTGATGTCAAGATGAAGGTAATACAAAGAGTAAACGTGGAAAGACAATGACAACTGTTGGTCCTCGAGGTGATATCAAGATGAGGATTGCCGCCGCCCGGTGCTTGTGTGGGCAGTCGTTCCCTGAGGATGAGGAAAGGAACCGATCAAGAAGTAACAAGAAAGGGTTCTTCCAGTCAACCTTGAGGGAAATTCAGGACGATAGCGAGTCTTAGAACGACTGCCCACAGCAGGTAAGAAGGGAGTAAGGCAGATTGAAGGTGAGAAGCCCCGGAGAGCAAGGCAGTGCAATGCAATGGGTGGGGAGGAGGGTCTCTCGAGGACGAGTGCAGAGGTGAGGGAGAGACAAAGAAAGAGAAGCGGCCAGAGGATCGAGGGAAGAGGCAGACCGCGTATCAAAGACAGACAGACACCAGGCCGTCACGCATGAGAAAGAAGAGGAAGAAACTGGGAATATTGGGGATGGAGGGACGACAAAGTGGCAGAGAGAGAGAGGCAGCGAGAGCGGCAGAGAGCGCCAGGCGAAATAATACCGGTACAGACTGCTCTGAAACGAACTTCTGTGCTGCCCGCGTTTCTAAAGGGCAACCAATCCCAGCGGCCAGCGCAGTGGAGCAGAGCTCTAAATTTAGCGCCCAGGTCAGTGCGAGAGAGGCTGGAATGCAGATGGGCGCTAAACGCACGCAAATCACAGGCCAGCTCCCCCCAACACCACCTGGGTCAGCCAGTCAACATGCCTGGGACCGGGAGTTGGAGACCAGTTGCATTGCTTCCATGGGAAGGGTTCGGGATTGGGACTTTGGGAGGACCGCGAACAGCTGAAAGACAAAGGCGGGAGCTATATAGAGAGTACAAAGCAGGGGTGGAGCTGAATCGGGAAAGCCACCAGATCCAAGGTTCCCTCTCGGAATTTTGCAGTCTGGGCATCTGAGCAGTGAGGAGTGAGGAATTCCAGATGCTGCAGTTGCAGTTGCAGGAAACCGGGTTGCCTCTGGGGCTTCATCCTGAGAGTGTGACGAGCAGGAGCAGGAGCAGGCAGGAGGACATGTGCAGGTATAACGGCATAACCAAGGCAAAACAAGCTTGAAGATGACATACCTGGTCAACAGTCTTTTCCGCCTCTAGGATAAGCCTTGGGTTTGGATGTCGAAAAAGAATGAATCAATACAGCGGCAATACGAGATCCGCAGGATTCATCTGCCAATGCCACCAGTCCCAGCGATCGCAATAATCTCGCCCGCGCAGGATTCGACAGTCGGCACCCTCGACGAAGCCTTCGAGAAGCAAGATGACAGTACAGTGCCGGCTGATGCGTGAGATCTGCTTCCTTGATGAAGATTTCTCTTTGTTCAGTGTCGCTTGGATCGGTAATCGAGCTCTGAAGCGTTAGACCCGCTCTGTTACAAGCACGGTTCCTGTTGCAAGATGAGTGCTTGTGCTTGTGCGCGGCTCTGTTCAGTCCGAGACCCGAAGTTGTTATATCTCGATCAACACAACGTCAGACTGAGGGGAAGAGAACACGATGCGGCTGTTCAGCTGAGAATAACGAGAAAAGCAGCAGTAATATGGCAAGCGACCAGAGGCCGAGGAAGGCTTCAATAATATGGAATTCGTGTTTTTTTCTAGTGATCCACAGATCGTTTCTACGAGACAGTGGAGGCATTGCGACATCTTCCTATCGCTGCCGAGCCTGCGAGGTGAAACAATTGACACACAAGCTGTGCCGGTCTATTCCATACACCCTGAGCGGCCCCTGGAGACCGCGGGCTTCAGCATACGCTGTTGTCGCCGAATCCCCGACTCGCGGGGGGCAAAATTGGACGAACGCTGCGCCGCTGCGGCGTGAGCAACACACCTGAAACAAGAGCAGCGCGCGCTAGTTCAAACTGGCGAAGCAAAGTGGACTTGGCTGAATGTGAAACACACCACAGCGATGCTATTCCCAACTATTTTATTGGCGCGATTCAAATCCCCACGGTCACGTGTGGCAAGTCAATCCCTGGAGATCCTCGCCTACGTCCACTTCCAGGTTTCAAGAACGAATATCATGGCATCATGATTGACGCTGGAAGCTCATCACTGGTCTGTATCTTGGCCTCCTGACAATGACAGTCAACCTCGAACCCAATTGGTATTCCCAGGCTGCCAGGCTCAGCCGTCCAGTATTCCAGTCCCTACTTCCGTGGAGGCATCCCGCACCGCGCCAAACGAGCCGCGTGGGAATATCCTTAATTAATATCCGCAAAGGAAACAATGTTAATTGTTGAGTAGTCGGATTGACTGACGAACAGGACAGCTTGGGCCCCCCGTTCGACTTCAATCGGCGATATTGGTGGGTCAGGATTGATTGCAAGAGCAAAGTGTCGAATTATTGCCTCGGTCGTGTGATCAAGGATAGAGAGGCGAGATGCTCATCGACGCGGGAGCTGTTTCTCCAGTATATGAATCTGTTCCTGCTCGTCTATCTATCTGACGCTATCTCCAATATTCCCGCAGCAGAAGCCCCTGTGGTCGTTTATCTGAAGCAGCATCTGCAGATGGAATCTCCGATGTCCGAACAGCCTCTTGGGCTCTTAATCGTCTCGTGAGCTAGTAGTCTAAGCAGAGCTTCGCGGCTGTTTCATTCGGACGGATTCAAAGCTTGGACGTGGTCTGAGTCAAGCCATGTGTTGACTCCATTTTGCCACGCGTGAGGCGGAAACAAGCGGGCTCAAGGCGGAGGGACCATAACGGCTATCATGAATCTGTCGCTCGATGTCGTGATGAGCTGCGCGGCTTCACGTCCATGATATTGATGCTGCGGGTGACGAAGAAACGGGTCATCTACGCGTGTCTACCCGTCTCGGGTGGGTGTAACCGTTTGACTGTGAGGCAGGCACCCCCGAGCTGCTGGCAAGAATGAAACTTGTTTTGCCGACGTGCCGTCTCCAGAGCTGGCATTATTATAAGACAACGTCGTAACGAGTGCCCCAGACTGCGGCAAGTATGAGACGCTCGGAGAGTCGCGGAGGCGTAAAGATTTATAACGGTCAGCGGTCGCAGCATGGACAATCATTTGAATCATCGGGGCTACTGCCTGCGCTGACACTACACTAGAAACGAGCTCAATCCTCAATCCTGGCTGTTTCAACATCCTTGGTTCCGATAGTAGACACCTTCGAGGACCTAACAAGGATAGCTGATCATCAAGAATATTACCACACTGGACCATCTCTCCTTACGTATCATTACTAGAAAGGACTGTATAACTTCTCCCCGCCCAGTTCGTTTATTGTTAGGGCAACTGTGCAGGAAGATGACCAGTCTCGCTTGCCAGCATGAACCGTGGAAGCCACGGCGTGGACGGGTCTTTTTTTTTGCTGCTGCAGGAACTGGTGCAGAATATTATGACATATCAAATCGTTCGAGCCCCAGCGCGGCCTAGTCTCTTTCCATGGTTCGTGTTCGATCTTTTCTTCTATCAAAACTTGAAGGCTTCAAGGAGGAGGGGACAGCAAGCCAAATATATACCTGATCGCCGGACGCCACTCGATAAGATGCATGAAACAAGATCTGGGATTCTGGTCACCTCGCAGGCCAGTGGAAGAATCCATATCATATCTTAGCCGTACCTGTCAGGTCCAGATTAGATCTAGTGCAGCTGTTCTCCGGGCCATGACTGAGGGCTAAACAGTGCGAGCTCCACCGGCCAGATTCCATATTCCAGTTGTCTAGCCACTCACAACCCTCACAAAAGTGGAAAAGGTCCTTCATTTCGATTTATTTTTGTAAACGTAGCCCTGTTTTCCCCTGGAAGCTAACAAATCAGAGGCGAGAGGAGCTGGCAATTGTGATGTATGCGTGGTAGTTATTATTCACTCTCTGTATAGAATCCCGCAGCCAATAGATCGAATTTTCTCCAAAACCAACCAGTTTACTGGGATAAGTTTTCAATGCGTCTCTTGGGACTTACTGGGAACAAGAGAATTCGCGCTTGCGGTACCGTTTGGATGCCTGACCAACGCTGCAGATGCTCCACGACACAGGATCTGCTGGCACTCGGATGCCTTCACCCACCACTCCCACTCCGACAACAAAGGATCAAAGGACGAGTTTGAACACTGGACGCCGGCGGAAGACTGTTTCCATTGTCCAGCCAAACACTCATGCGACGGAAAGCGACTCGATCGTCGAATTAGCCCATCTCTCGCGTCGGTTGACGATGGACGTCACGTCGCGAACGAGGTACCCGGCAGAGGACCACCAGATTGAACCCGCGAGTCCAGCTATGAAATCTGGATACCCTGAAAGACACTTTTTGGTCAAGAGCAGGTCCTCCGGCCGACTGCGCTCTGCTGCGAATGAAAGAAGATTGACTATCTCGGGAGATCCTCATCCCCGTGACACGGGGAAAGCTGGCGCGCTAACATTCGCCGGCACCACAACTTCATCGACGGCGCCATCACCTTCACCTTCACATTCACCGTCTCGTCCGATTCCCTCAACCTCCTCGCCCTCATCTCCGTCGCGCCTCCTTAATCCTCCTTCGCTGCCGCCCATCCCCCGCCTACCTCAGAGCCGCTTCAGTTTCGAAGTCCAATCACCTCTCCGCAAGATCGCCTTGACATCACACCTCAAGACCGCCAGCATCGACCGGAGTATTCCCGCGTCGGAATCCGTTTCTTCGCCCAGACACTCATCCTTGTATGCCGGCCACCGAAGATCCGTCCCGGACTTTCATTCGTCATACGTTGAAACACCGTTGGCTTCAGAATCTCCGCAAGTGCTTCCCGCCGCGACCGCGCCTAGACAAGGGGGTAGTTCCGCACTCCCTCTAGACGCCGGCTCGACTCTCAGCGTGCTGAGCCCCAATGCGCCAAAGCGTCGCAAATCAACATTATACTCCCAGCAGTCACCTCCGGATGTAAAGAGAAGGATGCCGTCGTCCACTGCGACCTTCGTTCAGGGGCGCTCGTATGCCGACGAAAACGGCGCTGCCGCGAGAGCCGACGAAGCTCCGTCTAGGAACGAGGACATCTTTCTAAACATTGCAAGGTCTGACTCGACCCGTCGCGAGTCCTTGGGTCGCTCCGAACTCAGACGCGTGAGTTGAGCTAATTCTGGTTCTGGGAGCTGATTAGACTTCCTCCCAAACTACTTGATTGAGTGGATAGTTTTCAGGGCTGACTTTATTCTCTTCCTAGTCGCGACTTAGGATGTCGGGTAATGGCTTTCGCTCTTCCATCTCCCGTGTTGGCAGTGACCTGACACCGTCTCCCGAACAAATAATCCGCTCAAATACCTTCGAAAGCCCCTTGCATCAAAATTCACAAAAAGCTTCTCCATCTAATCGACATAGCACCTTACCATATTCGTATTCTGCCTCCGCGCACCCTCTCGATGATACTGGCCGATCGCCGCAGTCAAATTTTGCGTCAAGCGCACACTCAACGGTCGGAGTGTCTCGCAGTCGACTAAGTCGCACGAGTCCCGAAGATGAATCGCTCCCTGAACGACGAGCCTCTCTACACGACACGCGCTCTTTCCGTCATTCCGGCCTCTCTACGATTCGGAGTAGCCGACAGGTTTCAGCCTCTGAAGTCACTGAGAAGCCGCGTCACGAACAATCCCGACAGGATGGGACGGAATCCACTCTTTCGACCACTGCGCCCTCTACTGTCTGGGATGAGCTAGAAGACCTCAAGTCTCGGATCAAGAAATTGGAACTGACGGGGAAACTCCCCCCGTCGTCTCAGGAGGCCATGCTCTCTTCCTCTGCGGAGCGACCGCGCACGGCGACAACGACAGTAACGACAATGTCCTCTTCGCCACGCCACCGAAGAACCAGTGTTTCGAATGAATCAGATACGATTACAGCTCCCAACCCAGTTCACCCACTATTGCAGTCGGCTTTGGTCAAGGCGAGGAGTGCGGTAAATAAAGATGTATACACGGCATTGGAGGCCGCTGCTACGGATGCAATGGCCCTTTCGCAACTCTTAGGAACAGGAAAAACGCCTTCCGGAAATGTCTCCATGGTCAATGGGTACGGTTCATCAGAGCGGCAATCTCGACGAAAGGCCGACAGTGTCTGTCGCAGCCTGACGGAATTGTGTCTTGCCCTATCAGATGAACATCATAATCAGCAGTCGTCTCATTCTAGCGATGCGGCATTCCGAGTCTCCCAGTCGAACACTACCGACGAAGGAACGATAACCCCAACCGCGTTATCATACCGTAAAAGTCTGCATCAAGATTCCGAGGACCTTTCACGGCGCCAGAGCAGCGGCCCTCGTGCGGCAAGTCGACTGGAAGCGCGGCGGGCAAGTGTTGCGAACCATGGCGATCTTTACCCTTCACCTGAGAATCATAGCCAAAGTACCAAGTTGACACATTCACCGAGCGCCCCTGCTACCCCTGCCACCGCAAGTCGGCTAAGTCGACTATCCGTCTCTATGCGGACAAAGAGGTTGCAGGAAGAGGAGCCTGCCGATTATCGAAATCCGCATACCCGCTCGGTATCCAGGAGTATGACCGACATTGGTGCAGCGTCTTCAGCGCAAAAACCCTCACCTCGACAGCAGAGCTCTTTTGGATACCCGTCGCCACGACCAATATCTGATTCCCAGCAGCCCTCTCAACCCCGTACTCCAACTACTTCACAATCCGGCATACCACTCCGTCGAAGCTTGGTGACACCATCAAACTTTACCCCTGCGATTCCTCGTGCGAACATCCAAGCGGGCTCTCGCCGCTATGGCCTGCCGTCAGCTATTGAGAGTCCGGCAGATGATGTGCCGGTATCACCACGCCAGGAGGTTCCCCAGACAAGGATATCGGCTCCTTCAAGCAAGCTAGCCTCTAGCTACACACCCATAACGCAGAATCGTTTCCGTACAAACAGCGTCGGCGGCCGGAGACTAGGCGTCAGACAGCGCCCAATATCAACAATAGACACGAAGCAATCCAAATCTTTCAACGACAGCATTGACTGACTGTCGTGTCCTTAACCGCTCCCATTCAATTCTCCATTCCGCTGGTCCTCGGGAACTACTTCACCAGTTCAATCCTCACATTATTCAAATCCACTGACATCCCATCTAACGAACGCAGCGACATCATTTGGGTACAATACAGTTCTTTCTTTCCAGCCGGCGTTTTGCTTCCCTCATTTCTGGCCTATCGTCTTCCAACTAATGATTGTGGGCTCTTCTCTTCCTTGCGCGGGGATACATCATCATCATACATACATGCATGCATACGTACATCATACCTACTGCAAAACATCATTATGCGGGCAGCTATCCTTACCCATCTACCTTACGAACAACGAGATCCTAGCACATCCTTATTTTATCTCACCTCATCTGATCCATTGGATTGAATTGGAACACACGCATGCATGACTTGGACTTGAACTTGGATATCATGATCATGATGATACAGTACTTTATACGAGGTTGATTCTGTTTGAGCGACTGGCGTGGCAATGGCATCACATCTTTCTCTTTCATTCCCTCTCTGTTTCTCTTCTAAGCTTTCCATCACCACCATAAGGACCATAACGCGCTCTCTGCGGTTTTGTTCTCACTGTTCTGGCGTTGTATAGAGGGTTGCTTCTACTTTTCTCTACTTCTGCGCTTTTGTATGGATGTACCAGTAGACCGCTGTACTACTACTTACCACTACCTATTATGGATGACTTTAAACTCTCACAATAGTGACTTAGTAGGGGCCAGGGTGCACTGTCCCTCCTTCTGTTTACTCATGGTCCTGGAAATCATGTTATATACCCTACTACATATTAACGATAACCAGGGAGCTCCAGTGCAGTATGTTTGAATAGCGATGACGATGCTGTAAGTACATAAGCGCACGAAGGGTGCACCAACATGGAGGTTTAGGTTTGGTAGATACCGGCGGTCTCATCCGTGACCTTTCAGACTTTGACTAGTATAGATGGCCTTCTGACAGTTGACCTGGTTTATAGAACGATATGGCCTCGTGGGACATTACGTCAGACACACGTAATGCTACATCTAGTACTACGGTGTACTCCGATAAGTCCACGAATTTGCAGGACAGGTCATAATCATTCGTCTTAAAGAGATCGTCTCCGATCGAAATCCACGTAACTTGTTCGGCATGCTTCTTCAGCCATTTCTTCCTAGCTTCTTTTGATCCCTGGCTGATGTTCTCCGTATCATATACATGATAAAGGTTTCCGCTAGAAGCGACAATTCAAGGAAATCCGGAAATCACAAGTTGACACATATTTCACTGGGTGATAGTCGTGAAAACGCTTTTAGGAGAGACATGTGCCAAATGGAAGGAGAAAAGGTCAACAAGACGGTATAAGGATATTCAAGTCAAAGGTCGTCAATAATTTGGAATCATGGTTGTTTTAGGATAAGGGGACAGCGGACGGAAGGAGGAAAGGACGGTTTGGTGTGAAGGATATAACGGATATAACAGGCGGCACGAGTAGGATGTAGATGGAGGAAGAGTCAAGCGGGGATAGTATAGTAACCCCTCGTGTGAGGAGGATAGGGTTGCCGAGGAGACACTCTCAAAGCAGATGCGTCGTGCTGGTATTTCCGCGAAATCAGTCAAAGTCCATATTCATGGAGATAGACAGATGTTGCAGCACCTTGCACAACACGCATCCCTCGGCAAATCTTGCTCCTGATAGACCAGAGAAACTGCACGATAGGAAGACATAATTAAGAAGAAACATAGAGGTAGCAGGCAGAGTTATTAGAGAAGGAGAAGAGTCAAGCGACTCTGTTAATCAGGTGAGGAGATGAAGAGCCTGTCGGAAATGGCGTAGTCGGTCGATCGTGGATGCCCGTTCAGGCTAACAGCAAATTACTCTTGCAGCTGACTGCGGCGAGTTTTCTCAGCCTCAAGGTTCTCGTATAGAAGGTACAAGGCCTTCTCGTTAGCCTGGGCGCTGCCCATGATGGTGAACATGCGTTCTCCGGTCTCATCATGAGGGGCTTTGGCAATAGAGATGCGGGCCCCAGAACTCCGGCGGATCTCTGTAATCTTGGTTCCACCCCGGCCGATGATGCATCCAACCATATCAGCAGGGATACTGATGTTTTGCGTTTGGATCTCCTCGCCATCCTCGGTGACAAGAGGGTAGCCGCGGTTGCTAGTATCGGGGTTGGACCGTCTACCGTAGCTGCCGGACTGGTCACTGAAGTCGGCACCGTTACCGGTACGGTTGTAAGGGCGGTTGTTGTAGCTGTCGCCATTGCCACCGTTGTGCTGGACCGAACCGCTACCAACGGACGAACGCACAGCGGGGTTGTAAAGAATTGTTCCAGTTCCACGTTGCCAGTCATCGATAAGACATTTTCCGATCTCCCAGATGGCTTTCTCGATTCCCTCAGGGGTGCCCTGCACTTCGACAATACGCTCGGTGGACTGAGGCAGCATCTCCTTCTGAGCCACCATACGCACACCTGATGCGTCCTGGATGTGCTTGATTTTCAATCCCTGTCGTCCGATAATGGTGCCCATTTGATTGTGGGAAATCAATAGACGGATAGCTATTGAGTGTAAGTTTACATTCGAGAGTCAAGGCAGGGTTCGCAGATATGTGTAGGGTAACACTTACGATGAGTGCCGTTGTTGGAAACAATTCCACCCATGCCCATCTGCGGGGCTCCTTCCAGCAGTCCCTTGGCGACAAGAGCATAGGCTCTAGCAGTGCCGTGGAGAGCACCGGTCACGGTCAGAACGCGATCGTGAACGCCGGGAACTACCTTGCTGACACCGGCCTTGACGCCAGTCTCATCGCGTAGATCGGCAACGTTCTTACCCGCCTTTCCGATGATGACACCCGCTTCCTTGGATGAAACGATGGCGCGAAGAGTGAGCATGGATTGCGCATACTCTTCCTCGGTCTTGGGGACGATTTCCATGTCGCCCTCATCACCAACGTTGATGGAATCGGTCATCGTCTCGTCGGCGATCGGGGTCTCGTGAATGTCGGAGGTGTCCATGTTTTCGAGATTTTAGTGTGTCGTAGATGGGAAGACAAGTAAGAGACAATCCGACTAATGTCACGGGTTAGTTATGGAGCTTGGTACACGGATGAGGCAACCGTCTGTTCCTTGCGCCAGTGTCAAACGGAAATGGCACCCGAGGAACTCTGTTCCGTTACCACGCCGACATGGCGAAAAATGGCGACAAGGGCTGCTGAAGACGTGAATTACTTACAGACTGAGTAGAAAGGGAGACGTGTCAAGAAGGTTGAGGACAATGATAAAAGCAGAAAGTATTCGCCGGCGAGAAACTTGCGAGGATGGGGGGCGAATCCAGAGGGGTTTCGGCGGGCGGGGGAAGGTGGAGGTTGCGAATAATGGCAAGAGGATAAAGGAAGCGGGAGATTCGACGGGGGAAGTGGAAGAGGAGGTTTAAGAGGAGGGAGAGAAGAGGAAGAGGAGGAGATAGGCAGGAAAAGAGATGGGAGAGGACGTGGAGGACGGACTGGTGATGGGGGAGAGAGAAGGTGGAGAGAAAGAAGAAAAGAGGGCGAGGACGAAGAGAGGAAAGGCGCCGTTGTGGTTGGTGTTCAGGGCGGGAGGAACCAACCACTGCGACACTCTCTGCACCCTTGCTGCCCAGATCTCCATGAACTACTTGATTCCTAGAATAAACTGGATACTTCAATATTTCTTATTCTGTTGTATTTTATGTCGCTTCATTATTGTAAACCCATCCAGGTCTACTGTGGTAAACAGCTTTCACAGGTTGTTGAAGTATAGCAATGGGCCTAATAGCCCAGACCTATCAACTTTCACGCAGCACATCGAGTAGTTTCAGAACTCAAGGGGCGTCATGAAGATTGCCGTCCAGGTAGGCAATGCACGATCTTAGAGGTCCCTGTCAATGAACATACTGGCTGTCTCGAGTCTATACGCTGACGCAATGCAATGGTGTATGGCTTCGACCTGAACTGGGTATTAGCATCCACAACACGAGAGTGTCTTTGCTTTTATGTGTTGATCAGTGCTTTGGGAGCCCAGAATATTATAGCACAGCATACACGCATGATCTCGCCATTAATGTTAATATTAAGATGAATCAACGATGATGGTGGAGAGACGTTGAAGATCTGGACCCGGGGAGTGGCTGCCGCATGTTTGCAGTGTTTGCGTGAACTGTGGCTCGTGCCCACAGAGGCGGAAGGCCACCTGGATGCTTGACGGGAACTGGAAAGTCGGAGTCCAATTAAGCTGTTGTTGTTCGTTGGGCCGGTCACCTTCGCAGCAATCTCACCTCGTTTTCTATTTCTCATTGCCCATATAATGAGGATTTGATTACGCTCACTCCTCTTACGTACCGAACGATCAATTCCGCCTCCTGAACCCGCGGTCAATTCGGTGTCCCCCTCGTTATTGACCTTGACCCTGACCTGGCGTCTCCCCGCAAGCCGGTTACTTTCTAGACAGAGAGCAAGTTAGAAAGTCCTCTGTCTGCTGCGATCGCTGCCGCCCAGCATCATGAGCTACATGAAGAAGGACGAGGATGCCGACCAGACTATGATCAAGCTGGATCGGACCTCCGTTTTCCAAGATGGTGAGAACCACCCCCGAATCGGAGCTGTACCATGACCCGGATGTTTTGTTGCTGACCGTGTTTCTCCCGTTCCATAGCGAGACTGTTCAATTCATCACCGATATTGCCTCGCCAATGCCGCACGCTACTGACCAAGATCGCGGTCCTCGTATTCACTGGAGAGCAGTTCCCGACGAACGAAGCGACCACTCTTTTTTTCGGCATCTCGAAACTGTTCCAGAACAAGGATCCCTCGTTACGGCAGATGGTCTATCTCATCTTGAAAGAACTCGCAAACACGGCCGAAGATGTCATCATGTCCACTAGCATTATCATGAAGGATACCGCAGTTGGCAGCGATGTACTATACCGAGCTAACGCTATTCGGGCTCTGTGCCGCATTATCGACGTGAGTAAATTGGGTTTACGGGGCTCTTCTCATCTGACAGCTTGATAGGCCACGACCGTACAAGGTATCGAACGATTGATCAAAACAGCTATTGTCGACAAGACCCCTTCGGTATCCTCAGCCGCTCTCGTCTCCTCATACCACCTTCTCCCGATCGCGCGAGACGTTGTCCGAAGATGGCAAAGCGAGACACAGGAAGCGGCTTCGGGCTCTAAGCAATCAACTGGCTTTCTCGGATTTGGTGGCAGTTCCCAGGCACACGCGATTTCGCAGTCAAATTTCATGACTCAGTACCATGCAATTGGGCTTCTATACCAGATGCGCTCGCATGACCGCATGGCTCTTGTTAAGATGGTCCAACAATACGGCGCTGCAGGGGTAGTAAAGAGCCCCGCCGCGCTTGTTCTTCTTGTGCGCCTGGCCGCAAAGCTGGCTGAGGAAGACGCCGGATTAAGGAAACCCATGATGCAGATGCTCGATGGATGGCTCCGACACAAGCACGAGATGGTAAACTTCGAGGCTGCAAAGGCGATCTGCGATATTAGGGACGTCAGTGATGCGGAAGCCTCGCAGGCTGTCCATGTTCTCCAGTTATTCCTCTCTTCGCCCCGTGCTATCACCAAGTTCGCAGCGATCCGCATCCTCCACCGATTCGCGTCGTTCAAGCCTCATGTTGTTAACGTGTGCAACCCCGACATCGAATCATTGATCTCGAATACCAATCGTTCCATCGCCACTTTCGCCATCACCACTCTTTTGAAGACCGGCAATGAGGCTAGCGTTGACCGCCTGATGAAGCAGATCTCGGGATTTATGGCCGATATCACGGACGAATTCAAGATTACGATCGTCGAGGCAATCCGGACCTTGTGCTTGAAGTTCCCCAGCAAGCAGGCCGGTATGCTTTCGTTCCTCAGCAGTATCCTACGGGATGAGGGTGGCTATGAGTTCAAGCGAAGCGTTGTCGAGAGCATGTTTGACCTCATTAAATTTGTCCCCGAGAGCAAAGAAGATGGTATGGAGTTTTCATTTGACCGTAACTTCCAATTAGCTAATTTGTCACAGCCCTTGCCCATCTTTGTGAGTTTATTGAGGACTGCGAATTCACAAAATTGTCTGTTAGGGTTCTGCACCTCCTTGGTGTTGAGGGCCCGAAGACGTCGCAGCCTACGAAGTACATTCGTTACATCTACAACCGAGTGGTCCTCGAAAACGCCATTGTTCGTGCTGCCGCTGTAACGGCACTGGCTAAGTTTGGCGTTGGCCAGAAGGACCCTGAAGTAAAGTCCAGCGTTTCTGTTCTCCTCACGCGGTGCCTTGATGATACCGATGACGAAGTCCGTGACCGAGCTGCTCTCAACCTTCGGTTGATGGCTGAAGAGGATGATATGGCGAATCTGTTCATCAAGAATGGTAAGCTCGTTTTCCCGCTAGATTTATACATTCGCTGACCTAGGTAGAATCGATGTACTCTCTTTCAACCTTTGAGCATCAACTTGTCATGTACGTGACATCCGGCGACAAAGAGACCTTTGCTACGGCATTCGATGTGTCTACGATTCCCGTTGTCTCTCAGGAACAAGCCCTGGCCGAAGAGCGAACCAAGAAGCTTACGAGTGCTACCCCTACACTCAAGGCACCATCTACTGGCCCCCCCAAGGGCGGCAAAGCAAATGGTGTGGCCGAAGCTGCCACCGCCGCTGCCACTCAGAAGTATGCCGAGCAGCTCATGCAAATTCCCGAGCTCAAGGCGTACGGCACATTGCTCAAATCTTCTGTTCCCGTCGAACTCAGCGAGAGCGAAACGGAATACATCGTCACCGCTGTCAAACACATCTTCAAGGAGCACATTGTTTTGCAATATGATGTTAAAAACACTCTTCCGGATACCGTCCTGGAAGACGTTACCGTGGTCGCTACGCCATCCGAGGAGGATATCCTAGAAGAGGAATTCATTGTTCCTGCGCCCAAACTAAACACCAACGAACCTGGAGTCATATATGTCACATTCAAGAAGCTCGAGGGCGAACAAAGTGTCCCCGTTATCTCATTTACAAACAACCTCAAATTCACTAGCAAGGAGATCGACCCTACAACTGGCGAGCCGGAAGACAGCGGATATGAGGATGAATATCAAGTCAACGACCTAGAACTTACAGGCAGCGACTATGTCATCCCCACATTTGCCGGCAGCTTCGACCATGTCTGGGAGCAGACAGGTGCCAACGGCGAGGAAGTCAGCGAGACTCTTCAGCTCAGCAACCTAAAGGGCATCGCAGGTACGTTGATCTAACTCTTTATCCTTGATTCGAACTGACAATTTTATCAGACGCCACCGAACAATTGATATCTACACTCTCACTACAGCCTCTCGAAGGAACCGACGTGGCCCTTAGCAACAGCACACATACTCTCAAATTATTCGGAAAGACAGTATTAGGCGGCCGAGTCGCGGCTCTCATCAAGATGGCCTACTCCACGAAGACTGGAGTCACCACTAAGATTACAGTGCGCGCCGAAGAAGAAGGTGTCGCGCCCGCGGTGATTGCTTCTTTGGCTTAAGCTGGAGGTGGAGCCGGTTGTATTGTGTAGCTTTGACTTTCTCAAGAAGGTATATTCAGGCGATGACGAGTTTGGCATTATGAAATCAGGCTTGCCATATTCGATTTTCTCTACAATTTCCCCCCGTCTATAATGCAGGTGTCGAGTTAGATGCGATCAATGATTTGTGTAGGCGTCTAAACCCATTGCAATGTTCTCCTCTTTCTTCTCTTTCCTTTCTTTATGTTTTGATCATTCTATTATTACCTTGATGATTGATTGCATTTTGGCCAATAAAAGAGTATTTCTTTTTACTGACTTTTGTTACTGGCGTAGCGGCCATTTTTGTTACAAGCTATGCCATATATCCACACTCTCATCTAGTGCAGATGATGTTTCTTGTCTTTCGTATGCACTGCTAAATTTTGGAGTTCCAAACTAAAACAACACAAGTGTTTTTTGTACAGCTGTTATTCCTCAATGAAACAGGATGACGCCTGAGAAAAACCTGCTTCTAGCATCCATCACATAAGGTTGAACCCATCCCTTCTTGAATTTGTCATTTAGACATATCTCATAAAGTCATAAAGCAAGGTATATAGGAGAGAATAATATCGGAGTAACCCGTATACCGCCAACCAGAACGTATAATGGGGAATAATGCTCATCCGAGCACCAGCTGGCGCTTCAGAAATTGTACCCGTTTTGATTTCCGCGTGGGAATAAATCTGAGAGATGAATATGGTCTGCGGAACAAGCACCCCCGGAACTCAGATATAATATACGCCAGGCTGAATGTTCAAAGAGGTTTGTTTAGTGTCCACGACACCAGGTGGGAGAGATTTTCTCAACTCCATGCGATCAAGTAAGAAGTCGTCAACTGCGTCGTCGTCTAACATGCCATCATCGGAGATAAAGACCTCAGCGAACCCCGTGGCATACACATTCGGAAGGCCGAGTTCAAGCGCTTCGATCAAGCTCTTTGTACTGAAATATATTGTCGGATCCTCAGTGGGGTATCCAAATTCAAGCACTTCCAGGGTAGGGATACCAGCGTGGCAGAGCATATCGAAGAACGTGCCATCAACCATGTCACCAGGGACGCTGAGAAAAGATAAGCCTGGTACTAAGATGAGAATAGAGGTTATTGATTCTGGGCTTAGCCGGCGGTTTGAACCAGATATTATGAGACGCTTAAGTGAATTACTTAAGTCCAGGCTGCACATGAAGCTGCTGAGATTCGAAAGAGAAAGGTCATAGCAGTTTTTGATGGTGAGGCTCGTAAGAGACGCCGGCCAGCGGAATGACCGGATGGGTTCGGCGGAGAAGTGGCCGCTGAACTGGACACGGCTAAGATTTGGGGGCCAAGGTATTCCAAACGACTCGGAGTCTGGAACAGAGTTCGACTGGGGGAGGCGAAGGGCTTGTAGATTGGTGAGATTGCTTAGACTCCTTCTGAGGTCTTTGAAGGGAATGGGTGTGGTCACGAGGGAGAGGTCTAGATAACGGAGCTTGGAGCATTTCGTGAGTGACGGCAGGCTGTTGGACGCAAACGAAGCCCTGGGAGCAATAAATACTTCCAAATTCTCCTTGACACGGCCCAACAACCTTGCGGTCAGGCTGGGTGAGCTGTGATGGACGAGGGAGCTCAAATCGAGCTTATGAACGAGGGCGCCGAGATTCCATTTGCTCTTGCGGACCCCGATCGGTGGGCTGATCGTGCTTGTAAATCTCGTAAAGCTGCGGCCGCTATTTATCCGGGGTCTCTCCCAGAGTAAAGTAATTGCGCAGGTATACCATTGCCGCGAGACCAGACAGCAGGCGTGGAGTGTCGATTGGCGGGCCACCTCATCGGCAGCGACCTCGTCCAAAATCTGAACGACAATTTCCGTTGGAAGATGGATTGGTGGCTCGGAGATCATTAGGCAAGGCAAACCGAACTTCCATCATAATCCGTCTATTCGTAGCTGAGCGCGGGATTAGTCGAGCGGAGGAAAATGAGGATTGAGATCGGGATGATATCATTCAGCCTTAGAAAAGGCTCCGGGGAAGCTCCGATGACTGCCCGTTTCCCCTCCCTTCCGATAACAACAGTTTCACTTCTCCAGACTCCTTTCTTATTTTCATCTGTTCAAGCGCCTTGTACGTTCTTTCTCAATCTCATAGATTTGAAATGCGTCCTCACACCCTTTGGCGGCCTTTGAGACTGGTCCAATGCTCTAACTCGCGTTCCTTTCTCCCCGCCAGACCAACTTGCCGGAGCATACGCTACCTTAGTTCTGCAGCACCCCGAGTCCCTGATTTTGCCTTTGCATTTGAGTAAGTTGAGCGGTATAGTGATATAAACTCGTCCGCATCGTGAGTAATTGTTCTATTAACGCCTTCCATAGCATCGACGGTGTCCTTCTTCGATCGTCAACTCCTATCCCCGGAGCGGCTGAATCGTTAGCTCTTCTTAAAAAAGAAGGCATTCCGTTTATCCTTCTGACCAATGGTGGTGGAAAACATGAAACCGAACGCGTTGCTGAAATCAGCGAGAAACTACAAGTTCCATTGGATGCAGACGTGATCATTCAGAGCCATTCACCATTCGCTGAAATGGTGCAGGGAACGAAGACTCAACCCGCTTTGGAGAACAAACGCGTCTTAGTAGTTGGTGGGGATGGAGATGGATGTCGTGCGGTAGCAGAGAGGTACGGGTTCAAAAACGTCGTAACACCTGGCGATATTTTGATGGCCAACCCATCCATCTGGCCCTTTTCCAAGGGGTTCAGCGACTACTACAAGACGTTTACGAGACCCTTGTCTCACACAGGAGAGCCCGGGGATCCAACCAAGGGCCTCAAGATTGACGCTATATTCGTATTCAATGACCCGAGGGACTGGGCGCTGGACGCTCATGTCATCGTTGACCTCTTGCTTTCATCGCAAGGAGTCCTAGGGACTCTATCAGAAAAGAATGGCCGCGCCGATCTTCCCAATCGTGGATATCAGCAGGATGGACAGCCACCGCTTTACTTCTCCAACCCGGATCTCTGGTGGGCTGCTGCTTACAGCCTCCCTCGTCTAGGCCAGGGCGGTTTCCGCGAAGCTTTGGAAGGCACTTGGAGTGCAATCACTGGAGGCTCTAGCAAGGGCGTTGAGCTAAAGAAGACAGTTATTGGTAAGCCGTCGCAAGGAACATACGAGTTCGCGGAGAATCAGCTCCTGCGTAACCGTTCTAGAGCGTTCGGTTTCAAAACAGAAAGATCTTTAAGAAACGTTTACATGGTTGGGGACAACCCCGAATCCGATATTCGTGGAGCCAACTCATACCGAAGTGCTCACAACAGCGAGTGGCATTCTATACTCGTGCGAACTGGCGTTTACATGGGAGGCGAGCCGGCATGGACTCCAAAGACTATTGCTGATAATGTCCAGAAAGCGGTTGAATGGGGCTTGCAGCATTCGAAGTGGCAGGTCAGATAGACTCCACTACTCGCTCGGAAACACCTCATTCCTCGCGAGGTAAACCGCGACACTTTCTTCGACTGCTTGACGTATCTATAGAGAAGAGACGGCAAGCATTATACTCTAGACCCACTGTACTGTAGACTTCATCGCAATGCGATTCTATTCGCAAGCTATGAATTAACATCAAAAATGCTCCAGTGATGGCACATCGAGCAACTGCCCTGCATTTCGTGGCCTGAAGCCCTCTGTGTCTCTTCCTTTCATCTATAGCAAGTCGGTGCCTTAGGCTTTTAAGGATCACGTGGACTGCCCCTCCAATACGGTAGGGCTTAACCCGGCGGGGTGATTTGTTGTCCAAGAGCTGTACGACCGTTTGAGTCAGTCAAAGAGAGCTTAGGCGTCGACGAGTGACTCAAAGGCCGCCACCAGCCAGATATCTAGAATTGTTATCTCTGGGATTCTATTCATTTCAACGTTTTCGAAATCAACATGGCGGATTCCGAATTGCCCACTCGCCCCAAGCCCGAGGAGACTCCCGCTGCGGAGGCTGGTGAGGGCGGAGAAGGCAAGCTCAGCAAGAGTGCGCTGAAGAAGCTTGCGAAGGATAAGGCGAAGGCGGAGAAAGCTGCTCAGCGAGCTGCGCAAGAACAGGCCCAGGCTGCCGCTGCTGAGGCGAACGACACCGCAAAAGATCTATACGGCCCAATTCCTGAGACCGCGGACGTCCTTCCTACCACACAACTCGCCGATATCAATGACGAACATTATGAGAAGGAGATTACGGTCGTGGCTCGTGTGGACAATGCCCGTGCTCAGAGCGCCAAGTTGGCATTCCTGATGCTCCGACAGCAGGGTCTGAAGGTGCAGGCTGTTATTGCTGCGGCGGAACCCATCTCGCGACAGATGGTCAAGTACACTAGTGGCTTGAATGTCAACTCCATTGTCCAGGTCACTGGTATTGTAAAGAAGCCTGGTGTTCCGATTGCCTCCGCCACCCTGAACAACCACGAACTCCACATCCGCAAGATCTACATGATCGCTGAAGCCGCCCAACAACTTCCCATGCAGGTCAAGGATGCGGAGCGACCACTTCCGGAGACCACTGAGGAGGGTTTCCAGGTTGACGCCGATGGTGCGCCCATTGTCACCCTCAAGACCCGTCTTGACAACCGTGTCTTGGATCTTCAGACAGCGACCAGCCAGGCTATTACCTGGATCTCCAGCGGTGTTGCAGAGCTGTTTGCGGAGTACATGATCAAGAGCGGTTCTCGATGGATCTCTACGCCCAAGTTGGTGGGCGCTGCCACAGAGGGTGGCAGTGGTGTTTTCGAGGTCAAGTACTTTAAGAGAAACGCATACCTGGCCCAAAGCCCGCAGCTGTACAAGCAGATGTGTATCGCCGGTGATATGAAGAACGTCTTTGAGATTGCGCCTGTCTTTCGTGCCGAGGAGAGCAACACTCACCGCCACTTGACCGAGGTATGTCCATGCTGGGGAACATATTCTTTCCCAAAAGCTGATTATAAATCCCTTGTTAGTTCACTGGTCTGGATTTTGAGAAGACCTTCAGCTCTCACTACCACGAAGTTCTCGAGTTTGCCGAGGAACTCCTCGTTTTCATCCTTTCTCAGCTCAAGGAGCGATACGCGGACCAGATCGCCATCATCCAGAAGTCATACCCCAAGGCAGGCGACTTCAAGCTCCCCAAGGACGGCAAGGCCCTGCGACTGAACTACATGGACGGTGTGGCGCTTCTTAAGGAGGCCGGTGTCGATGTCTCAGAACAGGAGCGTTTTGAGAACGACTTCACTACTGCTATGGAGAAGCAGCTGGGCCAGATCATCCGTGAGAAGTACGACACTGATTTTTATGTGCTGGACAAGTTCCCCATGGCTGTCCGCCCCTTCTACACCAAGTCCTGCCCCCAGGATTCCCGCTTCTCCAACTCGTATGACTTCTTCATGCGTGGCGAGGAAATCATGTCCGGAGCTCAGCGTATTCACGATGTGAAAGAGCTTGAGGCCTCTATGGTCGCCAAGGGCGTCGATCCCAACCAGGAAGGCTTCGAAGACTACCTGGCAGCCTTCCGCCAGGGATGCCCTCCCCACGCCGGTGGTGGTCTGGGTCTGAACCGTATTGTCATGTTCTTCCTTGGACTGCCAAACATCAGGTTGGCAACTCTGTTCCCTCGTGACCCCCAGCGTCTACGTCCTTAATCGTAAATGCTCGAAACTCGGGAACTAGATAAAAGAATAATGAAAACACGACGATTTACTGTATATATCTTGGCTAGAAAGCTATTGTAGGGAGCATTACAGTTGCTACTTTGCCTATGATTGCTCTTATCTAGGCCCCGCAGATCCGTAGATGGAGCTAGCCTAAATAGAGCTTCTTTAGAGCAGCTCGAGGATCCGGGGTCCTCACTCTTCAACTCACCACAACACCTCCGCCGGTATGTCGCAAAAACGAAATTTCCCCAGCTCAGGCTCAGGATATTCACCATACTCCAAGCGCGCCCGCTCTTCGTACGCAGAAGATGATCAGGACGACGAGGAAACGCAGAACTCGGTAACTCCATACGAGAAACCTCGCAATCACCCCGTCTTCGGGCAGAAAAGCGCCTTTCCCGGTCTCGATACAGCTGATGGCGATGAACTCTTTTATGGACCGGCGGAAGATGGTTTAGAGTATCTGAAAATGGTCCGGTAAGCATTTGCCTGTTACTTCTACCTTTGTTCTTGGGGTTTCATTCTTGTTGCGACGTGCTAGCTAAATTTGCATTCTGGTTCCAGCTAGCTTGCGAATGACGCGAGGTTCGTCTCCCCTATCGCTCTCTTTCTCTTTATACCTGGCATAATTTTGTTGGGATCGCTAACTTGAAAATGCTGTTCTAGTTCCGAAGCCAACTCACTGCCTACGCTTTTCAACGCTCCCGTAGCGATAGAACCACCGGTGGAAACAGCCGCAGTGACAGATGCGTCCAAGGATTACCGCGACCGAAACAAGCAAGACGAAAACGCCAACGACGAAGACGAGAAACCGAGCACCGCGAAGCATGTCGCAGAAGGAATCTTTTCTGATGGCGTATATATTGGCCTTGCGACAACAAAACCCGTCGCCGAGGAGATCTTTACAGACGCCCAAGCAAGCTACTACAACCTGCTTCACCACCGATTCCTTCTCCTACGGTCGATTCTAAAATGCACACCCCCATCTGAAGCCATATCTGCGCTTGATGACTCACACCCCATCAGCTTTCCCCGGACATCGAAGAATGCGCAAAGAGAGTGGAGGCGCCTGTTGCAAGAGGTTGACCCTCAAACAGTACAACTTGCGTGCATGGATATGGATAGCGTTCTGGGAGTGTTGATGATCTTGGCGCGACTCATATCGGAGAATGTACGGAACGGGGATGCGGTTTTGGTTCGACGTATTGGCGCCTGGGCTTGGGGACTCCTAGGAAAGTGTCGGGATTCTGGGCAGTTGGGGGCCCGGGATATTGGAGATATTCGGGAGTTGGGGAAACGTGCTGTGAGAATTCTCAAGAAGGTGAAAGAAGAACAGAGGGAATTGTATGAAGAAGAAGAAGAAGAAGACTATGACTCCGATGATCAGAACACCAAGGACAAGGACGGATCATTGGGCGATAAAGGGGGTGTAGCTGTCGATGCCAACGTTCTTACCGACCCCCAGGACCCCTGTGCGGAGAAGAAATCTGATGCGGAGGGATTGGAGCAGGCGAAAGCGCGACTCGAAGCGCGGATCTCAGCAACCGGGATCGAGCAGTCATCTCGAGAGGAAGGAGAAATACAAGCCCAAGTCGAGTTTGATACGGCGGCTGTTGACGTGAGTACGCAGACTCGAGCAATGCTGGATATGATCATCACCATAATTGGAGAGCATTATGGGCAGCGAGATCTGTTAGAAGCGCGGGAATTATGGACTGAAGGGGAGCCAATGCTTTTCTAACCAAAGAGTCAATAGTACCCCTTCACTTCAATATGATACCTTTGTCCTTTCATATGAAATTGAAGTAGCGAACTAATAGTAATGAGGGCGTTGCGTCATTGTTTGGGCCCGATATGGTTAGCGCAATGAAGCCCTTATCGGCCTTGTCATCTCACAAGTGCAACTCCAACTACAACTCCAGCATCTTCTCCCATCTCTCAGTTCAAGGAGCTTCTGCGAGCTTAGAGAGCAGAATACTCCATGATGGCTCCTCCCCTCGAGATATCCATACCAACAACTACGACCTCAACCACTTCCCCGCCCTTCACAATCTACAACATCACCCTCCGCCTTCCTCTCCGCTCCTTCGCCCTCTCAAAGCGCTACTCCGACTTTGCAACTTTCCACACAACTTTGACGTCCCAAACAAACAGCGCGCCGCCACTGCCTCTCCCACCGAAGTCCTGGCTATCAAATACAGTCTCAAACGCTGACCTCCGCGAATCACGCCGCCAGGGCCTCGAGTCCTACCTCCGCGCCATCAACGAAGATTCGGACTCCCGATGGCGCAACTCACCAGCCTGGCGCGCTTTCCTGAACCTGCCCAGCCTCGGTAGTAACAACCATAGTAACGAGAACATCACCGCATCTTCCGCGCGTCTGCACGCCGCAGCAACAGGACCGGGCCTTCTCAACGGAGAACCCATTTCGGATCCAACGTTATGGCTAGACTGCTACCGAGACTTAAAATCGCAGCTCCATGATGCGAGATTACATCTTACTAGACGGGATCAGGAGACGACGCCTCAACGGCAACATGAGAGCTCGGCGCGGGCGAAGAGCTCTCTTGTGCGTGCGGGTTCGCTGATATCTGCATTGGAGGATGGCCTGAAGCGGATAGCCGATAGTGGAAATGGGAGTGCACAAGGGAACGGGCGGTATACTAGCTCGACCTCGCTCGGGGAAGGCGAGATTCGACGTCGGAAGGACCTCCTGATCAACGCGCGGAAGGAGAAAGATGGATTGGAGGATCTACTGAACGCCATGGCGGCGAAGAGCAGAGTCGACAACGCCATTGCATCGATCAAGGACAAAGAGGCGCTCATTGGGGCAGCGAATAGTGCGGGAGGTGCAGGAGGCAGTGGCAGGAGACCCGCAAGATCGGGAAGGGTGCTTGGGAAGGAGACAGAGCGGACGCGCGAGCTGGACAACCAAGGTGTGTTGCAGTTGCAGCGGGATACGATGCAGCAGCAGGATATGAGTGTGGAGGAGCTGCTGAAGATTGTGAGGAGGCAGAAGGAGCTCGGGATCCAGATCAATGAGGAATTGGAGGTGCAGAATGAGATGTTGCGGATGGTAGATGAGGATGCGACGAGGTATGTTGTCCTTCACCCCACGAACATAATCTGGATCGTTTACTGACCCTGTGCGATACTAGACTTCAGCAGAAGGTTGATATTGGCAAGAAGAGACTGGGGAAAATCTCATAGTCGGTTTGGTTTGTATATTGCTATGCGTGGGTTCTATTCAGCGTGTTTCAGCGCCCAAGGAATGATCTTTTCGAGTATACACAGTCTCTAGTTCTTTAGCGAGTTATGTCTCAGTTACTTTGCCCTGTTGGAGCATTTCCTTCTCATTCTCATTAACAGCAAATGGTATCTAGAACATTTTCACCCAAAAACACTCTTCCCTGCATTACTACTGGGCAGACAGAAACTTCTTCGCCTCCTCCTCCGTAACCTCAGAAAGCTCCGACTCCCGCTGCTCGATCAAGCCTAATTTACTCCTCTTGACAAGCCACCACAGCTCCCTGCGATCACCGCCCAGCTTTTCCTTGAGCAGCGCCTCCTTCAGCTCCGTGATAAACTCATTGTAGTGTCCCGGCTCTTCATAGGATATCAGCTCCTCGCGGACAACGCCCAGTCCTTCCGTGACGCGGTCATAGTTCGCATCCCCCAGGCTATTCCGGATCTGGTCCTCAATAATTGAGCGCATCTGCTTGACGGCGTCCTTCGTTGTTTCGATGGTCTCGGCTTGTGCGAGGGTCTGTTTGAATTCGGGAATTGCGTTGTTCGGCGAGATTCGCACGCGCTTTTCTTGGTGCAGGAGGGCGTCGACGTCTAGACCTGAGAGAGGCTTTTCGGGCTCGCGAGCGCGTTTGCGGCCTTTAGCTTTGGGAGGTACTATTGGATGTTAGCATAAGGCGTTAAGAATTGGTGAACCTAGGCAGGTACCTTTCTTGACGTCGGCTACCTCCATGAGATTTTTGAGATGGCGGTCTGCGTTTTGGAGGAGCTGGTCGGGTTGTTGTGAGAATTGGGTGAGAATTTTTGCTGGGGGTGGGATGGGGTCGCTTGGGTGTATAGCTCGAGAGCGAATCGCCGCATTCACGCGGTGTAGAACAGGTGAGAAGGAGTCTTCAATAGGGAAGGGCGTATCAATCAGATCCCTAGCTTCATTAGTGGTCTGTACATGTTGGAGGGGTTTTTAGGGCAAGTACCCATCTTCATCTGTGTCTTTCAGCTCCATGCTATCTACGTATTTGTCCATGGCATTGAGAAGGTCATCATTTGGGAGATTTCGATGCTGCGTTACCACCTTTCCAGACACGGTGACCACCTTATCAAGAGGTGGGAAGCGGTATGTTCGGACATCCTCGGCAAATGGTAATTGCACTTCGAGGAGACACTCGTATTCTGGCTCAATTGAAGGCGCGAGCAGAACCAGTATGGGAGGTTTGTTCTCTTTTGTGACTAGGCGAGCAACGGCATAGCTCTCTAGTTCAAAGAGGGCATGTATGAATGAGGATAGTGCAAGTGAGGCTTTGTCGTTGGCGCGACTGGAGATAATGATGTGGGTATTAGACAAATGCATATATCGCTCATACTGGAATTTTTGTTAGTTCCGAAAGTCGGTTCGCGGTGTCAAGCTATACATACCCGCTCGCTCTGGATGAATCCGACCAATTCCAGCGCAGCAGTGGTTTCCAGTCTGGTGATATTCTCATCGGTCTCGCTGATGTGGACCGCTGTACGTCCATACTCATACCCTTTAGCCAACTCGTCTCGTTCTATATCAATCTTACCACCAGGGGCGCTCTCATCGTTGACCTGGTACGTCCTCAGGTTCCTCACATTAGTGAGGGAGCTACCATCTTCAGGCTGACTTTCAGGAACGACGGTTGCTGACTCCTGCCCTTCTTCTCCAGAGGCTGTATTTGAGCGCAGGACGAACTGGCTGGCTGTTGGCGGCTTCGCTACCATTGTTCGTGGGTACCGCTCAACAGGAATGCGGACCGCCGTGTCATATTCTTCAGGATTACCTAGTTGTAGGAAACCTTTGAATGATGCAACTGGCCGGACAGCCTTGACTCGAGGGGTTGCCATCTCCTCTACTGCCTGTTCAAGCGTGCCAAACACTCCGTCGCATTGTTCAGAGACAGTCCGCAAAAGAGCCTCATTGGCAGCCTGCAAAATGTTAGAGACAAACCATTTCTGGGAAGACCTTATACCTTGCGCGGATCTTTATCCTCTTCCTTGGTGCCATACTCTGCATCGTCGAAATCGGGCCCTCTACAACCTTTTAGATTCAATCCCAAAAGAAAATGCTAGCATCACTTACAGGATTATCAACTCGATATTATCCTCCTTGACCTTCGAGACAATATCTTCAAGGTTCTCGCTGTTCATTCGTCCCATTCCATTCGTAACGAGGACAATCTTCCGCTTCCACTTTAGTTTCTTACAGTGGGTGATGATCATTTGAATTGCCAATATGAGAGCAGAGATCGCTGCAGCCATCAATATAAGCACGTCTTCAGTATATCCGGGATCATACCGTCGCCTTTGTCGACATTGCTCGGCTTGATTAGTTCGCCCAGTTCCCGAATGTCAGACATAAGAAATCTGAATCGTTGGTCAGCTATGAACACAACACTTTGAACGTAGCGGACGACATACTGCTTGATCTCCGACAGAACAGAAATATGCGAGAAGTGGGATTCATCTCCTAGTTCGTTGTCGGTACCTGTCAATCTCTCAGTATAAGGACCTCTATAACTACCAACATGTCTGACCGTCAGTCTTTAGGCCGATTACGCCCAGCATTGCCATTTTGCGCCCAGTAGCCACCTGGGCTAGTCAGTAAAGCTCATATAACGGAATTTGGGAACCTACAGTGTTCGTGATGCAGTCCCAGATATATTTCATAGCCCATTCGAGATCCGTGATGTCTCGGCCATTGCGGCGCTGGCCCATGGACTTCCCCACGTCCACAATATAGACTGTTGCTTCCTTGTCCGCCATGGTGAAGGTGAGAGGCAAAAATCAAAACACGAACATGGAGACCACAGCGAATTGGCTAATAAAGGACCGCCAAAAGGCAGCAGGCGATGAACAACGCGGAGGCCCAGGCAGACGCGCGATATTTCCCAATTGGGGACAGCTCAAACGCGACGGCACATGACATCATGGAGATGTGTGTGTATAGAAGAAGTGCGTGAGTTTAACCTGCCCTAGTACTGCAGCCCGTGGAAATAGTAGCGTTCCTGCATCTCGGGGCGTGTGGGTTCAAGCTCGGCCCGCAAAGCCTCGGATGGTCCCGCATCGCAATCCATAAATGCGCATCGCATGATACAGCGACTTTTGCCATCAACACTTCCCCTTCACATTCGCATCTCTTGAGCATCGTGCAGCTCCGACTTCAAGATGCTTGACCCCCGCCCTTTTCACATTCTGAGGTTTGTCCTTACCTCAACCGCCCAAGCTTACCACTGACATCTGCATCTCAGCTACGGCACTCTGCTGGGTGTCCAGGTCTACCAGGTAACATACCACATATCACATATAAGTCAAAACCATGCCCTAACAAGAACAGAGCTTCGTCTCCGGCATCATTGCTTTTCGCGCCCTCCCACGCCCCCAGTTCGCCGCCCTCCAAGCCAAAATCTTCCCTACCTACTTCGCCCTACAGACCGCGCTCCCGGTCGTTGTCGCATTGACTGCCTCCCGCGCCGACCAGCCCCTCGGTGTCTCAGGACTCCTAGCGCCAGAGAACAAGTACAGCGTCCTCCTTCCGCTTGCGACGGCATTCGTTACGGGCCTGGTCAACTTTGGCGTCTTGCGCAAGCTTACTGTTGATACGATGCGGGAGCGGAAGCATCAGGGTATGTCTTGCGCATCACTAGAACGTCCCTGATAGGATTAGATGCTGACTGTGGCTGAAGAAACTCGCGACGGCAAGAAGAGCTACGACCCGCCTCCTCATTCCAAGGAGATGATCGCCCTGAACAAGAAGTTCGGCCGTCTCCATGGCTTGTCTAGCTTGGTTAACCTGGTGACCCTTGGCGCCACTATCTTCTATGGTGTTGTGCTGAGCAAGAAGCTTGCGTAGGCGACTTGGAGGACTGCAAATCGGTAGCGCTAACGCAGCCGAAAGATGCATTGTATATATTGTTCATGATCTTTTGGGGGATGTTGGCTGTACCCTAAAACCCCTGCATATATGCTTCAGGATATTTCCTTTAATGGTTTTGCCTAGTGCCAAGGTTCTCCCTTCTGACAAACAAGTCTCTGCGTGCAATTCTTCCTTGTACCCTGGTGAAATAGGCATGGGATTATTCATTGAGTGAGGGATTACGATGACAAGACAAAGCAACCATAACGCCATGGACTCCAATAAAGAACCATCAAAGAACTCACTCGTGCCAACTCAAAGAGCCATAATTCCTTTGTTGTGGGGGACATAAATACACTCACTCAGTCTCTTCCTCCCTATTTCCTTCCTCTCCATAACAGTTTCTAGCAACCAGTTTGACCGAAAACGGCATTGATTCCATTTACGAGATTCCAAATCGTTTCGGAACTCAACTCATCATACTATTGCACAACTCTACATACACATCCACGTTTCACACCACCATGAGCACCGCCCTCCCACTCCAAATCCTCATCGGCCTCTCGGCCGCATACATCATCTGGCCAGGCGGCCCAGACCCCAGGTTCGACCACCGAATGATCGCGTCAGCCTGGTCCTCCCTCTCGAAACTCACATGGGGGAGTTCCTCCCCTTCGACCAACCCGCACTTGTCTGACGCGAAGGATATATATCTGGATGAAGCTATGCCAACCTCAAAAAATCTGGAGACTCAACTTGGCATCGTATACGGGCTCGCGGTTGTACTTTTCGTCTTGTTTGCAGCGCTCGGTTGTCTCTGGATAGGGAGAAAGGTACGGACGATGATTGTCGATGAGCAGGTTCGGCAGAGCATTGAGAAGAATATACCTGGTCCTGTCAAGAAGATGTTCGTTCCCTTGCAGAATGTCTTCGGTCGATTCGTCCAAAAAGGCTTTATCCCAGTCAAGAAAGTCTTCGGTCCAATCATCTTGATACTCTTCAGCCCAATCGGAAAAGTCCTTGCCCTACTCAACGCAATCCTTGACTTCATCCTGGCTATCCCAGAAACAATCAAGAACAAGTATCTCGCGCCGTTCAAGAAGTTGCAAGAAGAAGAGTCCGCCAAGCTGAAAGCCATCCTGGAAGAGCAGCTTGTGCAACTGCGGATCTCGGCCGATGGGCTGAAGACAACCTGTGGTACTCTTGACGAGAGGAACGATCAGATCCAGCAACGGTTGGAAAGGATCGTTAAGCAGATAGAAAGCATCACCGAGTGGCAACGACAGTGTGAGTTCTATTTCATGCGAGAACCGAAGCACGCGAGGGAGAAGAAGGCTGATGAAGCAGCGTAAACATCAAGTCGGTGAAATGAGAAAAGGATGCCGGCCTGCTCCATTCTACCTCAGCAGGCTGCGCGTGCATCCACAAGGAACGATATGCCAGGTTCCACGCAGAGGGTAAAGGGGATATCGAAATCATTATATCGTTCAGAATGTTGTCTGTGGAGGCTCATAAAAAGGCTAAAAGCGAAAATGTTCCGAAGAGAGAGTGTGGGATATTGGATGAGAAGGTATTTTCAAGGGCAGCGTCTTCCTGGGTATACCTTGCGTATTGTTAAAATCTTCGAGGTACGGCCATGGTTGCTTGAGGACTTTCGCCAAAGAAACATCTGCTCAATCCAAGAGGCTCACAGGCTTGAAAGGGAGATCTTTCCCCTCATGTAACAACTTGGTCCTTGTTCGTTAGCAGGACATGCCTTGGCGGGCATGATTATAGTTAATCAATTTCCTTGCGTTGCCACATTCCTGTCAGTGATTGTTTCCCGTAGACGTGTGTATATTCCTGACGTATGAATTTGGTCAAAATATGGGACCTCTACCAGGATTATAACCCAGTCGTTCGTAAAGACTCTTCGATAAGCCGAATGAGAGGGCATAGTAGAGCTCACACATCCTCCTCCTCAACAATATACTTTCGAAACGCAGCCTTTAGCATGTTCATCCGCATTTGAGTGTGTATAAATAACTCCCGGTACATGTCTAGATTTTGCTGAACGACATGTGTCCGTAATCTGGTGCCAGAGCAAACATCCCTCATTTCCAGTTCCATCTGCTTCCGCAGAAAGGGCTTGCTTAGGGACGGGCTGTCTGGGATGCCGGCAAAAACATCATCATAGCCAAGTATCAAGGCAATACCCAGCCGAGTTGGAATGAGTAAGCTTATTGCGTTTCGACCGGTTCCTTGTGGTTGCACGCCAATATATTCACGGTCCTTGATCTTCTTGATATGTTCGGCCATAGTGGCGTCAGTGCCAATTCCGTTAGCATCCATTAGTCCGATGAGCTCTGGCTCTGTCAAGTAATTTGGGGGCGAAGTCTTTCCATCAAACATGTTGGCTTCGGTGGGCTCGAACAGCTCGCCGACCCGGTAATTGGGCAGCTGCTGGGTGCTTTCCCACTTGTCGTAAACATAAACGTTTAGATAATTCCTCTCCAATACGAGTAATCCCCTAGCGTGAAACATTTCGTCTCCGTATTGGATCTCGACATCAGTTGATTGGCCCTTGGCGTCATCTGAACAACAGGCGAGAAACCGTCGGGCGACAAACTCGTATACCTTATGTTCATCCGCGGTTAGTGCGGTGCGGTTAACCCAGCAGACAGGGTGTATAGGCGGATGTGCTTGGTCATTGTGCCGTCCAGCTCGAGGAGTCCTGAAATTACCGTCGAGGAGCCTAAACCATGGGAACGATCAATGGCTGCTAGATATGAACGGTGTGAGTCTCACTAACCCTTGAGCGTACTGTCCCCAGTTCTGGTCTGGTAGTTGTTTCTCAACGAGTTTCTTCAGGTCGATTCCTTTATCAAACTGATCAGTTTCTGTTCGTGGATAGCTAATGAAACCTCTAGTATAGAGGTTTTCTGCAATCTAATAATTGTAAGTAACAGACTTGCTACAGGCGTTTGCACATTGACGCATTACCTTCATGACTTTTGAACTTTCCATGCGAAGATATTTTGTTCCCATCATTTGCAAGTCCACTGTGGTCAATGGTAGGGGCCTCCACTTGCTTGTCGGTTTCTGGTTGACCTTGGTAACCTTGGCCTTTTTGGCCATTAAACAGCGCTCCAGCATCATAGTCACAGCGGCTCTGTCGAAAAGATGAACTCTCTTCCAGAGAAATTTCACCTTGATGTCATCCCGAGAGTGTGTGACTTTGATTCCCCAGAAGTTCTCTGGCTTGAATCGTTTCACTCTTAAAAATCTATCAACCACAAACCCGAGGGTTGGAAACTGGCAGGACCCTTTTTGAAAGGGGGGTGTCAGTTAGGGTTGCGGCTGCAGAGCAGAAAAATGGCATACCATAACTGATAACCCTCTGTGTTAGGGTATCATGGAGGTTCTGTAATTGAAGAGTGAGCAGGCGAGTAAATGCAGCACCTATCCTCAGGTCGAGCTCTATCCTCGCCGCTACTGCATTCGCTTGACGTTCATCAAGCTCAATGAGGGACCTCGCGGCATTCAAGACGTGGCTTCCACTGGGTTAGAAAATCTCATAGAGAAACAGACCGAATTGAACCTACACTCTCTCGGTATTGTTGAACTTGGCTCGTTTGACGATAATCCGGTTGTTGCCGGCCTTTGCCTGGTCGCGCACTTCTGTGCCAATATGCTCCCCTTCTCGATCACAGTCAGTCCAAATGACCAGGTACTGATGATGCCGCGCTTGTTTGATGATGTTGTTTGCAATTGCTTTTTTATCCTGTTTCAAGGTTAGCATCCACCACTGACAGCCAGAACTCAGTCTCACGTACATCGGCCACATCGATTCTAACAGGAGCTTCGAATAGATGGGCTGGTGGGCAAGACGTCCAGCCAGTGTACTGGCGCTCAAAGTCCAAGCCCGTCAAGTGCCCTAGAACGCTGGTCATGGTGACAGAGCTGTTGCCCAACTGGCCCCCGAAATTGAAATCGAAGGTATAATTTTTCACAAATCGGTTTCCGGTAACCGCGCTCTGCCCTGGTCTTAGTCCATATATCACAAACTAGTTTCTTCACTTACAGTTTGCACATGACCTCCAGATAGGTGCTGCGCGACAGCCTTCGCGATTGCAGGCTTTTCAGCCACGCACAGGACTTTGGTGCCCGCCATGACAGTTTGTCAGGCAATTAGTACTACAGGAACTTGGAGCTCCTAATCTGGGAATCATCTCTGCTCCATAATTGGTTGGTCATGGGGGCTGTAGACTTGTAGTTGACTGGTCTGTAGAACGCGAAAACGACGCGGTCACGAGACTCGCCACTTCCAAGCTAGGAAGTAATAGCTCACTTCCAGATTTGGACTGGTGCACCCCGCCTCAGCTCTTAGTGAGATTTAGTGACAGTTGGGCCCAAGGTTGTTTTTTGTTGTGCTTTCACTATTATTCCATTTTCTCTTCACTGCATCTATGACGGTCTGATTATTCTGTAGTCCAGATCCAATACTATATATACCTTGTCTCATGTGGGAATACTTGGAGTTCTCATTTTAAACCAAGTACCCTCACTCCTGATTCTGTTCCGCCATCAAAGACAATGACGCTGCCACTCCCCGAGGTCAAGTCTCTTGCAGACTGTGTCTCGTTCAACCATGCTGTGCGGCCATTCCTGTCGCAAGTTGTTGCGCTCCCAGGACATCTTCAGCCGGCAGTTGTGACGAAGGATGTGAACGCTCTAAAAGACATCTATCTCTCGACCAACCCCTTTGCGAGTGCGCTTGCCTTTACGCTCTTCACTTCCGTCCTATTTATCATCTTCTCCGAGATCAACCGCAACTACTCTCAAGTCGATCGCTTCTGGTCTATCCTACCATCGGTGTTCAATGTTCACTTCGCTGTCTGGGCACGTCTTTCCGGCCTGCGCACTCTTAACTTGGATACGATCGCTGCTATCTCCGTCATCTGGACCGTATGTTTTTCTTCTTCCTCTTAACTCAGCTGAACCCTAACTTATCTAGGTGCGCTTGACCTTCAACTACTGGCGTAGAGGCGGATACAGCATTGGTTCAGAAGACTACCGCTGGTCTATCGTACGCTCTCGTGTCAACAACCGCTTCGTCTTCTTCCTCTTCAACATCACTTTCATCAGCGTGATCCAGCCGCTCCTGCTTCTTCTCCTTACAGCCCCAACCTACAACTTCCTCCTCCTCGCGCGTCTCCCCGGCGGCGAATCCTTCGAGCTCCCCGACCTGATCTTTTCCCGGGTCGCTTTTGTCTTCATCATCATCGAGTTCTTCGCCGACCAGCAGCAATGGAAGTTCCAGAACGCCAAGCACGAATACAACAGCTCCGCCCGCATCCCCGCCAACCTCAAGGACCAGTATGATCCCGAAGACCTGGAACGCGGCTTCGCTGTCAGTGGACTATGGTCGCTTTCCCGCCACCCCAATTTCGCCGCTGAACAGGCCATCTGGCTCACTCTTTACCTGTGGAACGCCTACCGAACTGAGCAATATGTCCAGTGGACGGCCCTGGGAATCATTGGTCTCATGGCCATCTTCCAGGGAAGCGTCCGTCTCACTGAGGAAATCAGCGCCGGCAAGTACCCCGAGTACCAGGAATACCAGGCCCGCGTTGGAAGATTCATTCCTCGCCTGTCCGTCGCGCCTAGGTACAAGGGTAAGAAGAACAAGAAGAAGGCTGTGCAGGACAAGAAGGAGGAATAGATGCGCAGAATCTTGAATCTATCTCTAACCATTTAAATTTCCCCGGTTGGAAATACTAGCTTCACTTCTTTGTCATGGGTGTTGCCCTTTTTTGACCCGTTTTCCATTTATCTTTTCCTTTTGGATTGCAAGGATGGAGTAGATGCTGGCTTGGGTCTGCTTTTTGGTCTGTTTCTGGAGGCATCGGTCTTTTAGATACTTCTTTCGCTTCTAGGACGAACACAGCCGGTATTGTACGCCCATCTTAGTTTAATAAGTACATAGTTCTATCATCTACTACCAAACTATATCGGTTCCTTGCAGTTGAAGTGCAGACCAATTTACAAAGTCAATCATGGAACTACCTACTATTGTACACTAGACCCGACGCTTTAAGAGGCAGAAGTACAGGACGAGGGAGATCGGATGCGTTGGGAGAGAAGTTACCAAAAAGGATGTTGAGTGATTCGGTAACAGCGAGAAATTGAGGACAAAGATAGGTATAGAGGTAATGAGATGAGTCAAAAAAGGAATATGAGGG